AAGAAACAGGAACTACAATCGTTTCTAGGATTCACCAACTTCTATTGACGGTTCATCTGGCATTATAGTGCAATTGTCAAACCAATGACAAAACTCACAGGGAAAGTCCCTTGGACCTGGGGAAAAGAACAACAAGAAGCGTTTGAAGAACTCAAATGACAATTCGCAATGGGAGTCATTTTGGCGATGCCGAACAACTACAACCAGTTTCACATGGAGGCAGACTCCAGCGAAGGGGCAGTCGGTGCTGTCCTGTCACAGGAACAGGAAGGAAAATGGTGCCCGATTGCATTCCTATCAAAATCTCTTTCCGCAATGGAACGGAATTATGAGATTTACGACAAGGAATTACTAGCAATAATGATCGCCTTGGAAGAATGGCGACATTATCTTATGGGTGCCCGTCAAGATTTCGAAATCTGGATGGATCACTCAAATCTGCAATACTTCCGCAAGCCCCAGAAACTCAACCACAGACAAGCGCAGTGGGTTACTGAGTTAGCGGAATACCACTTCACGCTCAACCACAAACTGGGAGCGTCCAACAGGAAGGCCAACCTTCTAAGTTGACGGGCTGACCACGATCAAGGCAAGAAGGACAATGACGATATTGTCCTCTTGAAACCAGAATTCTTCCGTGCCCTAATAATGCCAACCGAGGAAGAAATTCATAACAAAATCAGGAGAGCAACAAGTGATCACCAACGGTGGGACCGAGGGATCGCTTCAAGCCTCAACCACAAGAAGAGGGTCATTGAGAAAGACCACCTTCTATTTTATGATGGACATATTTACATCCCCCACGACCACACCCTATGAGGAGAACTTATCTCCCATCACCACAATCATGTCTCTGTGGGGCACCCAGGTATCGAAAAGACCAAGGAATTGGTCTTAAGGAACTACTGGTGGCCCAAAATGTGAAGGGACATGAAAACCTATGTACGAGGATGCGAGGCATGTCAGAGAACGAAAACTGATACACAATGGAAAGCAGCTCCGCTACACCCTAATGCTGTACCATCTCGACCTTGGGAACACATCTCAGTCAACATGATTACTGGATTTCCAGAATCCAAAGGCTACAATGCAGTACTAGTCATCGTGGACCAGTTCTCAAAATACATCATGCTAATTCCATGCATGAAGGAGCTCTCATCGAGTGGATGGGCCAAAATCCTACACGACAAGATCATTTGTCGATTCGGGGTCACCCCCTCCAAAGTCATTTCTGACCAGGGACCCCAATTCATATCAAAGTTCATCATTGAGCTATACGCAATGATGAATATTCAAGGAAATCCGTCGACGGCTTATCACCCTCAGACGGATGGACAAACGGAGTGGGTTAACCAAGAACTCGAAAAATACCTTCGAGTCTTCGTTAACCACAAACAGAACGACTGGAGCGAATGGCTACCATGGGCAGCATTCGCTCACAACAACTGCCAACACTCTGCAACAGGCTTTTCCCCCATCAAAATTGTCTTTGGATGAGATGGGGAAATTCACCCAACCGTGGTGAGGCAGTTGGAAACACCATCGATAACTGACTTTGTCGAAAGCCTCCAGAGAGTACGCAAGCAAGCGGAAGACTCTTTGAATAAAGCCACCAGAGTTATGAGAAAGGCTTACAACAAACACACTCACCCTGCGCAGGAGTACCAACCAGGAGATAAAGTCTGGTTGGACTCAACCAACCTTCACCTCCCCCGACCGGCAAAAAAGCTAGGCAACAAGCATGTCAGCCCCTTCGAGATTATTTCTAAAAAGGGGCCCTCCACATACAAATTAAAGCTACCGCCAGGATGGAAGATCCACAACAGGTTCAATGAACGATACCTAACTCCATATGTCCCCCCAGAGTTTTCCAACCAGGAAAGACCTCTGCCACCCGAGCCGGAACTCGTGGAAGGTGAAGAAGAGTACGAAGTAGAAGAACTACTTCAGGACCGCGACCGTATCATCGGACGAGGACACAGCCAGAGGACCATAACAGAATATTTGGTCAAATAGAAAGAATACCCAGTGGAGGAAGCTACATGGGTCAAGAGGAGCAATCTTGCCAATGCTGAAGAACTCGTCAAGGAATACGAGAACAAGGAAGACCACATACGGGATCACGATTTGCGACACTTGGAAAACGAAAGGGGATGTATAACCATATCATCTCCTGGCTCTTCAACCGAGAGCTCAACTTTCTTTCCAATCCCCAGCAGGAATCATACCGATCCATTATTCTCCGATGAGCAGGGCTATTATTCATTGGACACGGATGAAGACATCTTTGAAGACGAGCGTTCCATGTCTCCTCTAACGACTCAGATTGACCCTAGTTTCCCTCCAGAAGAACGGGGCATGTCTGCTTGGGAACAAAACAAGGACTACGAATCAGATATGGAACCCACTATTGACTCCTTCAATTGAATCCCTCTGCAGGAAGATTCATGAGGACATCTAAAGGACTGTCAGGATGACAGTCTTAGTCGAGGGGTATTATTATGACTTTACCCCTATTTTCCTTATCTTATCTTATCCTTATCCCTCAGAACCCCGGACCTGCCTATCTTATCTCTCGGACCCATAATATTCCTCTGGCACACTCCTTACCTGTTTACCTGGTTGCCGTCACCCCAGTTCACAGCTGCCACACCCCAGGTGACCGACGACCCGCATGTGCTATCATGCTTCTCTTGATGGCATCATGCTTCTTAGTAGTTGGATGAGAGTCGACCGCCAGTCGAGGGCGGTCTGTGGGATGCAGTCTATTCAGACAGAGTCCTGTGCAGATGCAGGTGATATGCGCTCTTTACTCTCATTCGTCAGGAGTACACTTCTTTTAGTGTCCTCACTCCTCATTCGTTGAAAGACGCACTTCTCATTGCATGTGCCCTTGTAGATACTATTCTTAGTACAAGTCTAACATGTATTTAAGCTAGCCTATGCTGTGGCCTTAGACCCCAGCTTTGGCTAAGGTTATATACTCCTAACTCTTACAAGCTCCTTGCTTTCGCTATAAAGTGATGCCTAACTTCTTGCAATCTACCAACGCCTCTCTAACACTGAATCACCGAATGCGAGTGACAGGATAGAGACCAGCCTTGGTTCAGATTAGAGTTAGTGCATAACACTGGCAAAGCATATAGAGGGAGATATTGTGAGTTTAGATGATGGGGCACAGAGAGACTAATGATTGGACAACTTTTTGGTAAGCATCACTTCTTATATGGGATAGGATGATGATGAATAATTTTTTTTAGGTATGGGTGATGCATTGACTAATTACTTGGTAGAGAGGACATGATCAAGTACTCCCATGATCATCAAGTGAGAACAATCTCTTATTTTTACACATCACCAAGCTTATCAACTCAAACCACTCAGATATGATCCATACAGCACTTTGTCAGAGGTACACAATGTCATTTACATGTCAGCTATCTATTAATTTAGCAATTCATCTAGGTGATGCCTTACCTGTCATGGCAAGCAATTGAGAACAAGTCAGTTCTTGAAGATGGACAGTATCTGAAGAGAGACAGAGAGTGGGGTCACAAATTTAGAAGCATATATTTGGGTAGGTCTATCAGTACAAGACTTGGGTGGATTGAAGTGGCTGCTGGTGCAGTATATAACCTGTTTCCTCTATACCTTCATAGACAAATGTATAACCAAAGACAGAAGAGCAATAATAAGTGCCATAAATACTGGCATGAGCCAATTCTGACTTGTGTGAAAGGCCAATAGCTCTTTCTCAGCTCGGGCATGGGTAACTGGAGTAATGTCTGCAGTGACCTTGCAATCACGAGCAGTAACTGGCAATAAAGTTTGGATGAGATCATCATCTGTATGCTTTTTTTAGCAGAGTGCATGAACCCAAGATGCTAATTCTTCAACTTACAAAGAACTTCAATTGGATCCTCAAAGATCTTCATGCAAGGGAGATCAAAATATTTGCATATATCTGCACCCTTGAGGGCAGGATCAAACCCACACAAGGTGTTTATTTCAACAATGGTCGAAAATACTTTTTCTGGTATGGAGCATATGCATGGATGAGTTGAGAAGTGGACTTGAATTCCAAAAAGAGCTTCCACTTCCTTGACAGATATCTCATTGGATAGACTTGAGTCACAAAACCAATGAATGACAGGCCAGGAAAATGTGTTAGACTGTGAATCAAAACAGGGTTCACAGATTGTTAGCGAGAGAGCCAATGTATCTTCGCTGTCTGCCATAAATGTGTTCAATAACTGGAAGGGGTCATAACATGGTGTTATATGAAGGGAAAAGCACAAGCCATAGCACACTGGACATTGGTCAGTATACTGTTGAGTTCCTCTGATATGCTACACCAACCTCCAATGTATTTTCTGACATCCATCCTATGATCAATGCCTCTTATGTTCTGACAAGACAATGACAGTTGTGAAGCTTGTGCAAACCATGAGTACATCATCTGCTGCATATTTCCATCATATTTGGAAGACGAGCAGCTCTCAGAGACTATGTCAAGATAATGCTCCTGAATGACAGACAAATTATGAATGGTAAGTGATCCACTGATGGGTGAAGGAGTCAGCAGAGAGTACAGATAAATAATTCATGTCAATCACACCTGCATGTAGAAACAGGCATTGGACAACCACTCCATCTTAGATCCCATGAATCCCATTCAATTGGCTCAATTGCTATCTTGCCAACTTGGATGAACCCAAAAAGGACTTGGATTGGCCCTGTCCATACTGATACACTTCCTATGCTGCAATCATCAAATTGGCTAGATGTCATCCTATACCCATCCTCCATAAAATGATAAAGGGCATCATAAATCTTTATGAGATGGCTTTTATCCAAGCTTGTAGAGCACATCAGCAAATTCCAATCTCTGATCAAATTAGTGGCTGGTGTGTCTAGAGCACTCCCATGTCATTGCAACCACACTGCAGGGTGTTCCCTTATATCCACATAAAAGGGATAAAAACGATAGGAAGATGAGAGTTCTGCCAACACAATTTGGCCTCCTTCATTGATATACATATGATGAACACCAATGTCCTTTGAAGCATAGCAGTTAGTTGTTACATGCATACTTTCAAGGCAATTACTCACAGATGCGAAGTCTATCCAATCCTGGTGAGATGTGCGGTAAAGGCTATTGAGGTAATCTGAGGCCAACTAATTCAACTATTCAATATTGATATGCAGAGAATAGGAAAATGTAGCATCTCCAAATCATTGACCTACAGAAAGGCATATAATTTGAGTAGCATTACAGTATATTTCAGTGAAACCCACCAGTTGCATGTTGAAATGCAAGAACTGCATTGCAGTCAAGGAGTCACGATAGTCACGGATTGTTTGTTGTATGGTACCTGTAGACAAGTATAAACTTAGAATTGCAAAAAGAATTTATGATTATCCTTACCATGGATTACAATTGCAAGAAAATCTGGAGACCTGCATACACCAAAGACCTGGGCAATATTTTGATGTCTAGACCATAAGATTAATATTCCATGAACACTGTCACAAAATGTTGCTAGCATACTTGGGTTTTATCAGTCTATCCACGTCAATGTGGAATTGCTAGAGGACACGTGAGCACCAGGACTCAATCCGACAGAGCTGACACAACCCACTTGTATGACATCTTGTTTGCTCAACTTGCTGCGGCTACTACGTTGATATACACAAACAATTTTAGGTGTATTACCAACATCAGCATTATAACGAGTAAACACTGCTTTGTCATCTGGGTAGTCAAGGCAATCTCTCAAATAGATATCCCCGGGAAGAACATCCCGAACCTGAATCATGTAGGGCATGGTAAATCGCAGATTCTGCGTACTAGAAGAAGGCGTACATATCCTTTGTAGCTGCTCCGCTCCTTCAATGTCTGGACGTCTGCACTAAGTTCATCGGCTTTCTTGCTCTGCAGGACACCCCATGTGTGTATCTCTTTGTATATGCTGTCTGCATGTTTGTCAATACTAGATATGGTATGCCTTTGCGACGTCTCGATGGCACTGGTAAGAGCATCTGTCCTAGTCCTCAATCCATCTTTGATGTCTGAAATAACGAAGCGCGAGTCGATGGCCATGCGAATCTATCAACCAACCTGGGTAAGCTTATACCGGTCAAGATCTCAAGACGCACCATAAATTTTTCCTTGATTGCATGCACGCGTTTCCTGTAACCATTAACAGTGTCGCATACTTCATTTCTCTTCAGGAAACGCTTGAACCACTTGAACCGTCCACGGGACTCGAGCCGGGTGCTGTTCACCTCATCGCGTAAGTATGTCATGTATCTAAAAAGATGTTCGTCAACAATGCTTCAGAATCCAATTGTGCCCACTCACTTTTCAAACTCTGCACAAACATCACCAAGGTCGAGAGCGCTACTTTTGCCATGTTCTTCAATGGCATCCAGGATGAGGTTTATAGTCTCCCCTATACTCTCCGCTAAATCAAGCAGATCCTCATCGTTCTTTCCAGCCTTCTGCAATCCCTAGTTAAAGACGATGAAACACTATGTGTAAGCTTCTCACGTACCTGAATGGCCTCCAGTATGAGTACAGCACAACCACCGATGCCTTTGATATACGGAAATGGTGCCATTTCCCCAGCGGCGGCGGCAACCTTAGCTATTTGAATCCAAGTCTCCAGATTAGACGAGCGAGTCATGCTGGATGAACATCCATTAGCTGAGTGACCTCAAAGCAAGAGTAACAGAAATGCTCACTTTCTTGGAAATCGGGTAGGATAGTACGTGGGTGAGCAATATTACAGGGTGATGATGATGGGAGTCGAAGGCAAGGATCGAAAAGGTAACATAGTGACATATATACTTTCCACGGGGCGCTTATTTCTTTCGTTTTCTCACGGTTACAACATTCCATACAGTGGTTTACAGCAGTATGCATAGCATTGACGGTGACATACAGCTAGTGCTGTATCCGCACATGGTTCAGGTAAAAAAAGACTGGGTCCACAGCCGTGAGCTGTAGTGCTCATGATGTTAAAGGATATTGGCGTTGGGGGTGAAATACTACCAAACGTTTGTCCATAAAGTCTTCGACACTGGACCGGCCGTATTCCGAAAAACTGCTTCAAAAAAGTCAGTAATGAATTTAAGTTATTATATCCGAGTAAAATGCTCACCCCAGTCCAATAAGTCCTAAGAATGACTCCAAATGGATCATGGAGCTGTTAGCCTGAGTTTTATTAGGAAACGTCGAGGTATAGGATCGCATTACTTTTACCTGCTCGAATCCGAGGTACCAGTTTCTCTGCAGAACCTAAATCCGACGTCCACAGAGATGAAGTAAGCGTATAATCGGACATATTAGCGAGTTCTACGGCTTCATCGATCGTGTCGACGGCTGTAATTGAAAGTTCTGAATATCTGTTAGAAGTTGGGCATGCACGTGTCACGAAAACACCCACCAGGACCAAATGCTTCCCGCTCCTACAGTCCAGCACCCGGGTTAACGTCTGTGAACACATGGGGTTGTATCACGGAACCATCCCTCGTGATGTCCCCTATGAGGACTTTCGCTCCCTCTCCAATCGCCTCGTGAAATATACCCAGTATATTCTCTGCAGAGGACTGGGAAAACAAAGTGGAGAGCGTAGCCGTAGGGTCCGTATATGGATCTCCGGCTTTCAGAGATTTGCAGAGCTCGCAGATTAAATTGTCGGATACGCCCTGCTGTACAAGAACTTGGCTGCTAGACATGCACACTTGGCCAGGGTAGAGGAGAGCTCCGGATACGATACCTTTCGCCGCAGAGTCTATCAGCATCGTCGAGAACCTGAGGAAGTGTTTTGAGGGAACGCTGTATACACAGAAGATGGTAGATGACTTACAATTGCAGGCGCCGTCCCGCCAAGTTCGAAAACACAAGGTTTGAGATACTTTGCTGCTTCACTTGCGATTATCCTTCCGACACGATCGCTACCTGTGAACTGAAAGGAATGAGCACATCGATACAAGGAAGCCTAGCAACAAACATTGATCCTCCGCACAGACGGATGTGCAATGATTTCCGCGCTCAAAGTAGGCGAATCCTCCCTCGATATGGAGATCAGATTGAGAAATCCTGCAGGCAGTCCGGCCTCTTGCAATAGTTCCGCGACGATGAACTGACTCTGTGGACTCAATTCCGATGATTTGAGCACGACGGTGTTCTCACAAAGAATAGGCACAGCAATGGCGCGTAGTATGAGTACGATAGACGCATTCCATAAAGCAATGCCAAAGCTAACGGGTCAACGTTAGTCGAAGATATACAGAAATACAAAAACGACTTGCATCACACCCATCGCCCTTCTTTGAATGACGACCTCCACGCCGGGAACCCTGTCCGAGGCGGTCTTTTCATCACCCAGAAGATCCCCAAGTTTTGATGAATCACCAATAAAAGACTGTGAGAAACTCCGGTCGATTGGCGTGGCAGTTTCTTCTTTCATGGACTGTGAGACGAGTTGCTTGTAACGTTCAGTGAGAGGATACCGGCAGCCTTGACGAGGACGTCTTCACGTTGCTGGAGTAGAGAATGTTCCCACGTCTTGAAGGCAGCATGGGCTGCATCGATGGCCGTAAGACAGTCCGCGCTAGTCGCGGATGCAGTTCCTCCCACTACGGCGTGAGAGTATGGGTTCACCACGTCGAGCGTTTTGTCGTCGCAAGAGCCTGATAAATGACCTTGGCAATGCGACTTTCACATGTACGCCGCTGCTGCCTGTTGTAAGGTCATAAGCAAAATAAATAGAAAATGGTTAGCATACCTATATACTGATTATCAACACTCTCTTTACCAGACATTGCAGAAGCATGGAATAGCGCGTATCAAGCGGAACGACGACGTGGATTGAGGAAAAGGTACAGACCACTGGTCAGAATTTGTAATTCCCAGATACGGTAACGCCAGACAAATTCGCTAGTGACCTTGATGTCGCCGAGAAGAATGCCTTCGACGTGCATGCCGACTGCCATCCTAGCACGCGATGTCGCTGGAATCAGACAATACTCTCACCGTCTCACGAGCGCCATTTTCACTGGCAGGTCACAGGATCACTACGATGGATCTCCACTACTGCTTGCTTCCCTTCGTTCTCGAGGCGAGCGCACCACGCAGCTGGATTTGGATACAGGATGGGAGAGAGAGCTTTGATAGGAGGCGGATGTGTTTCTGCAGGCGTATCGGCAGGCGAGAGGGTTTGGGTCGGGATCCGGTCTCTGGGTAGACGACTCCAAACAGACGGCTGCTCTTCACAGCCACAGATGTACGATGCCCTCTGCAGCCATCCATGCAGTTTCTCGCCCTCTTTTCCCTCTCGATGTAGCCGGTTACTCCCCCTCTCCCTCCAGTTTTACCCATCCTTAGGCCACCGTCGCGTCGATCTGCTCCCAAGTCCGCCTTTGAGTTATTCCCAAACGACCTCGGCTTCAACTCGAATTCTTATAGTTCACGCCGGTGGAGGGTTGAAGGGGCGTTATACGTTCGGGGCACGGCGCATCTTTTGTGCATCCATGCGCGCGTCGATGTTAACCTCTCAAAGACAACCCTTCCACCCTCCAAACAGACGACTACCCTCCCCAGCCACACCGCCGCACGCCTCTCAAGTCGAATCCCTCGTGTCGATTTCTGAATACCCAGGACGGGAGGGATAAGCTGAGGAGGATTGGGGCCAGGGCTCTCAGACCTGGGATGGTGTACCCGAGTCTGAGTGCCTGGGGCCGGGATGGTCAGTGGAAAGACCGACGGCTCTACTGAACATGGATATAGTTCGGCTTCCTCGTCCAAAGAATCGGGTCCACATCCCCTTCCGATGCAAGCACTCGACGATACGGCGAGGTGCTTGTTGGCTGTTGGAATCGACACTGCATTTTGCAATGCGAGGTTGGCTTGTCTCTCTGTTCGTGTAAGGCCACACACCGTACCCTTTCCTTCCCATCCGCCTACGTCCCATGCTCATTCCACTGGTCCCTCCGTACTCTACTCCCTCCTCCGTCTCCGCCTCCCTTCATCTTGCAAGCTATATCGGTACGGCTCCAAGGAAACCCCGACCAAACGAGCGCACGCCCGCATCAGGATTATGTTGATGCTTGAGAAAACTAGTAATGAGGCGAAGGGGGACTGCGTTTTGGGAACGGAGGGTCTTTGTGTATGCGCATGTGCAGAGGACGCGCGCGGTTTGATCATGGTGGGGAGATGAAGACCAGTCACACTTCCCCACCACCATGATCTCCTATCCTCTTGACCATTTCTGGTCTCCTCTTTCTCTTTCTTGTGTCTTTCGGCGGGGGTTCGTACATGACTCCGTCCTTAGACCTCTTCATTGTTGGCAGGGGTTCGTTTAATGACCCTGTCACTGTGTGTTTCATTGGCGGGGGTTCGTACAATGACCTCGTCGTGCCAATACCTCCCCGTCACTGGCAGGGGTTCGTTCAAAGACCCTGTCATGGTACAGATACCCATCCTGCCCTTCAGTACAAATATCTCTATCGTTGGTGACGATTCGTATAATGATCCTGTCGTGGGATCATGTTTCTTCCGTTCTCGCGTGTGCTGTTTTCTGATACTCTCAGCCTCCGAGTGTGTCTGGCAATCCCGCACGTACTTCACAGAGACCTTAATCTGATGGGTGTTACGCCGCATATTGCGCGAACTATGTGGGCGATGTCCTAGTGAAAACAGGGACTGCGATGTTTCTTTGCTCCAAGCATTGACGCACGCCGGTGCTCCATAGCCTCTGTGCTATAGTGTGTCCCTGGCAATGTTATTGCTACCACGGAGAGCCGTCAAAAAGCCTCCTTGTCGCAGCACCTTCCCTTGTTCGCCCCCATATTCATAGGCGTACACTTTCAATCTCATCCCGCCCCGTTGAGCGGGGTGAATGGAAATTTGGTCGATTACTAGTCTTTCTTTCTACTCGCTGCACTCGCAATTAATTACTCTTTCTGCTAGATATCGTCTTCGGGTGCTATTTCTTCATTCATTGTTCGTATGCTTCGTCGACGGGTTCCGTATAATGGCCCCGTCTTCGCTCTTTGACGCTATCTCTTCCTCTTTGCTCATTGAAGGCTGCTGAGCCTTTTCACCGTACACAGAAAGAAGGCATCGCACCTCTCCGCATTTCACACCCTAGTATACTGTCCTTATTGTTGCTCCCCACGTCGTTCATGATGCTACACTGGCGACGCTCGTGACCCTGATGTGGGGTCCTTACACTGCAATTATCTCACTGCAATGTATTATGCATATTTTTCTGTGATATATTCACCTGTCCCTGCAATTCCTTCAAATCCGTGAGACGTTCTTGGCTGGTGACTGAGGATATCACAGCGGCATGAGGGATTGTGGTCTGGCGTTCCTTTTTGGGACCTAGACCGGTTATCTATCTACCTCTACGCTCCGCTTCCTGTAGTTTTCGACAGTGACCGTGATCTCTACAACTTTGTCGACCAATTCCGTTCACTCGTATCCCAAATCAGCCAAGAGACCGATCAAGGTCAAGAATATGCTCGTCCTGATAGGTCTTCGAGTTCTCATAATTGTAACGAGCCTGTAGTCAATCATTGGGACACTGCGGGTCGTCACCAATGTCATTACTGATATTGCTGATGATTAGGTCTGACACAAACTTGATTCTGGGAGTTTCAAGTCGCGAGAACGAGCTTTCTCCGATCTTGTCTTCGGATACCTCTCTGTGATGGAAATTGTCTAAACTTGACGTACAATCGGAATCTTCTGGCAGTTGGAGTTTTCTTGAAGAAGCACCTAGAGATGTCGATGCCTTTACAATCGTAACTAGCGAGGGATATGGGGTACCAGACGGCTTATCCATTTCGATGTCGTTTAGTTCCATTCAAGTGTAATTGTGACTTGAAGTGATTCTGTCAGTTGGTAGCTGTCATTCAAAGCAGTAGATCAAATGTGAATGGTCATGGTGGGATGATTTAAGAAAAGCCAATAATATAATCCAATACCCGTTTACACCACAGAGCAAATAGAAAACACAAACACAGCGTCGTTATGAAGGCACCGGCACCGGCTTGGAGGAATTCTCCAGCTATTTCTTCCGAAGAACATTCCTGGCCCGCAGGTTCTCCGACGCCTTCTGAACATCCTCCTGCTGCCGTATCTTCCACAAATAGTCCTCCGAATCCAACACGAAGAACAGACGGTATATGTACGAACGCACACTTTGATCTTCAAGCCGTCACTGGTCTTGATGTTTGCTTCGGCTGGAATAGTCGCCGATAGATTTCTAGTGAAGAATGAATGAGCATCTGGCATAGTTCAAGGAGAGGCTGTGCTCACTTTTGTAGGAATGGCCGCATGATCTTCGTTTGGGATACATCGGTGGTCAGACCAGTCTATTTAGCAGGGTGAGGATCATAGACAGCGATTCAAGAAATAATTATAGCTCACTTGAGCATAGGATTTTATGTACGCCTGCCATCGCCCAGTCAATACCTCCGAGTCATCAAAGCTGGAATCATCCTTCCCAATCAACTGCAATGTCATCTTCTTAGATTCCGGCAGCTGCTCCCATCGCGTCAATTCCATATTACGATCTAAAAGTGTCGAAAGAACTTATCCAGTCGATACGGAACAGATTCTGATCCGGCCCAAGCACCTTTGAGCGTTATGCCGATTGTTCATGTAGTCTTGCATTGTGAGCGAGGGAATACTTCGGTCTCGCTTCAGAGTTTCTTGCAGCTCTTGACTCTTGGAGTCGGCAAGGATTACTTGGATCTGCCGGACACGTAAAACACATATCATCATCGAGAAACAATCACTCTTACCTGTTTGATAATCGATCCGATCAGCTTGTCGATGGTAAAGATCTTGTAGGCTTCCTGAAGAGTAATTGTAAGCCATACCATCGAATCGTAATGAATGAAGAAGACGCACCTTGACTCCAAACATAAGCCGCATCTGCTCCTCAAACGCTGGCTACTCCACCTCATTATCAAACAAGCGTTTGCAAGATTCGAGCATCAGCTCGTAAAAGTAGCTTGCATTGGCATTAGGATCGCTCATGCTCTCGATAAAAGCGGTAGCCTGAGGCGAAAGTCCGGTAGAAATGAGGGGAGCTTACCTTTGTGGCCCTTCCGTTGCAAGCTGGTTCGAGATATTTCGGAACTTCAAAAGACGCGTATACATGACCTATCACGACAATAGCATCAGAAGCTGCGAAACCGAAATGTCCGACCAACGCACCTCTAGTAGTCGCAGCAAAACATAAAAGTGGTTATTGGCGAAGAACGTATTCTTGACCCGTCGTTGCTGGCCTTCAGCTGGACTACCTTCAGCCGGCGCGGGCGACGGCACCCTGGAAAGAGAACGAGACGTTGCCTCTTGCGCTCTAGTTTTCCGGATCGTCGATTTAGCTTGCTCACTCTTGAGCAGTTTCCTCCTCAAGTCACCTGCAGCCGCTCCTATGCCTCCATTCCTCTCTTTACCACTCCCTTTCGAGCTCCCAACACTCGACACCTCCGCATCGCTAGCATCACTCACATCACTATCTGCAGTCTCTTAGACAATTTGGAAAGCATTATTGAACACCACAGGATCCAGGACAAAAAATAGCGGAACAAACGAGCGGAGGAGCTGCTCTATCCGTTTACGATCCGTGAGCGCGATCTGCCCTTGAGTGCGGTCCAAGAATGAGAACGTCAGCTTCAGTCCGTCCTGTATCACGGACAGGTCATCGATTACGAACTCTAGTTGATGGGAGGGTCGAGTCCTAGCGAAAAGGGGATCAATCGACGACACGCGTTTTGCCATCTGCCCCTCCTTCGCTGCCTCGATCTGGTTGACGAAGGACTTGACCGAGGTAGCCTTCTTGTCCACTGACCGGAACGTGATGCTCTGGTGGTCGAGACTTTTGATGTAATTCCTCGCGTCAACTTCTCGCCACACCTTGTTTCACTCTCTCTGTGCCCGCTTCCACTCCTCCTCCTTGGCCTTCAGCCGGAGAAGCACTTGAGGAATCGCCTGTGAAGGGTAGTCCTGCATCGCCTGAATCACCTCCATCCATTGTTGGTGACGGTGATTTGATCGTGTGTGGAACCGTCCAAGGTGCATTCGATACGATAACCCGCTGGTAAAAAAGTGTTGAATCCAATGATGAGCTGCGAGTGGCCGAAGAAAAGAAGGGATACACGCTGTATAACACCTGGTGTGTCGATCCTATGCTCCCTGTGAGGATAAAAACAGAAAGAGATCACGGATTATGCACAGCTGGCTCTTAAACTCCTTCATAATATCCAGAAATTGGTTATAGACGTCCGGCTGGTCTGGAACTGGACCTTGACAGCATCAAGGTAGCTGAGGGCATCTGTCACGTTGAGCGGATGGGGTTCCGGAGTATTCATGGGTGGCGAAGGTGGAGAGACGTCGACCACCATAGGATTCGACGGCTGCAGCAGTAGAGCAACCGAGTCCGACCTGGCCTCTGTCGTCACTGGGACCGGTGTAAGAGGCTGCTGGACGCCAGTATCCTTCACGGAGATCTCCTTGGAGATTTCGTTCTCCGGTGCGGTTGCCGTTTTCATGGAGGAATCGTCAGCTGTCCCATGGCTGGATATTAGGTTCTGATTGTCGGGTAAACCTGATCCTTTCGGCTTGGTGTCACGGACAGGCTCGGTATTCGGACTTTGGGATGGGATGTCAACATCCATGATGAATATGTCGTCATCGACAAGAGGAGAGTCCGGGCGTCGCTGTTGACGTTTTACCTTAATGTATTCAGGGACGCAAATACCCGTCGACCTTCCTTCACAAATCAGCCCTGTGCCTCGACGAAAAGGGCCTTTTCTCATTCAATGTGAGCAAGTAGCTTGAACCCTTATCTCATAACCTCGCCAATTCTACGAAGACAGGCATGCAGTCTTTATGGGTCCAACATATCCGCTTTCCAATTCAGTAGCTGACATCGATATGATGGTGCTCAAGACTCGAGTTCTTGTCAGTGATATGCTGGGTGATGGCGCGCCTGTCCCACTTCATGTCATATTCGATGCATGAAGCGAATCTCTCGGTCCAGGTAATATAAATCTCATCACATCTTCTTACTTCATAATCCTCTTCAGTGCTGCATCCGACACGATCTGCAATACCTCTGGAAAATGCTCGTTGAGCATCGTCCGTTTGGACATCCAACAACTATTCAGTATGTTTCGATTCAGCTACGTTTTCGGTTGATGACAGCAGCTATCTTAGTCTCTAATACATCAAACCGATAGGATATAATCGTATCAATGGAACGGTGCCGCGTGACACCGTGTAGACCCACCACGCTGTAAATAACAGCAGGGTGAGTGAACTCATCGTTTTTTATTTTTGGTTTGCAATTGAACCTTTCCACCAGTGGTGGGACATCTGGTCATGGTCGATTTGACGTGAATAGATTTATATACCAGCACACTATCGTCTCGTCCCGTACTTGCAGACCACCCACTTGTGGTCCGAACGTGTAGGCCCTACTTCCCAATTAGCATATATGATACTAACCATCTTTTAGTGATCTTGCTCATGACCCTACTATAGTCAGCAGTAGCGTACATGTGATGTATCGCCAAGTCACATCAGGGTCATTTATCAGGTTATCGCAGCGTCCCGCAACACCGATATGCATATGTCTGAAACTCTTTCATTCACTCCACTCTTCATCAATGGGCAGAAAGTCTCTTCCAGCGATGACAACACGTTCGACGTGGTGAACCCATACTCTCGCGCCGTAGTAGGAAGAGCTGCATCCGCGACCAGCGCCGACTGTCTTGCGGCTATCGATGCAGCTCATGCTGCCTTCAAGATGTGGGAACATTCTCCACTCCAGCAACGTAAAGACGTCCTCATCAAGGCTGCCGATATCCTTTCCACTGACCGCTACAAGCAACTTATCTTGCAGTCCATGAAGGAAGAAACTGCCACGCCAATCGACTTTTGTATGTATAACTGGAGCTCCTCACAGGCCTCTCTCCGTGATACATCAAAACATGGGGATCTTCTGGGTGATGAAAAAACAGCCTCGGACAGGATTCCCGGGGCGGAGGTCCTCGTTCAGAGAAGGGCGATGGGCGTGATGTAACTCGTTTTTATTTTTATGTATTTTTGACTAACACTGACGTATCCGCTAGCTTTGGCATTGCTCCCTGGAATGCGCCTATCACGCTTACACTGCGCGCCATTGCTGTCCCCATCCTTTGTGGAAATACTGTCGTGCTTAAATCATCGGAATTGAGTCCACGGAGTCAGTTCATCGTCGCGGAACTATTGCAAGAGGCCGGACTGCCTGCAGGAGTTCTCAATTTAATCTCCGTATCAAGGGAGGATTCGCCTACTTTGACTGCTGAAATCATTGCACATCCGTCTGTGCGGAAAATCAATGTCAGTCGTTGGACTTGGGTTTCTTTGCATCGACGTGCTCATTTGTTGCAGTTCACAGGTAGTGATCGTGTGGGAAGGATAATCGCGAGCGAAGCAGCAAAGTATCTCAAACCTTGTGTTTTCGAGCTTGGCGGAAAGGCGCCTGCAATTGTACGTCATCTACCATCTTTTGTGTATACAGTGTTCCCTCAAAACACTTCCACAGGTTCTCAACGATGCTGATATAGACGCCGCGGTGAAAGGTATCGTATCCGGAGCGCTCCTTTACTCTGGCCAAGTGTGCATGTCTACTAGTCGAGTTCTCGTACAGCGGGGCGTATCGGACACTCTGACAGAAAAAATCTGCGAGCTCTGCAAATCTCTAAAAGCCGGAAATCCATATACGGACCCTACGGCGAAGCTCACCGCTTTGTTTTCCCAGTCTTCTGCAGAGAATGTACTGGGTATGTTTCGCGAGGCGATTGGAGAGGGAGCGAAGGTCCTCGTAGGGGACGTCACGAGGGATGGTTCCGTGATACAGCCACATGTGTTCACAGGCGTTAAACCGGGTACTGGGCTATGGGAGAGAGAAGTGTTTGGTCCTGGTGGGTGTTTCCGTGACACGCGGATGTTCAAGTTCTAACGGATATTCAGAACTTTCAATTACAACCTTCGACACGATTGATGAAGCCGTAGAACTCGCTAATATGTCCGACTATACGCTTTCTTCATCTCTGTGGACGTCGGATTTAGGTGCTGCAGAGAAACTTGCACCTCGGATTCGAGCAGGTAAAGCAAATGCAATCCTATACCTTGACGTTTCCTAATAAAATTCAGGCTACGCCAATGTTAACGGCTCCACAATCCATTCGGAGTCATTCTTAGGACTTATTGGACTTGGGTGAATTGTTTACTCAAATATAGCAACTCAAGTGCATTACTGACTTTTTCGAAGCGGTTCTTCGGGATATGGCCGGTTCAGTATCGAAGACTTTACCGACAGACGTTTGGTAGTATTTCACCCATCACGACAATATCCTTTAACTTCATGAGCACCCCGGCACATGGCTCGGAACATCAGAGCTGTGGACCCGTTGCGGGTGCAGCACTAGCCGTATGTGACCATCAATGCTGTGCATACTGCTGTATGAAATGTCATAACTGTGAGGAAACGAAAAAGATAAGCGCCCAGTGGAAAGTATACATAGGTTACCTTTTCGATCCTTCCGTCCCATCATCGTCATCTTGTAATACTGCCCACTTATCGTACCACCTTACCCTCCTTCGAAGAAGGTGCCTATCTCCATTGCTCTTGCTTTGACGCTGACTTGATAATGAGCGCTCATCTATCATGACTCGCTCTGGAACCACAAGGTTCAGCAACTTCAGCTGTTCAAATTCCAATGCTGGAAGTTCGTGTCAAGCGCTTCAACTTCTGTATCACTTCACCGGCGCGTTATGCGTCAAATGACCTTTGTATGTTTTATTGTGTGCACTTTTTGACTATTCCGGTGCGTAGCAAAGCAGTTGCAGTCATGTGCTACCTAAGGCTTCTTTTGCGGCTGGAAGCATACCTAATACTCAGCTACATCTTCTCATCCTCTTCAATATATGCCCATGGAATCCTCCGGAGTCGCTCTGATCACAGGCTCTGCTCAGGGAATCGGCAGAGCCATTGCTCTCCGCCTCGCAGAGGACGGATTCCACATCTCACTCAATGATCTTCCTTCAACGGGAGCAGAACTTGATGTCCTAGCATCCGAAATAGCCTCCAAAGGCCGTAAATTTCATATAGTCACTGGAGACGTCTCATCTGAATCCGACGTGCAAAGGATGATCGGCTCGACAGTCCATGCTCTAGGATCCCTTGATGTAGTGAGCGACAATTACCTCTTATATTATCTTACGAAGCTAAGACTTGGTGAAGATGGTCGCTAATGCAGGCATATGCATGACAAAAAATATCATGTCTAGTACGTTCCTTGTGAATCATGATTGCAGTACGGATGTTCTGACTTTGGAAAGCCTCAACAGAAGAATGGGATCGAATTGCTGCCATTAATGGTCGTGGGACTTTCCTCTGCTACAAGTACGCCGCAAAGCAGATGATTGATCAAGGCCATGGCGGGAGAATTATCGGGGCATCATCCACTGCCGGCAAGACAGGTGCGCTGAATTATCGCGGGTCGCTATCCATGTATATAACCAAGTTCATTCGGTAGCCTCTCCTTCTGTACCGGTATATGGTGCATCCAAGTGGGCTGTACGTGGACTTACGCAGAGTGCCGGTGAGCACTATTCCATCAATTTGAAAAGAACGTTGTACTCATTCTCAACATGAATAGCGCATGAGTTCGGTAAATATGGTATCACTGTTAACGCTTATGCTCCAGGCACGTCTACTGTATATGCATTGAATCATATTAATTATGGCGCGTACCAGGTTATATTGAAACTGACATGAGTACGCTGTTTCATCTTCTATGGTTTATTCATACACTAAACGTCAACCCCAAGTCGCCGGCATTGCCAGTGTTATCAACCCCAGTAATCCGGAACAATACTATAAAGATGTAAGAGAACGGAGCGATGTAGGCAGAAACGGGACACCCGCTGATATTGCCAACTTGGTATCATATCTTGCATCCAAGGAGGCTAGCTTCATTACAGGTACGTATTTTTGTACCATCCCTGGTTCTTCCTGACCGTGGAGACTCGGTCTTTGGCCAGGTCAATCGGTACGACCCATACGCGCTAACGTAATGTACCCCAGCTTCTCACTCTCCTTACTAGGTATCTATCAACGGAGGCATTTATTGCGACTAGTGAAATGGTAATCACTGAAAGTTGAATTTGTACAACATAATTGCGATCGTCAACAACTGATTTTGATCCTAATCGAGGTGAGGCTCCTCTTGCATACGAGACTCAAGTCTGGGGACGTTCATCCCGGGAGATCCCAACTCAACAAAAGCATACAAGATGTTGCAGCAAGACCAATGCCGACGCGAAACGGACAAACAAGGCGCTGATCATACATAATTTTTGTAATACCGCAAGGGGGTATTTTATCTTTCTTAACGCTATCACAACATACGGTCGAGTCTGAGGGATGCTTGCCAATCATTCACGCCTTATTTTTACGGACCGTTATCTCCTTGGCCAATAGCGCTCTGCCTAGATCCTTCAATGCACTAACAAAGTGTACTTATTTATATGAGGCAAGGAACTTAAGTAATACATATCATGACTAGTAATACACGGGATAGAAAACCCAATGGTACAATAAGAACGATCTTCACGAAAGAATGAGCTTGAAAACACCTCCTTCAACAATCAACCCTCTGAACATCGTCTTTCCCAACAAAAGATCCACCCTCTTCACACCATCCTGTCTTTCAGCGCGTACCAGCTGTGGATTCCATCGAGCTCTGCACCTACGAGTGAAGGCCTTCGCAATGGCAGCCTTGTCACTCTCCGGAAAGCTCTGCCATTCTTCCCTGCTGATTCTCCACATCATCATACGATACAAACCCTGCAAGACATCTCCCAATGACAACCATCTGCTCCCATCTCCGATGCCAGTTATGGGCAAACATGGCATCGCATCGCAAATCACCGTCATATACTGAATGTGAGGGTACGTAGCCGGGCTGTTAAGCTCATTCATACCCAGCGGCACCTGTATACCCATGTTATCCACCCTGATCGGGTTGAACGCAGCCATCGAAAAGTCGAACCACAGGTATCCGAGTCCAGCTTGCACGTATCCAGTAAGCCATGGATTCATTTGGACCTGCTGGTAAATATTGTATGAGGAGGTTTGCTGACGGCCGCCACCTAAGGGTGAATTGGGGAATGAATAGTCGGAAGCGGCGGCGAAGTTCCCAGGGTGCCTGCGTTCATCGGGGGGCACCCACCCATTTGTTGAACCGTCGCCTGAGGCAGGTGGAAAGGGAACGGAGCCACGATATGGCGAAGCTCCGGGAAGGGGTACATTGGGGGCATAAGGCGAGGGGCTACCTGGATATAATGCAGAAGGAGGTATCAATGGGCTATGATTCTGCGCGGTACCGGCGGTGAAGGAGCCATGGGATGGCACGTAAGATGACGCAGTTGAACTATAGGAGAACTGTCCAGCAACAAACGAGAAGTCGTAAGACTCGTAACGTCGTGAATGCATCGGTAAACCCGTACGTAGCCTCTACGGTACTGGCTGCGTATTGCAAATGCCTCCTCTTCTGTTATGATCGTACCTTTCACTCGGGTCTCGCTAGGCGCTCGCCCTCCGCAATCTGTGGTCCGTTTTATCTGTCCTAACACTGCATATGCGACGATCTAAACAAGGCCACATCTGAGTTAGCCGTCAAAATAATGCAAAAGCTGATATATTTTCCTGAAGACATCTAATACACGGCTACAACGTATTTGTACACGGTTTTTCTAGCCCTTGGCCTATGCTAAAGGTAGTCCGCTGGATGATGCAGGAGCAGTGCTCAACAGGGAAGTTGCAGAGCGATATATAAAAGACTCTAAGTAACCGTAAATCCTGATACATCATCATAAACGGATCCTACCGTGATGATTCGATGCATAGCGCTAGCCGTCGTGGCATTCAAAATGAGCTAAAGCAGGATTCTGCCCAGACAATATAGCGTGCTCGCTGGTATGTACGAAAGGCCTGTCTTTGGGGCGGTACTTCCGCCCGACGCTTGCAGATACTTACCAAAATTATCACGGAGGCGCGCTGTCGCGTCTGAGATCTCAGATCACGGTGGATCGATATTATTTGCCTCGAAGATCGTCGTGTGGGTCCTAGAATGGAATGGTCTGCGATCGGTTAATAAAGGGTAAATCTTTCTCCGGTGGCAGCGCGACCTTTCCTCAAGCATACTGCGTCAGAAGGAGGCCATACCCGATAGGTTCCGTGGTAACATGCAGGTCTCACCGATATGTCTAAGCTTCCGAAACCAAATTGGCAGACCAGAGGTTTCCGGTAGGCGAGAAAATGAGGTGTATGGCGACAGTCAGCAGGGATGGTGTCCATACGAAGCTTCGGGGTCTCGCCCAAAAATGTGGCAATTGTCAGTTCAATGAGGATAATCTTCACAGGTTCAAGGCCGAACAGCTCGTTCAGAAATGGTAGAACGGATTCGGCAGCCGACGGAGCGAAGAGCAGGATAGCATGATGCAATCAGGCTTTCGGGTACGATATCCTTCAAATGCTACGAGAAAGTAGAGCTTCCTTGGACTTCGTGCACCTTGAGAGGATACAGAGAAATTCATGCACCGCCAATGATGCTAAGAAGGGTGTCGCGCTTCTAGTTGCCAATGAGTTACAGTAATTTCGTAGGACGGGGCTGTTCTGCGAACGAATTGGCGAGCTACTCTGTTGTCAGAAGATTTTCTACGAATGTCGGCGTTGAGCATGATGGAATGTGGTGCCGAGGCACTAGCCTTCCCGACAACGTAGAAGGGAAATTCTTTCGCTGAGGGTGAGCACAGGATTTTTGGTAACTGGATACGACACGTACCGTCTTACCCTGCACCCTGTACTGCTCGCCTTATCTCAATCTTCCATGAGCTTGTACTATTCATGATAATTCCATCGAAATCGCCTTGAGCCCTTCTGATACAAGCTCACTGACGTTGGTGAGGACCGTCTCCAGCGTTGGAATCAAGAAAGGCGTCTATTTTGCTGCAGTGAAGGAGGCTTCATGTCGGTCCTAGCCTCTGTTAGACGACGGCGTGGATACACAAAGGAGAAAGGAAGGAAGTAGGTTTTATTAGTCGTCGGTGCATTGGACATCATGGTGGTCGGCGGCAAAGAGCGAGACAGGGTAATGTGAGTCGTGACCTTGACCGTCGACCACCACGACGTCCAATACGGTCCATCCTTGTTGCCATCCAGGATGATTCCTCCACCGAAGATAAAGAATTACACCGGTTGGCGATACTGGTACGTATTTAATTCGCGCCGACGAGATTCTGCTCACCGTGTTGCAGTGCCGTCTAATTCTTCAGAAGAGGAGGTGTCAACCGTCGATGAATATGTTATACAATACCGTGGACGACGATACTGCGAGGAGTTGCAGCAGCCCTGTCGAGCTCGTGATGTCTTATGGCTGTAACCGGTAGCGTCGACTTTGACGACACTGCAGCACTGAACAATGAGACAGTTGAGATAGGGAAAACGTATCTCTTCGGTGGTAGGAATGCAGTGTACGTCCACTCTTATGCTTCTATAGTACCTCACCCTTACTGAATGCAGTTGGGAAACCGTTGAAGTCACAGACATGGCCACCAAAATGCCTTCGAGCTGACAGAATGGACCCGGAAACTTTCGCTGTTGTTATATGAAGGTCGGCCGATCCGAAACAAAACTTAACCAAGGAAAGGAGACCTCTACCTGAACGACCTCCGTGCCCCGTTGAAACCAAACGAGGAAGCTCACGACCTCCATAACCCAGCTATGGTCTGGCGGCGTCTGGAGCAACTACTGTTCTTCCGGTTGCAAGCATGGATTGGCCGCGAATTGACGGGAAGGAAGCTATCTCGAAAAGATAGAATTCTTGTGGAACCGGAACCCCAGATGCGACCAGTGAGCCCATTGCAATCATTACTATTGAGGAGCTGAGAGCCGACCTAGATTTTTTTTTCGCTCTAGGACTAGTTTTGTATAACCCTGGTCAAAGGGAATGAAACGGTATCTGATGTTCTTGCCGTCAGTTATCCCTTCGGGAAGAATGTCCATTCGAGGTTCATTATTTATGAGCACGACAAACCGTTGTTATGCGATTGTCCACGATAGAGAGGAAGTGGACGACCCATCTGAATTGCCTACGAACACAACTTCAATATCCTCATCGATACTCCGAACTACGTCCCCATATCTCCCAGTCCCAAGTTAAACGCCAGCCTCGCCGAGCCATGATCAAATACGAAACATGACGCAGTGTGTCTTGTTTTCGTCGCAGAACACTGGCAGTGACTTCCTCGAGTGATCAAGACACCACTTTCCTACATTCATACACCATTAATGAGCGATGGAAGCTTGGGAACCACCTTCATATGGGCCTATCATTGATCAATACCTGCAGAATCTAAATGACATCCATGACCGCGGCGGCGGGTACAAACCGAGGCTACTCTTGAACCGCATCAAATTTTCGTCTGTCATCACGTGGACTGTTTCCACCTGGGGCCTTATCTCCTTGCTCTTTACCTTCCACCGCAAGCTTAGCCACTAAGAAAAGTCCAAAAACGCGGCAGACAGTTGTAAGTCATTTGTCTGGCCCTGTGTACCAGTATTCTGAATAATGATCATCGCTCCTAGTCTCGCCAATTGCACGATTTCACGAAGTTATCCACAGCATGCCGCTCAGCGAAAGGGTATGAAATCCTCCATGCATATCGCATTGCGCCATGTTTATCAGCTTTGTTTAGGACCCATGCGCGAAATGTCACTTCGGCGCAATCTATCCCTATAAGCCCTCCGTCGATACTACCGAGTGTCTATACTCCGGTTTATCCTCCACTGACGTCGATCAAGAGGCGATCAAGGACGATATAGCCAATCTCGAGGATGAATGGCTTTCACATCGAGTCTCTCTTCATCCAGATTCGAGATCGGCGAAATAAACTCCTTCAAGATCTCGATAATTGCAAGGCACTGTTATCGCCGATACAGCGCCTTCCTCGAGAGTCTCTTCTCGAGATATTCGAGGACTTATCTTCCTCTTTTACGGGCATTTCGGGTGCGCCTTGGATCCTAGGCCATGTATATTCACTTTGGCGCATGTCCTCTCGCTCTTCTCCTACACTGTGGACTAAGATATCCGTCCGTGGACCTGAAATCTCCAACGTCAATTTTCTCACCTTTTACCTCTCTCTTTCCCGTGATCTTCCTCTGGATATATACTGTGGAAACATTACAAGCTCAGCAATGGATGCTCTCAGTTGCCTTGCTGTGCATTCCGCCCGCTGGTCCAAATTGCAGCTTCAGATGGACCCACGCGAATTTTCCCAATTTTTGTCTTTTGTTTCTGTCCCCCCGGTCCGACTAGAGAATCTTTGGATTTTCATTTGTCATTATGGTTTCTTCGACCGGTCTTTTCTCCCTGCTCTTAGCTGCAGTAATCCCTTCGCTGCATCTCATATAATAGATGCCACTTTTCAATCCCTCGCCTATCCGACCCTCCCCATATATCTCGAAGAACTACGGAAGTTCTCCGCGTGTATTTAAAGCTCTTCGGACCTTCTACCCGTCTTCCAGCAGGCCCGTAAACTCACCTCATTGTCCGTAGAATCCGTCAGACGCCCGCCGGAGGCTGTTTCTCTGGACATTCCCCCAGACCAGTTTCCTTCCATTACGCACACATATCTACGACGACTCAACTTAATGGTGCACATGTCAGAGGCTTTAGGCCCTCATACAAGCATTCACGATATCTTTGATTGTATCTCCCTTCCCAGTCTACAGACATTTTCTATCTGCGCAGCCAATCCTTATCTCTTTCCAACAGCTTTAACACCGGTGGAGGAAGACCGCCTTCTTGGGCTCTTCCGTCGTTCCAATTACAATCTGACAACCCTTCACCTTTGCATTCCATACGCCGTTGATACGTTCCTCGTCCCCGTGCTCGTTCAATCACTGCAATCTCTGGAGATCAAAATCGATGCTCAGGTAGCAGGCGATGTTTTTAGATTACTCTCCGAAAGCTGGGAACGCGCCTAACCTCAAGTCTTTGACCATTGACGAAATTCCTCTTTATGGATCTATGTGTGGTCTTTTACGAGAATCTGTGGCGCTTCATGCTATGATTTGTGCTAGGTGGTGTCGGGGGCTAGAGACATTGAGGTTATCTCTGCGTTTGGACATTGTCGGTGACACCTTTGTCATTCTGTCCCTCCATTCCGTGATCTGTTCAGGTTGAAGGAGGAAGGGCTGGATGTGGAGTTCCTGTTCCATATGAAGGACTGTCTTCGAGACGAGGATGTGCATAACAAGTTCTTCGGCACATCCTAGACTGTATTAGCTTTGTTATATACTTACCATACCTTCCTCTGCCCTTGCTGCACTCCTTGTCGTCATATGGTCCTACAATATTCACTCAAGCTTTTCCAGCTGAACATTACAGTCCAGGAGAGTGGGATTCGTTCATAAATGGGCTGCCACTCGAACCACGTCCCATATCCCCCAGACCCAAACCAAACGCCGGCGCCGAGCCATGATCAACTCCAGAACATCTTCGTCGATAGCGTCAAGCCTGCCATGAGTACTAGAGCTAAGCAAATGTGATGACATCTATACTTGAAAAGTATGCTCGTTGCTGCCGACATTCTGGCAGCTCGCCTTTCCCGTAGACAGTAAATGCATAGTTTAAATTGTGGCTTGTGGCATAGAATGTGGCATATATAAAATATTAAACGAAGGAAAGAATCGACGACGACCTATTCCCAGACGGTACCAGCTTCTGAACAAACCTTCGGAAGAACACCCGTTTCTTCTGCGAACTAGCGCTGTCAACCAAATCAGCCGGCTGAATAGGCTTCTCGTCATCCTTGACCACCGAGGCCACGTCCACCTCACCAATACCCTCTCCTTCTTCCATATCCGGCACCTCGACATCGACGTGAACTGGGTGAGTCTCTGGCGTGATGGGTCCGTCACTGTCCACTGACGAAGCCAGCGAGCTGGAGGACGTGACGGGACGGATAACCCTCAGCGACGGCGGCGCGGACGATATGTCACGCTCATCGCCTGCAAATCGAGAGTACACGACTTCCGGAGCGCTGACGGGTCTTTCGACTCCAACAAGACGGATTGCGCCAACGTCAGATACAAGTGAGTCGTTGTCTTCAACATCGGCTTCTATATCGTCACGGACGACCAGAAGGACATCATCTTCATCATCGATACGCAGCGCACCAATCTCGCTCGAGGGGGTGGAGCCCAGTGATGAAATGGAACGTTGGAGCGTAGGTGAGGTACGAGATGAGGAATCGGGAAGAGGCTCATCGGAGAAGAATGTCTCGAGTTCGGTGATTTCACGGTGAAGGTTATCCAAGGAAATTCGACTACGAGGTTCTAGACGGAAGATCTTCTTGAGGATGGTACAGGCACCGGTAGAAATATCTGGCAAGGAACGTTCCAAGTGATCTCCATCCTCAAGATATGACCTGAAGAAGAAATCTGTCGTCATTGCCACCGCCCAAGGAGCACGCCTAGTGACCATTGTTACGAGAACAACACCGAGAGCCCAGATATCGTTTGTCCGAGTCGAGTACCTTCTGTGGGGTGTGTAACCGAACTCTTTCCCTATGCATTCTGGTCAAAAGTCAATAAGAAGGGGCGCATATATGAACATAAAGACATACCAGGACTCATGTACTCGATGCTCCCGCACTCATGGGTAGTCGAGGTCCCACTCTGCGTCGACAGACCAAAGTCGGTGAGGTAGATATGCGAACCATCCTTCGAACAGAGGATATTCTCAGGCTTGATATCGCGATGGTACACGCCATTCTCGTGACAGAACGCGACGGCGTCGATGAGCTGTAGAAAGGCGTTTCGTACCCGGTCGTCTCGCCGATAGAAGAATTTGGTCTGAAGAATCCTGTCGAAAAGGTCGCCTCCTTCGCAGAGATCCAGCACCACGTAGATAAAGTCGTCGTGGAAGATGGCTTTGTGGTATGTAATGATGTTGGAATGGTCAGAGACGGAACTATGGTTGTCGAGTTCGCGCATCTGGAAACAGTGCTCGCGAGTGCCTTCTTCCAAAGCACGGAGACATTTGACAGCATAGAAGGATGGATTACTATTAGGCGATTTAGTATCCAAGGCTCGATAGACCTTTCCAAAGGCGCCAGCGCCGAGGCAGTCGAGGAGACGAAGACGGCCCTTGTCGAGGAAGGTACCGGTAAAGTCTGGGAAAGATTCCGTCGCGAAAGGCATCGAAGAAAAGGTAGGATGTGCAAAAAGTGACTATCAAAGTCGAACGAAGATGAAAGTAGGAAGTCAAGTTGTAAATGACGCAGATCGAACCGACGCGTCCTTTTTATACGCGTGTCCAAATTAGGAAGGAAGCATGCCCGCTTTCCCGGAGGCGAAAAAACTGAAGTAAAAAGCCATTTCTGCCAGGATACAATTCGTATATTGCTGCTCAGTATATGTCCTTGGAATGGCGTTAGTCAATTCTAGATGAAACTATCATACAACATACGAGAGTACCCTCCATGTATGTAATTAACACAAAACCGTAAACATAGATACACTCCTTCAAGCCCAGCTAGACTTTCTCGCACCGCTTCTTGCATATGAATCACCGCTGCCACCGCCCGAATACGAGCCTCGGTCTCTACTTTGACCGCTCCTTCCGTACGAACCACCGCCTGAATATGATCCCCGGTCTCTATTTTGACCACTCTCCCGGTACGAACCACCACCTGAGTACGAGCCCCGATCTCCACCACGGCTACCCTGTTCATAAGAACCTCCACCACCACGACCACCGGCATTCCTTTGGTACGAACCGCCACGATCTCCAGATCCTCCCTGTGGTCTGGAAAAGATACCCTCACCTGTACCTTCCCGCTCGGCTTCCCTTTTCTGCCTCAATGAAGCCCTCAGGTACTTCTCACCATAGCTCGTTCCCTTGAATTCGCTGAGATCCAAACTACGCTCTTCCGGCGTCAGGTCACCACCCTCATCTACTTGATCCCACAAAATATCTCTCGTCCTCTGGTGTCCACGTCCAGACCATGCTGTCGCCCGGGCACGTACAGCGGAGGCAGCCTTGCCCCTGCCGAAATACTTGGTCCTGTTATCATGGACACCCATCTCAGCGAGGAACGCCTGCGACACCATAGGGGCCTCCTCCAGCCCACATCCAGCCGTAGTCCACTCCTTCAAACCCTCAAACACAACGCTCTTGCCCACGCGAAGCTCAGAATACTTGGGGAAGTAATAACCGAGCATGGACATGAACGCCTCCTTCACGGCCTGGGGATCCAAGCGATCATACCGCAAGTGGTTTACTGAACGCTCAATCTCTTCCAAGACAGGTGCCATAGGGTGCCTGTACGTTGTAGCAGCGTGCTTGTTACCGCTGAAATGTGCGACAGGGTTGGTATCGTACTTCTGAGCCAGTTCCGTAACCTGCGAATCAAGCTCGGAGGTCGATAAAGACTTGAGCGGTATCTCTGTGAGATGCCATGTCAGGAAGCCGATCTCCCAAGGAAGCAGGACCAAGTCGCCTCGTCCCGCCATTCCGGCACGACCCGTACGACCAACACGATGCACATATTGCTCCATACTGTGAGGAATTCCCACCTGGATGACACGCGTCACTCCGGGATAATCGACACCACGAGCAGAAACATCCGATGTTACGAGAATCGTTGGTTTATCGGTGGTCTTCCTGAACGTGTTAGACATCTTCGTACGCATCTCCTGAGAGAATTTGGAGTGGATTTCTCCAACCCAGGTGTCTTTGCCTGCAGGAAGGACAGCTTTGGCAATCGTTTTCAACATCGACGAGAACAGCATGGTGAGCTTAGTCGTAGGCAAGAACACAACGACCTTGGATGATCCGGGGTGCTTCAGCTGATCATGTATGATGAGCTTGACGATGTGGGGGAGCTGATGTGAAGGATTCGGAACCGTGGTAGCGTACTGGGGGATGTTGAGATGCGTAGGAGTCGAGTCATCAACACAATTGACGTATTTGTAATCCTTAGCCAACGCCTCACGAGCAACCTGTCGAATAGCCGGAGTGAGGGTAGCGGAGAGGAATAGGGTTTGGCGTTCGGGCGAGGGAGGTAGGTCCCTAATGATTGCACTAATATCGTCCCGGAAACCAATATCGAGGAGCGTGTCGACTTCATCAAGCACCAACTGCATACTCATCATCAATAACGTGAATGTGAAGATAAAACAAACTCACGGTACGCGTTGTTTTCAAAACCTTTGCAATATCCGGTTCAGAGTTGACGATATCGCGTATACGACCGGGGGTCGCCACAACAATATCCGGTCGTCCTTTGGCCCAGTCACGTAACTGTACACGCTTGCTCATCCCGCCAACCAAAAGCCGAACCTCGAATCCCTCGTGGTGGTACGAAAGTCTCAAAGCCTCGTTGGCAATCTGTGTAGCCAACTCCCGAGTAGGACTGATAATAACTGCTCCGACATTTGACCGTGCCCAGTTCTTCGCCGCCTGTCCAGCAAGATGAGGCTTGGAAAGCAACCCATCTTCCAAAACCCTCTGTTTACCGGCATTTTCAATAGCCCTAACGCGAGCTTCGATGATGGGAACCAGGAAAGCTAAGGTCTTGCCCGTACCAGTTCGTGCACGGACGAGGAGATCTCGAGTGGAGGTAGAGTTAGGGTCGTAAGGCTTCGCAAGATCTGGAAGGAGCGACAAGACTTCCTCTTGCACGGGGGTCATGTTGGTGAGTTTGAAGGGCTTGACGGTGATGGCTTTCAAGGTTTCGGGAAGGAGAACATCCTTGAGGCTAGTAAAGAGCTTTCCGGTCTTCCCTGGCACAGGCGCAGATTTGGGTGTCACGACGGCACCGACATCCAACGAACCTTCATCTTCGTATGCTACCGCCGTCGACGCTGAACGAACAGAGCCTGAAATACCATAAGGAGATATTCAAGGTACACAGGCCCACAACGCACCATTCTTTTCTAGCAACCGTAGAATCCCATTCCGTTGCGAAAATGTAAGGAGCGAACGTCTGGACATACAGTTCGTCCGACTTATTTTTGAGGCCTGGAAAGCCCGAAGGCCGGCTGGCAGGGCCATAGTGAGAGCTTCTTGTAAAAGCTATTCACTTTCGAGCCCAACAGAAATGTCGAGGACGATAGGTCGTGAGCGGAGGATGAAGGAAGGAGAATACCGAAAAGTCGTCTCGTAGGAAAAAAATTCATGCACGTGATCCGATCAAGCGCCAGAGACGATCGGTCCGAAGATTTGTTCACCAACCATGTACGCTGGCCGCTACGCCTGAAGATTCTAAGACGGCTACTATTACATTCCGGTAAGCCAATGTTACTGATTAAACACATAGCGCATAAAATGGAATCCGTTTCCCACATTGGAGCGCAGATTTAGATCGTTTTCCATGGCCCAGCCCGGAATATTCGAAGGATCTACCATGTAGTCGCATCGCTGATGCCTTGAGCGGTAAATATCGGTTTTAATTTTTTTGGAGACCTAAATTCGACCATCGACCATCAAGCAAACGCAAAAATGAACATACATCATCGTGCGCTCCACATGGTCGACTTCGTACATCGTGTGCGCCGCCGACCTATTAATACTAGTAAGGCAGCACTATTGGATAGCAGCTGCTGTTACATTTCCCATGCATTAGCAACACTTGACCACTGCACCTTCCTTGGCAGTTTTTGCGAGGGATTCTTCGGAGATTTGCCGGCCCAAAGTTGTCAAGGCTTCAAACATTGACACTCTCGTGATGTCCTTTGGAGAGCGACCTTTTTCTACCATTTTCCCCTATGGCTAAACTTTGAAAGGTTAGAACCCAATAATAACTCTATCGCTTCAATGGACGTCGATAAAGGCTGCAGTATTCCCACAAGGAGATCATGCTGCCCCTATCGTTATATGGAGCTGAGTGTGATGGGAAAAAACAGGACCATATTCCTACGGTAGAGATGTCCTGATCTATTCTGACAGAACCATATCCATGTACCAGAACCGATTCAGAGAAGGTCGCGAGTTGAAAGCTAATGTTATTCTTGTTGCCTTGGAAAGCTTTGGGTCCAAGCTACGTGCACCTAACCCGCATAGGTTTTCTTCGAACACGCTCGATGTGTGGCTATGTATGAGCGTACGCAGTAAATTAAGCTCAGCTATCAATTCGGACAAACTCCAGTGGGTTCTTTGGTGTGGTCTAAAGCACAGGCTGCGCAGCAGTGATTCTTTTGTTCGCCATTCTGGTGTCTACCACTAAACGACATAGCAGCTCGCGACCTCAATACTAAATCAGGCTCGGTAATCGCGTGTCAAGCTAGAAGAAGGATAGGTTAATATTCCCTATTTGAAGCAACTCGACCAACTCTGCGATTAGTGTGTATATTTACCCGGGCACCTAATGAGAGTGGTATGAGACATCCGTCATCCGGAGCTCTGGCCTGTCAATATGGAAGCACATAAGAATAGTATCATTACAGATTTCAAGAAAACAGCACTGCTAAGGGGCGGATCTAGTACTGATGTTTGACAAAGAAGAGCTTTAGCGCTTGACGGGGTTGATGAAGCTCCGATTTACTGATGGGTCTCTGCGATAAACTGTAGCTACGGCACCAGTTCTCTTGTTCAGGACGATATTTTCTGGTAGAACTTGAAATCGCAGACTAGATGGGGACGGAGCTCGGTTGACTCTAATCCGGCAGTTGCCGTGGTAGTCTCGGTGGGTACCTCGGCGCCATCACGAAATGATCGGATAGTAGGATTTTCATCAGGAACCATATCAAAAACCTTAGATTTCTAAAGAGAAAGGACAGGTTTGGGAGGAAATCGTTAGAAGATGTCCCATTTCCACCAGATTCTGAACGAATCAGGACACAATGTATGAGCGTCAGCGGTATGAAAGGAGCGGGATTATAATAAATCGCAACCAAACAACTCGATCGCGTCTTAACCTCTCACCACCACCATCCTCTCCTCCTCCTCCTCCTCCTCCCGCTCAGCCGGGACAGCCCTAGCTGCTGTACACTGGTGTTACCGCTAGGATTCAGTCACACAATCACCGCCCGCGGCGCCCTTTCGAAACGCGAAACACTTCCTGGCCCCCTGTGATAAGTATCTTGGGCGTCTAAAAATCTGGTTATCAATCCGCTTGCGACGACATCGCGACTGCGTTGATTTGCCTAGGCTCGGAACTCGCTGCTCTGTGCCGCTAGGACAGCGTCATCGGTACCGCACCCATATTTTTTACTCTGTACCTGCCGACTGATTAGCATCTTTTCATCAGGACGCCACCGACATACTATCTTGTGGGACAACAACAAAAATACATCATCCCAAGTCACAAAAACATAGCTTATTGCAGTCTCTACACTCTGCTGTCTCCAAGGATCAAGTGATTCAGCCTTCGTCACTCTCTCCACATCAGCTCCAGATAAGCACTGCTTTTGTACAAGCTCCTGTGCACAAGGGCGATTTATAAAGGGCGCAGCAATCTCGAGCCCACTCTTTCTCATAAATACTCGCTCTTTATTTTGTCTTTTACCCCCCACTTTACGACTTCTCAATCATGGCCGGACGATTCACCTATACTCCCGCTGCGTCGTCTTACATGCCATTTTTCGATCCCTTCAGTGCCGCAGCCGCGCAAAATAGCCCCTTCATACCTTCTCCTGCGTTATTTCCTGGTACTCCCTCGCCTTACGCCCCCAATATACCCCTTCCCGGAGGTTCACCACTTCTTGGCCCCGTTCCCTTCCCAGCTACCCCAGGTGCTGGCCCCGAAGTCTTCTACGACCCAGCTGCTGGGTGGGTACCTCCCCGTCAACGTAGGCCTTCTTGGAACGGTCCCGATCATCCATTCCTCAATCAACCCTTAGGCGCTCGTCAACGAACCAACTCATTCGGGGGTATTGGCGGTCAAGCAAGTACTCACGGAAACCAGTTCTACGATCCCTCCTTGTACAACCTTTACCAGCAGAATCAGCAGCTACCCACGCAGCTTCAAATCAATCCGTGGCTCACTGGATACGCGCAAGCAGGGTATCTGTGGTTCGACTTGTCGATGGCTGCGTTCAACCCAATCCGGGTAGATAATATGGGCATGAAGGTGCCTCTTGGTATGAACGAGCTCAGTGGTCCGGCCACGCACCCTCATATCCAGCGGATGACCATTATTTGCGATTCCATGCCGTATTGGCCCATCACCATCGGGGATGGGAGCAGAGGGCTGGCGCTGGGAGACGTCTTGCAGGGAGTGTACCGTATGATGATGTGGAGAATCAGCGGGGCAGAATGGCAGAGGTTTCCGGAGGGTGACAAGGCTGCCATTGCGAAGGCCTTCGCTCGTAGGTGCAAAGCTCTAGGGAACCCTCAGTTGCAGAACGCGGAGAGGCAGGACGGAGTGAAGAGAGTGGATCTTTTGTTGGGAAAGACGATGTTCAGAGGGTTGGTTGTCGAAGGAGGCGTTTTCAAGCTTCTTCTTTTGTGAAAATCGTTATCATTGTACCATTGTGTTTTCTATCTTGTTTACCAGTCATGATATGCATTATGTTTATTTATAAATATGTGCTACGAAGATTGTCCTGCCTCTTGCAACACATACTGAGTCACCTCCTGTACAGTCCCAAATGTTCGGTAGTTACCCGCTGCCACATCTTCGCACGTCACCAGCACCGCACCCTCAGCCGAATCTCCCTCATCCACGAACCAGTCGATAGTATCCTGTGCTATGGAGCCCAAGTCGATACTGATCCCGTTAAGGGTAGGCGGGACGCCGGAATCCCTTATACACACCCTCGCAGGATGCTCAGGGATCGTCGCTTCGCTGATCGTGAATATCCTAGATGTATCATCCGGCACTTCACCCGACTGCAGGAAGACATTATCCCGCAGCTGGACAGTCGACTGGTTGTACACCCCCAGGTGGTACTCGAAGACAGCATCCAAAGGCATGTCCTCTTCCCTCCAATTCAGATTGGCACTGAACCGCGGCTCGTTATTATTGACATCCTCAAACAGGTTCGCATACACGTCAAACGTTCCAAATCGCATGGCGGGGTTCCTTGAAGCCGAGTTATTGAAGTGGTTACCGAATATCGTGAAATGCATTTTCCCGAGGTCGCGTGGGGCCTCTTTGGTGCCCCCGCCGAGGAGGAGGGATTTATGGTGGTTGCGGACGATGTTATGCGAGAAGGTGACGTTGTCGGTGCCGTCTTCGCAGTCGAAGAGACCTGGGGGCGGGGAGTCTTGTTAAAGACGGAAAGGGGTGGGGCGAAACGCCCACGTACCATCAAATCGGTCTACCTGCCAGCCCGGGTCGATGATATCCGGTTGGACGTATTCGCCGCTAAGCTGATCCTGGAGCTCACATTGATCGACCCAGACGTTCGTAGCTGTGACGAGTCCTACAGCATCGAATCTATAGGCTCTCAACAAGCGTGTGCCTGAGGACAAGAATATCATACCTGGCATTCCACGATGAAGGGAAGGTTTCTGGGGCTGGGAAGCAATCCGCCGGCGAGACAAGTTTGAGGTTCCGTATCCAGACGTTATCCACCGAACTCAGGTATAGGTTGATCCCGTTCAACGCTGCACTTTTCCCTATCCCGATCAGCGACGTGTTATTGGTGAGTGTGAATCCTACTTGAGCTTTCTGGGTGTTGGATACCACGGGCCGCCAGCCGTTCTGGTGCCCAAGCAGGGCCCGGTATTCCGTGGCGTTCTTTCCTTCGAAGGTGACGTTCTGGGATATAGCGTCCTCAACGAGCGAGACGTAGGTCGCGTTAAGGCTGAGAAGGTACAGAATGAAGTCGAATTGACTGGATGCGCCGCTCGTGGCGGCGGTATAGTATTCGCATGTTGCAAAAGTACCTGTCAGTATTTGAGTGATTGAAAATATGACGGGTATCGTGGAAGGGTACCGTTGTCGAGCTGGTTCCCTTCAATGGTGCCGTTCACGTAGATCGTTTTAGTGAAAGGTAGAGCGAGAGCCTCGCGGAGCTCTGTGTGATTTGAAACGATGTAGATCGATGTTTCATTCGTCGATCCTCCGGTAGACGTGCCACCATATCCGAATGGGGAGTGGCTTAAACGAGGAAGCGTCTGGGAATCCCCTGCCATAACATTCAACATGAATACTGCGTAAAACAGATATGTACGTACCTGTGAAGATGTCCACGGATAAGACTTGCAGTGGAACCAGAAGGACAAGGAACAGACAACGCCACATATTTAGAGCTTTAGAAAGCAGTCTCATACGTTCGTTTTCTCAGGTATAAGTACCTACAACGGACCGACGGACCGACTCTGAGAAGATGGCAACCTCACGAGGAGGCTCAGGACCATGAGCATCACTCCGACGAGAAGCCGAGCGGCGTTGGATGAGAATTTCTGTCACGAACAAAATTTGGACGTAACAGTAGTCTGAACTTTGGATAATTTGTACCAAGGAGGTCACAAGAGGTACTGAAAATTAGATGCATTGTTAGTCCAAAATATCGAGAGGAACAGGGCGTACGTGAGATTTAATCAGAAGATAGGCAGTTGTAGTCTAGCACTACGTGCATATTCCCCACAGCATGTCATGCACACAAATCACATCATCGGATGATTGGTCGTTACAGTTCTGCCAGTAGGTCCTGATCTTCAACTGGACCTGATTTGCGGCAATTTCGGACCGGCTGCAACAAACTGTAAACAGCCATCAACAAACACGTCACTCTACATTTCAATCTCCTTCACTTCCCTTCATTTCTCACTACTCGTGTTCTTCCGACGGGCTCTCAGCTGAAACGACTCTCAACCTCAATGGCCGACTCAATAATGACCGAAATTCGAAAAATACCGCCAGTGACGCGGTTCCTTTCTGCTTCACTTCTGGGCGTGTCAATACCGTATCTTCTTGGGATAATATCACCGTATACTTTGCTTTACCATCGAGATTCGGTGCTGCAAAGGCTGCAGGTAAGTCGGTAGCAAGTTTTTATCTCCAAATTTACCCAGATGTCTACAGATATGGCGCCTCTACACAAGTTTCTTTATTGGAAGTAAGGGTAGTTTGAACGACCAATGTTCATAGGATTGACGACGGCTATTCTTTCCCTGCAGGCTCGGGGATAAACTTTATATTTGAACTGGCGATGCTCTAGTGAGTTTAGTAACTGTCTGGACTTGGACCCGCCCTCATCTTACCTAGCCAAACATCCAACCAACTCGAAGCCACATACGATTCTGCAGACCTTGCCTGGCAATTATTTTTTGCTTGTGCAGCGATAAATGTACGCCGGCGCATCACTCACTCGGCTGCCTAACTAACTATCTACAGGTTGCAAGCCATCCTCTTGGCGCTTCTATATTTCTACGACCTCTCATGCACTGTCTCACATACATCTCCTCAGCGCGCGCTCCACCGGGCTCGCAATCCTCGTTCTTCGGTCTTCTTGCCCTTCCTGTCGTATATGTACCATACACGATGCTGGCTGTTGAGCTCCTCATGGGCGGACCAGCAGCGGTAGGTCGAGCTGTTGTCGGAACCATCGTAGGCCATCTGTGGTGGTGGCGTGTTTGGAATGCCGGTGATGCACAGGGCGCAGCGTGGGCCAGGGCGCCACGGTGGGTCAGAGATCTGGTTGGCTCGAGAGCTGTATCTGGAGGGAGCGGGAGTACCAGTGGTGTACATGTGTATCCACCTCGTACCCGGGGTGGTGCATCAGGGTCTGGAACCGGTTCAAGCAGTGGGACTAGCAGGGGGTACAACTGGGGATCAGGACACCGGCTAGGGGATCATTGATGGAAATGTTGGTACTTTTGATGTCTTCACCTTTGCTGTTCTAACGCGACTTCAGGTAATATTGATACTACTAGGTTTTTTTGGTCGTCAAAACAGCGCCAACGTGTATATCCAACTAAAAGAATTGAATATTCATTCTATCTATCACTTTTGAGATAGCCGTCCAGTCAGCGCGATTAATGGTATACCTATTTTTGACGACTATTCGTGCTGACTGTAGACGATTCTGTCAACAGCAACATTTTACTCCCGTCCGCAATCGGCCGATGATATACATCGGTCGACCTTTCCCGAACGGCGTGGCATCATTGTATCTGAGACGACACTCACCATCTACCTCCATGTCTAACCGTCCCAAGTTTGAGGCGGCATGGGTGACCATTAAGCAAGAACTACTGGATCATTTCAATGGCGAAGGCATGCCTCAAGATGCCGCAGAGTGGTATGAAAGAGTGAGTCCCCGTCGGTTTCTCGTCACTTTATTTTCCCTTACGCGCCAGACAGAGCCTAGACTACAATGTTCTAGGAGGCAAGCTCAACCGCGGAATGTCAGTCGTCGATACCATCAAGATACTCAAGGGGCGCGCTCTCACTGATGACGAGTATATGAAGGCGGCGGTGCTGGGATGGAGTGTCGAGTTGGTAAGCTGACCATGGCTCATCTACGCGCCTCAGCTCATTACCTTTTCAGCTCCAGGCCTTCTTCCTCGTCGCCGACGATATCATGGACAGCTCAGTCACGCGCCGCGGCCAACTTTGTTGGTACCGCGTTCCCCAAGTTGGGCATATCGCAATAAATGACTCGTTCATGCTTGAGAGCGCCATATACTTTCTCCTTAAGAAACACTTCCGAGCAGAAAGCTACTATGTGGACCTACTCGAGCTGTTCCACGAGACTACCTATCAAACAGAGATGGGTCAGCTCATCGATCAGCTCACGGCGCCTGAAAATAAAGTTGATCTTAGCACGTTCTCCTTAAACCGGTAAGAGCCTTTTCATTCTAGGAGGGGTTAGGGTATTCACAACTCGTTATGCAGACACAGCCTCATCGTGATATACAAGACTGCATACTACTCCTTCTATCTCCCTGTAGCACTCGCCATGCACATGTGCCGCGTTCCCATAACTTACACCATCGACTCGGCTACTGTTCAGCCATACGAATCCGCTAAATCCATTCTGATCCCTCTTGGCGAGTACTTCCAGATCCAAGACGACTTCCTTGACTTTTCTGGGACCCCGGAGCAGATCGGGAAGGTCGGCACGGATATCTTGGATAACAAGTGCTCGTGGTGCATCAATACAGCTTTGGAGCTGGCATCTCCGGAGCAGAGGATAGTACTTGATGAGAATTACGGCCGGAAGGATCCTGCGGCTGAGGGAAGGGTGAAGGTGGTGTTTGAAGAAGTTGGGTTGAGGCAGAAATATCATGCTTATGAAGAGGGCGTCTACTCGGATCTGGTGCTGATGATTGAAGCTATACCAGAGACACAGCAGGAAGCAACACTCAAAAGAGAAGTGTTCCGGAGTTTCCTGAACAAGGTCTACAAGAGAGAGAAGTAGGACATCATGAGATGATAGAAGCTTGGCCTCGCGCTACCGAACTAATACAACTTGGTGCGCATCCCTATTTTTTTACTTGCACCATGACCTCCCGTTGACTGACATCTGGAAACTCAGGAAGACGATTGTCTCGTAGCAATGGTACATGACATTGAGATGGCCTTTCAATGATTAGGACTTCAAGCGTCAACCACCAGAGAAAGCGAAATACCTGTCACAGCAAAATGGGCTTCTTTGGAAGCTAGATACGACACCATACTCGCTATATCAGCAGGTGCGCCGGACCTATCCTTCTTCCGTTCGATATCAGGTCAGCGGGGAACGGTACGGTCTCAGAGCATACCTTTTCATGGGCCCTCTTCCAATCTCCTGTGAGAGTCTTGCCGATGCCCACGACTAGTGAGAGGGTAAGTATCGGTTAATAACCTTGAGGGACGCTGGCCTTTCTTACGCATTTCGGTGTCGGTGGGAGCTAAGTATATTCCTCAATACATCAGAAACTTATAAATGGTGAAACGAGAAACGTACCCGGGGCATACGCATTGATTGTCACACCATACCGACTGAACTTGGGCGCTTGACTCGAAGAAAGCGCACAGGTGAGTCGAGCATCCCTACCGCCAATGTCATGCGCCGAAAGCTTTGAAGAGCGGCACGCAGCACTAATTGGTGGCCCTTTGGCACTTAAGTCTGGATAGGGTAGGATTCACGGGAGCAATGCGCTTACCTCTTTTGCCTGCAATAGACGACGCACCAATGATCCTCAGCCCGCGTCCTTGATCCTGCATCTGCTTCGCGGCGTACTTATGGCACAAGAAAGTATCATGGCTGTTGATAGCAGCTATCCGGTTCCATTCTTCGGAAGACGCTGAACAATGATAAGCGACACATCCTCGATGCGCCTACACAGACATACTGGACAATATACTTTTCGTTACACACACACCCGCATTGGCGACCATCTTAGGCAGCGATCAGCAAGCTAAGAATATGCCAGGAAGTCACCCACATACGACATCCAAGGAACCCAGCTCCTCTACGGTGGAGGAAATCATCTTTTGCACATCAGCCTCAGATGATGCGTCCCCGAGAACTGCACAACTCCTTCGTCCCTTCAGAGTTATCTCACAAACGAGTGCCTCGAGGACGGTAGCTCTCGAAGTCAAGTCATTCACAGCGACATCGAATCCGTCATCAGCGAGTCTCAGAGCGATTGCACGGCCAACGCCTTGAGTAGAGCAAGTGACTAGGGCGACTGCCATGGGGAAAGGGGAAGCCGAGTTTCCAACTCATCTATTCTCGAAGAACTAAAATCACAAGGGAGGACTCAGTGCCTTTGTGAAACGAGCCAATTCAGACGGAGGTAACGCGGTGGCCATGACACCATGGGAGAGAAGCGCCACAAGAAGGGCGGCCCTCGAGGGGCGTTGCATTTTTAGCCCACATGTAAAGCGCCGTCCAGGACAATCTCCGGAAAAGTCACGTAGCCTAGCAATAACCATCCGTGCATGGTTAAGGAATACTTCCTTTTGCTCACTAGGGTAGCAGCACATGTTCGCTTGATCACAGTAACGTACGAAGCAAGGTCTCGGAACCGAAAATTTGATCATTGGTTAGATCTTGCGCTTCATCGCAATTATTGTACAAGGTCAACTTTTAGTAAGGACCGTTTCCCTAGTCGCAGAAAATGCCTCCGTTGATAGACACCTAGTAGGGGGGAGTTAGGATCTGGGGTATATTACATTAGCTCGTATGGATCGTACCGATTGGCCTGGCCAAGGAGCGAATCTCCAAGGTCAGGAAGAACCAAATGGTACAAAAAGCCATACCTGTAATGAAACTAGCCTCCTTAGATGCGAGATATGATACCAAGTTGGCAATATCAGCAGGTGTCCCGTTTCTTCCTACGTCGCTCCATTCTCTTGCCTCTTTGTAGTATTGTTCGGGATTACTGGGGTTGATAGCACTGGCAATGCCGGCGACTCAGGTTGACGGTTAGAGTATAAATAAGCCATAGAAAATGAAACAACATACTCATGTCAGTTTCAATAGGACCTAGTACGCGCCATAGTTAATGTGATTCAATACATGTAACGTAGACGTGCCTGGAGCATAAGCGTTAACAGTGATACCATATTTACCGAACTCATGCGCTATTCATGTTGAGAATGAGCGCAATGTTCTTTGGACAGAGTAGTACTCACCGGCACTCTGCGTAAGTCCACGTACAGCCCACTTGGATGCACCATATACCGGTATAGTAGGAGAGCCTACCGGATGAACTTGGTTATATACATGGATAGCGACCCGCGATAATTCAGCGCACCTAGCTTGCCGGCGGCGGATGATGCCCCGATAATTCTCCCGCCATGGCCTTGATCAATCATCTGCTTTGCGGCGTACTTGTAACAGAGGAAAGTTCCACGACCATTAGTGGCAGCAATTCGATCCCATTCTTCTGTTGAGGCTTTCCAGAGTCAGAACATCCGTACTGCAATCATTATCCACAAGGAACGTACTAGACATGATATTCTTTGTAATACATATGCCTGCATTAGCGACCATCTCCACCAAGTCTTAGCTTCGCAAGATCATATAAGAGACGTAATTGTCACTCACTACATCAAGGGATCCTAGAGCATGGACTGTCGAGCTGATCATCCTTTGCACGTCGGATTCAGATGAGACGTCTCCAGTGACTATATGAAATTTACGGCCTTTGGAGGCTATTTCGGATGCTAGGACATCAAGTTCTGCTCCCATTGAAGAAAGATCATTGAGCGAGACGTGGAAACCGTCCTCTGCGAGGCGGAGAGCAATGGCTCTGCCGATTCCCTGAGCAGAGCCTGTGATCAGAGCGACTCCCGAGGGTTCCATGAGCGTATATTGAAGAGGATGAGAAGATAGAGCTGAATAGTAGGCATGCTTCCGGCCGCAAAAGAAGCCTTGGGTAGCACATGACTGTAACTGCTTTGCTACGCACCGAAATAGTCAAAAAGTGCACACAATATAATATAGGAAGGTCATTTGACGCATAGTAACGCGTCGGTGAAGTGAATCAAAAGCTGCAGCGCTTAACACGAACTTCCAGCGTTTGAATTTGAACGGTGAAGCTGCTCAACATGGTGGTTCCAATACAAGAGGACACTGCTGCTGCCACGTGCAACGCCGCATAGGACGCGTTGTTGAGATTTATTTGGCTACCACACGTCCTTCGACTCAGTTTGCGTACAAGGCAATATTTGCGATCGTAAAGGACCGCACAGTCGAAGGCTCTCCTGTTCTCTTCAAGTGGAATGATGACTTCGCTACGCGACTTCTGCAATGATTGACTTTGGGTTGACTCGTGTCCTGTCGAAATCGCATCACCAATAGAAACTCGATTCAACCCCTTGGTTCTCAGAGTCTTCTCGGGCTATTCGGCTTTGTCATGATCTCTCTATGTCTCTTGGACAAGCTATGACGACAGAACTATTGATGGTAGGAAGGAATCTGAATCACTTTTACACAAAGACTGATATGGAGATACTCACAGGGTACGCTTTGTTAGGGCATTGATACTAAGACATCTTGTGCGACGTATTGAATAATCTATAACACTGTTGACCAAGGATATAATAGTCCGGTAAACAAAGCGTGAATGACCGGCATGCATAATTCACTCGCTTTGACCAGCAACTTGGACCCACTTGCTCGTACGCTATGATACTGTTAAAAAAATAAAGTTTCTCCCTCTTGTGGCATTACAAGAATTATGTACGATCGGCGTCTTGTTCGTTCCTTTCGAGTCTACCGTGATCTTGCTCAAGGGGTCACATCTTCCTGGTCCTATCTCGGATCTACGTGTAGGAGGCTCATTAAGGCAACTTTCCATTGTGGTACGAAACATGGTTGGTTTCCAAGAATGCTGAACCTACTCCTCGTACTGGCCGACCATTCATGATTGTATGCTCGGCATCGTATTCTTCATTGAAGTTGTCCTTTGACCTCGTACGCGCCCGACTATATAATGGGACCCAACAAAATGCTACTTTATACACCCCTCGTTCTTGCACATCCGTTCGACCTTTCTAAGCTCAGCTCAATCTCCACAGAAATAGCATCCCATGGCGACCGAGGTGCGTAAATGTAACCATGCCGGCACTATTCTGTGGCACTGAAGCCTTCGTCAGAGGATCTTTAGCTTCGAGGCTTGGCAGGCCGTTTGGCAGGCCGTTTGGCAGGAATTTCTTAAGGACATAAAGACCCTTCATCAAAGAGGAATTATTCTGAACCCTCCACTCTTCAAGGTTGCCGGGGCGTACGCGGCTCAGGCGATGATTCCTACCTTCCGGTTCACGTCTGTCAGTCTTCATCGCGTGTACACAATATCAAGATTAACAACAGCACCCACAGGACATAGATGTGATCGTGTCAGATGCTCGAGAGATCGAGAATCTTCTCGCCCAATACTATCCAGCAAAATATTGCATTGACGACGGACAGACAGAACGGAATTTGTATCGGAAACCTGGAACTCCTGGAAGCGAGCGTTCTTCGTGGTTCCCCATAGATCTTATCACGATCAGCAGCGTGCGTCCCTACGGCTCTAATTCCTTACCTGTATCTCACCGTCACTATTACAGATGCCTCAAGAACATCCTGTCATTTCAAACATGTTTTCCGTGTACCAGATATCAAATCGCCAGCATGCCTTCGCTACTCTACTGGACCTCATCGTTCTCAAACTCGGAGCCATCTTCAGCACTACCCGTAACCGCGACAAGATCCCGCAAGACAAGTTGGACCTCAAGACGCTCGTGAACTATCAAAACGATGTCATGCGTCAAGTTAGAAGGCCAAAATTGGACGCTACCGAATGCTCAGGAGAAGACCTTCATGCGCGCTACCTGTACTGCTACTACGACGGTCCTGAAGTAGTACGACACGTCGGATCGATCCTGTGTTCTTGGCTCTATCTGAGTCCTGGTCCTAGGCCGAACCTTCTCAACGCCAGAGGCAGGACCGTTCTACGGGATTACGAGCGTGGAAACGAGAGGCAACGTTGGGAGTCCGAACACGGCGACGTCAGCCTGAGCGACGACGAGGGCGACATCAGCGACGACGAGAGCGACGAAGACTTGTAAAGCTAGCAATGCTCATGTATAAGATCCGCACTTCACGCCTATCATAGTAGTTTCTGTGTTGTACGTCGAAATTGATCTAGACTATCCATATTAAGGCATGAACGCCGGAGTGGATTCCAAATTTTGATTTGGTGTGTTTTCTGTCACGCTTCAGTCAGATTCTAAGGTAAGTAAAGAAAATGACGCCACGCACTGCAAATATTTGTAGACAGCCAATCGAAAAATTGGACGCTGGTTGTGTGCCTCACAGTCCTTCAGTAATTATCAACTGTCCGAGTCTTTGCTTTGTGTGACTCGGCTTCCAACTTATGACAATAATTTCTCAATGAAACACTGACATCCTGGACACTCATAAGGGTAACAAGGTTCACGTATGATGCCATGGAAACTAAGGAAAGAACAGCATAAATTCCTTATCTATGACACTATAAGATACAAGACAATGAGAAAGAGGGAATTCTTTAAAACCTCCGGGGCCCTTTCTGACCGTCGGTTCGCTGCAATCCATCCTCCAAAATGAAGCACAATAATTGAACCAGAGGTTGCCAATCCAGCAGATTTATGTGGGTCACGACCGTCTTGGATTTTATTTCAGCGAGACACAGAGATCTTTCGGGTAGAGATTCCTTTATCCTGGGTTAGGTTTCGAGCTTGGGCCGCCACACCGGTAAGCGATGGGTGCCCTCTGCTTTAGCTGTAGCGTTCGTTCCGTGAGCCCCAGCCATGGTGATGGTCGTGTTCTGCAGGTCTGTGACTTGAATGATTTCTCTATCGAACGCAATAAGGGCGACGGGCAACAGAAACATGGTAATGGACGTACACAACATTCTTGCTAGCGATGAGATTTTTTTCCCTGTCTCTGCCATCTTGTTGAGTCCTAATATTTCATTCGCAGTCGAAGCTACCGGTTCTAACCATAGGGAATCATGAGCTTGGATCAGAGCAGCAGGAATCTTCACAATATCATCGTCCACAGCAGTCGAAAGTATTGGAGAACGCGTTGGGTATCATTTAGTAGCTCGTTCGTCACGAGAGAAATTGAACGCTACTGCAGGGTTGCCAAAGCGTCTGAGAATTCATTCCATGACATTGAGAATCCTGTTCTTCTAAGGAGTTGAAGTTTGGAGGCTGCCAGACAGCAACACGGTGAGCAGAACGTCGTCACAACGAATCAAATACGTGCCGAAGGAACGGAGCCTCCGTCTTCAAGGTCGGAATCGTCCTGGACGACAGCGAGAAGCAGCGAGAGAGAGCCGTAGACGTCGTGATGGTCGACGGTCAAGGTCATATTACCCTGCTCCGCTCTTTGCCGCCGACCACCATGATGTCCCATGCCACCATTCTCCTTCGCGACTCGATACCGTCGTCCGACAATGGCAAGAACCAGTATAAAGCCGCTTTTGCCGCAGCAAAAGCGCACATTGATTCCAGCGCTCGAGACGATGATCAATATCATTGAGCTCTCGTCAGGAAACGTAGGGCGATTTCGACGGAATTATCATGACGAACGCACGCTCATTCGAGGTTTTGGATAAGGTGAACGGTGCAGGGAAGGATGGTACGCGTCGTATACACATACCCAAAATCCTATTCTCACTCGCAGGCTGGCAGCAACAGAATTCTCCTTCTATGTTGTCGGGAGAGCTACTGCCTTGACGCTACATTCCACTATGCCCAACGCTATCATCCGTGGAGAATGGTCGGAGACAGCATTGTTGTAGAACGACCTCGTCCTGAAATTTTCTGCATCTCACTGGCGAACAGTATCGTGCCACCCTTGCTAGCACCCTTGGCGGTGTAGGCATCACAGTTGCTCTTCATTCTCTCAAGAACTAGGAGACCATTGAAGGCAGCTCTACTTTCCTGCGCCGTTTGAAGGATATCGAACCAGACAGACCAACACTGGTCGAACGTGTTCTTCGCACCGTCGACTACCGAATTTGTTCTGTCATTTCTGGAGCAGTCCGACCTAGATTCAGTCAAAATTGCGGTCATTGAACCGCAACCCTCGACGCCGGAGACCCTGAGGTTTCGTGTAGACGCCCCCGCTGCGAAACGTTGCCAGAGGGGCTGCTGAGGGTGGTTGATAAGCAGGTTTGTGTGCTCCTGGACTACGAGAACATGCTAGCCATTCCACAAGGTGGGGATTCGTGCCTCGGTTCGTTCACAGAGTTGGCTTGCTCATGCAATTGCACAGGACTCGTTCTCTACGTTGCTGCTGCTGTCTTCGCAACTTCCAACACCTTTCAAGTGCTGTCCTTTGTGCACATTTCCCTACGATGGCGTCACATCTAGTATGCATCTACTACTGCCTGCAAAATTCTTTCACTGGTGACCGGGCACCCATCAGTTTGCATGCAGAGTTCCTCGTCCGCGGAGAAATCGGTGGTCTTGGAACATTGTTTCACCGGATTAACCTCCTCTTCGACGTATCAGTTGAGACTTATGTTGCTAAGATGGGACGGAAGTAATCGAGTCGTCGCGGAAAATCTCATTCTATACGTCGTCATCATTCCTCGAGCATAAGTAATCACACCGCAATGCTTGCTCATAGCTCCCGCTGGACAAGGATTCACTGCCCCGCGAAACTGTGTCCAGCAATAGCCCCTTTTAACCGATCGCAGACGATACTTCCGTGGAACCAAAATTGCCTCCTTTCGACTCGAGGGGCCATATTCGAAGAACCGGGACTGGTTTCTCCGGACGCTATGTCTAAGACGTGCCAAAACACGCGCATACCGACAAAATGTATAAAATGGAGGCCTCCCTCCGCCCGGATCCCCACATTAACACACTTTGAACAGCCAACAACTACCATCAAACCAAACAACTATTATCACCTATCATCATGTCCACCGATATGATATGCACGGACGGAGTGTACTGCGCCCTGTGCGACGAGTACTTCTTCGATAAACGGCAACGAGCCGAGCACATTATGAACTCGAACGACCATCCCGAATGTTGGAGATGTGGCCGTCGATTTTTGAATGGCCAAATTCTTCGTCGTGTAAGTTGTTGTCTTCCCGTGCTTGTTGAACCAACTAACGCGTTTCTTTCATAGCACTGTGTCACGGCACCAAATCATCACTACTGTGTGCCATGTGACAAGCACTGTCGTACAGCGGCAGGCTTTCGCGTCCACATGGAGCAAGTCCATGGCTCCGATGACAACGACAGTGACGACGATGATTCAGAAGAAGAGGATGATGATGACCTCGAAGACGGCTGGGAGGACGAAAGGGGCGAAGAGGAATATCCCGACGAAGTCTCCGAATCAGGAGACGAGCCCCTTGATACGTCATGGGAAGACAGCAATGGGTACGACTTTGAAGATCCGGAGTATCTAAGGTTGCCGCCATTATTTGTGAGTAGTCCTTTCCTTTCCTCCGCCTCTAGTCTCGTCCTAACATTGGGCGTTTCAGAACAATGCGGCAACCGACGACGTAGAGGAAAGCGATGAAGAAGACGTCAAAGAGACGTCTCACTTCTCGTGTCCGATGTGCGAAAAAGAGCACACGACCCTCTGCGCGACTCCGTGTGGACATGTGTATTGCGTACGGTGCATTCGCGCTGCGCTGAAATATACAGAGGCATGTCCCGTGTGCGACGAACGAGCCACCGAGGACCAGCTCCGGAAGATATATATCTCCCAGGAGTGATGAAACCAAATGGCTCGGTGGTGTCGCATGAAGTCTTCAAGTTGATCAATCATCCTTCTATTACTTATGCTGTCGTCTATATACCTCGCAACTCGCATGATACCTCCCTTGTCTATCATCGCCTTTTGGACGTTTATATTTTATATTTTTCCATACGGACATTACCTTTTCCAATGGACTTGAACCTACTTTATTTGATCTTATCATCAATACAATTAAAAACCCTGAACAGATCAACGTTGAGCGCTGAGTGTCTATGGCACCACATGTGTCGAAGGGTTATGACCCAACAGAGTAAATATATTAGAATAATCGGTCGATGTAACTGACGACATTTCCTGCCATTCCCATTATTTTCTGGATGGCCCGGGGGTCAGGTAAGAAGTAACATTAATAGGCACATATACTCCACCCCGTATCAAGACCTCGCTCCCATCTGTTCCATTGATAGGGTAAGTGTTGACCAACGCGATCATGTACTGAGCCGCTTCGAAGAAAACTGGGTAGTACGGGAACTAAGTCGTGGATATACATGAAATGATGAGCTACCCCATATAAAAGTCAATTTCACTTACCCGCGCGGTGAATGTAAGTACTGGCGGCAAAGGCGGCGAGGGCAAAGTAAACTCTCGACGGGCAATCAGGATGTCAGGTTCGTATCCATTGTTGTTCTCGGGTACTTCAATGTAAAAATCTGTGTACCTCGGAACGATGCCAAAATATTCCACGCCGCATGTAAAATCGGCATTAATCGTGAATTCCTGAGGCACAGGGAAATGGTAAGCTATCACGTCATTACACATGAAAATTAACTCACAGTGCCAGGTTGCAAATTGGAAGGGGTGACGTCGAAGCCGCCAAACCGCGATGCCTCTGGGCATCCTAGGCGTTTGTCAATAGGTGATGTTTTGGCTCCGGCGAGGGAGGCAAGGCCAAGGATAAGAATGGTAGTAAGCTTCATGGTACTGGTGAAACGAGGACGGACATTCGTACAAACGACGAGCCTTTATTACCCAGAGGGAGCCGGGACGAAGGCCTTCCCATGCCACACAGGGAAGACTGAGGAATATCGTTGTGCCTTTTACCCTAAAAATAGTGAACCTGAGTTTCCAGACTATGAGGAGTTCATGTTCCATTGCAAGGACGGATAGGATGATCATGTTGGGTACTAGCTTTGTCCCGCATGAACAAAAATCGAATCGGACCGAGAGCCCGTTACAGCCGTACCTATGCTTATAGGACAATGATTGCGCGAGAATCGTGGCCACACCTGCCAGGACCGACCTAGAGCACCTAGTAGTGTTCAACTCGGATCTACATGATGAGGAGACTTTTATACCTGGCAGCCTGCACCTATTTTTGTGTCTCTCTTTTTTACACTCCTAAAATAACAACTATCTTGACGAGAGCCATACAAGTTTGAATAACTTTCAAGGAAATTTGTAGTGAGAGGGTTCGTCCTCGGCTTTGGCATCGAGCACCTTGCATGTGATGCACCGTTCGCACACGATGAAAGTCTAGAAACGAGTCTCTCCGTCGAAAGCGGGGTAAAAGTACGATCCCGGAGGGACGCAGTGCCAAAGGAGATCTAATCATTTGAGAGTTCAAGCTATGCTCCGGTATCCTACCAGTGACTTACCGGCGGCGCGTTGGTCCAGACACGATCACGTGTCAAGTGAGCTTCCATTCTGCGGGTACACAAGGCTGCGTGGCATCCAAATGTCCTATATCTGCATATCAGGTATTCAGTATTCGACCCATGAAGCCTTCGCCCCAGGGAGATGATTGAACACCAAGCTCTCCGAGCCCTTTGGACAGACCAGTTACCATCGCTGACCCCAGTGTTTATGCCGATATACACGCATAGGATCATCCAGAACATCCATGATCTGACTGGTGCTAGCCAGAGTTTTCCCGTCGATAATAATACCACTCGACCTCTTCCAGGCCTGTCAGCATTCTATACTAGCGTCGTATGTGCGGTTGATGCTTGTACCCTTATTAACACGTCAAAGCTGTCGAATAACTTTTGTCCCTATGAAGAACAAGATACTTAAAGAATCCGGTCCCGGGATAAACGAAGTGATGCTGCATATTGGGCAATGGTGAAACGAATCAGTCAGGGAGTACGGTTCTACTATGACAGGTAGTGGGTAATTTGTGTCTATAGCGAAGGAATGGTCATACACCCAATGAAGATATGGACTCATGGTGTGTAGAAAACATGATCAATGAGTCTCGAATAGTTGTGGCTCAAGGATAGGGTTCGACAGTAATCGATACAACGAGCGATAGCATCAGAGTGTCTGAGCAAGCATGATGGGCGGTGATCATCGACCATACGAAGAGAGTAGGCAAACAGATGTTACGCCATTGAGAAAATACAGACGATATGGGTGTAGGAAGTAATTGATGGGAAACCACCTGCAAGCCCCCCGGCCGCAGCAGACTCGGGGCTTCTTGTGCCGATCGTTACATATTATTTGACCCACGAACAGCTGCGGTAATAGCGTCAAGGTACTGACTCCGACTTGGGCTCCATTTCTCTGAACTAGACTGGAGTGTAGGAAATATGACTAGCGAGTCTCGAATATCTCATTGCCCTGGTCCTGACCGACGCACTAACAAGAGGAAAATCAGCCAAATTCGCACTACATTGCAATTAAGGCACCAACCTGAGCGAATCGGTCATGATCCCAATGCCTTACAACGAAATCCATATCGTCCCTCGAGATCCACCACTCCAGAAACATGAAAAACAGGCAGTCCACAACCAGGATGATCGAGTATATCGGTCCAGCAAATGGACCTAGTCCCATCGTCCTGTCCAACAGCGTAAGCTAGACAAAAAGGGCGAGACGACCAAACGAACAAACCTCTTCATTCTCTCCCAAAGCTCCATCTGTCTTGACTTGACAACCGTATCATACACAACCTCGGTGCGCTCCGCGACCTGCACCCAGTCGTAGAACGTCTTGATCCGCTCGTGGGTGCGAATGGGGTCGTGTAGTCCGTCGGAGATAATCTCGATAGCTTCTGATATCGCACGGAATACATCTGCATGAATCTGCATGAGACAGCGACTTACGGCACGAGGTAGGACGAACCATCTTCCTCAGGCTCTGCAAAGCTGATCATATCCTCTGGTAAAATCTCCAGGACCCCGCCAACACGTGTAGACACCACGTACAGTCCTGCACATGCTGCCTCAAGGATGGTGATCCCAAAAGATTCCGTGAGGGACGTGTTGAGGAATATAGCACCCTGCATCAGGACAGAGCAGACATCATTTGGTCGGATGGGTCCTAGGAGTTCAATGCGGTCTTGGAGATTGTGTTTTTCACGCATTTTGAGGAGGTCGATGAGCTTGGGACCGTCGCCGCCTAGGGTGGGGTTGAACGAGAGGGGAAACGACGAGGGAGAGATACGCACCGACAACGAAGCGGACGTTTGGGAAGGCATTGCAGATACGGGGTGCGGCGGCGACGAGGAAGTCGATTCCTTTGCGGTATGCAAGTCGGGAGAGGACGACGATGGTCACTGTGAGGGTGTCAGCGAGTCAGACGTCACTGGCAGCAAAGTCTTACCAGTATCTCTAGATTTCGGCGGGCCAGGCTGGAAATTCCCTGGCACCAGCGCATTAGGGATAACATATACGTTCTCCCGGACTCTGCCCGACTCGTCAAAGAGCTCTCCTCGAAGGACAGTGTTCTCCCTCCTACCTACAGTCAGTACAACAGAGAGAAAAGACGAAGATATCCTCACCCAGTGTGAGACACACAAATGATAGCATCGACATTCCTCAGCGTCCCTGCTAGGAGCTTGTTCGTAAGGATGCTCGCAGCGTCCTCAAATCCAAATAGACTGTGGTCAGTGAACACCGTTCTGACACCGAATAGATGGGAATGCAGGATTCCTTCGTGGCCAAGCGAAGATAGACTGGCATGGGCATGGATAAGGTGGATATGCTCTCGAATAAGAATTGTTCAGAGGTAGGGCAGAAAGGTGAAAAAGTTGGGCAGTGTTGCAGAGGAAGCAATAGGAACAAAAGGAAGGTAGTACACTTTGAGCGAAGGAAGAAGCCAGCGAATCCCAACGCGGTCAGGTGAGTGACTGTGTGTTATAACAATAACCTGGATATGTTAAAAATGAAGAACTGACAATATATTCGAACGACATACCTTGTGGCCGCGTTTTATCAGATTCGCACTCAGCATGTAGATATGATTCTCTACCCCACCAACATTTGGGTGAAAGAAATCTGTTATCATCCTGAGTTTTCGTCAGTTGCCAGCTTCGCTCGGGGTGGGATTACTGACGCTATCGCTATAGGCTCCATGGCAGAACAGACGTCCTTGTTGACATTATTTCGGAGACCCTGGCTCAAAATTACAAGCGATGTTAACCGTCTCGGTCGTACCAAGAGTTGAACGATGAAAGGTTGTGCTTCTCAGTTGTGGTTGTGGTTGTGGTCAGAGTTATGTTGAAGACGTGCTTCCTGTTGCCCACATGGCTTCTCCGGCCCGATGTCCCCGCCGCTCGTTGGCTTTAAATTTTTGGACATCGCTATAATGCACTTTTTCGCGCCTGGCACATGCCTGCAATGGCTCTCAGAACCTATCAATGGTGCCTCCTTATTCTAGTCATAATGGTATTCCAAGGTGTTTGCTTTAATAGCACTACTCGCATAGCTTGGTCCAAGCTTGGTCAGTGTTGCCTCAAATTTTCAGTCTTCGCTGTCCGAAATCTCAGTTACTCTTGACTTTCGAAGCTTATGTATTCGCGCCCATGGATCAAGCTAAAACCGTGTAGACTTTGCTGCAAACATGCCCTTGGACTTCCAAGTTAAACGTAGAAATATATCACATTCGTTGGAATACGGACCTACTTGAACATACAGTAGACTACAGGATATCCCTCACGTCGTTACTTTGTGAGACCCAAACGATCTCATCTTTGTCCAGGTTAGGTGGATGACGTGAATCGGGAGGATATAGTCTTTTCCAGACTGTAAAGACTTACATCCAGGCCGTCGGCTTGTAAAGCCTCCAATTGTTCGATATCATGTCTACCCAGATTGCAAAACCTGGAGTAATTCATAATTAGACAGAACCTTTGCAACGAGTGATGTAGTGTTGTGAAAGGCCAGGCCGGGCCAGGCTTTGGAGGCTTGGGCCAGGCTTGAGCAGGTTCAGGCCGGGCTCAGGCTTAAGCCCGGGCTTATCCCTCATAATACATTTCTGCCTATCAGGACTCATTAGATGTGAATATTCATTAAGATATAGCTTTACATAGTCTAATATATTATTTACTGAACCACACTGATCATCCACGAAGCTATCATTGCTCAAGTGGTCTTGTCATCATGGAGAAAACATATGTCAGTGATGTCATAATTGCTTTCAATTGATGAATAATTGCATACAATCAAGTTCTAATGAAAAGACATGGTAAGCTCATCTACAGGATAATACTAAGCTATGTTACATTCATAGAAATCAATCCCACAAAAGGATATTCACCCCTTCACCAGCCCAGGGCTTCGGCCTAGGGCTTAAGGCTTTCCTTAAGCAAAGCCTCAGCCCAAGCCTTAAGCAAGCCTTACTTGCAGGCCGGGCTTTTCAGGGCTGGGTTGGGCCGGGCTTGAGGCTTGAAGCCCGGCCTTTCACAACACTAGAGTGATGTCGCCGAGCTGCAACCATATCCACCATTGCGCGATCGGCAAAGTGAATATCCACTCTCTGTATTACGATTTCGTGCTTTATCTTATCTTATCGGCTCTCTCGTAATCTCGTTATGCTAATTCTCCGGACTTGATCGCATTCTCCCATGAGGGTTCAGTATGTTTACCGCACCGTTGCAGACACTTGTAGTATATTTAGCATGACCCAAACTGTATTTAAGTAGCTCGACTGCAGGTCTTAAACCTCAGTCTCGAACTAAAGTTTATTCACCCGATAACTTAGTCTGAACTCACTCTCGCTCAACTAAGCGATAGCTCCCTTAACGCAAACCTGCGGACAACACAAAGCGCCTGACTGAAGTGCGAGTCATGCTTAGTTGTTTGATCTTGTTTGTTTAATCGGTCGCTAACAATTAGTTCGAGACTTTCTTACTCTTCATCAACAACCACGTTGACGAACAGTAACGAATGAACCCCATCGAACAATACCTCACCGACCTCTTTGGACTACAAGGCTTTATTGCCGTAGCATATCTCGCGTTCCTATATGGATATGAATACTGACGAAACCAGGAGCCAGTCTCCGAAGAAACTATCCCCGTCGAAGCCCCCAACCCGGAGGCTAGACGACCGAACACACCCCCTCCCAACTACATCGATGACAGACCCGACCCCATCATCCACTTCATCTTCATCAACAATGACGAGTGGATCACAGAAGACTCCGACTCAGACGAGTCCAACGAGTCCAACACCGAGATGGAAGGATGGCCCCCACAAAGAGGCCCAGTCATTGAAGAAGAAGAAGAGCGAGGAATCTACGAAAGGGGGATGGACGAGCATGTTCTCTCTCCCATTACCAAGGAAGAAAGCGAAGGGGAAAGCGAAGGAGGTGATCCCTGGGACGCTCCCTCCCCCACTTCAACCAAAAACTCAGCCGCCAACCCTGGCTATGATTCCAACGGAGAACGCCTCTATCAAAGAGGGCTTAGATATCATTTGGGAGAAGGAAGAACGACTGAAGATGGAGCTGGAAGCGGTTCAGATGAAGAAAGCAGCAATACAGAGGAGGACTACGGCAGCGACGAGCTCCCAGGGCCATGCAACAACTGGTCCCCTCCAAGGCTGGACTCCCGAGGGGAGACATGGAACCACTACTACGCACGAGACGATCCTTCCGACGATGAAGGAAGCTACCTCAATCTCGTCACATGCCCAAACACCCCAGTCATTGTCAACGATAGGGCCGGGGAAGCCACTACCGAGCTTGACCGATGCGAGCCCACATACGACGCCGATGTCAGCTGCGATATATGCAGACAAATACAGGACTATGCCGATGCGTGGCTCATGCACGAAGGAATCGAAGCCCCTGCCTCCGTTGTCCCCTATGCCATCTACCCCCTTGTGCCAGAACATCCCCATGCAGCCCCCATCCCCTTCATCGCACCCTGGGTATGGGATAGACCCCGAAGACCCGACTTCGATCAAGTCATACTCAGGGTCAATGAGTGGGCAAGAATCATTCGAAACTGGAACCGAATCGTCACAGGAAGCACGGAGCCTTTTGAGCGAGTCCGACCAATCGGACTTAGAAGAAGGAGAAATTTACGAGAACCCTGGAATCGGGCTGACTTCGACCTACAGCAGCAGCATAGAGTCGGAGAGTATGGAGAGGAGGACGTTATACCAGAGTTCGTGGAAGGATCTAGCTCGGGAGCCTACTGAGGCCGAGCTGGAAAATATGACTTATTTGGAAATGCTTCATTGGATCGAGAAGAAACTACCCTGAGAACTATCATGGAATAGTTCGGAGCAGGGAAGATATTTCCAGAAAGAAAAAAATACGCACATCGGGGCCCAGATACTCTACCGGGAAACCATATTCCATACGAACGTTCTGTGGAATCAAGTGCACCCAGACGACTATGTAGAACCAGGGGAACGGTACGTGGTGCCCGCACCCTCGGAAACCTCAAGCGGAGAAATGGTGGATTTAAGCCACCTATCTATTCTCAAGAGAACAGGGTACGTCGACCCTAGCAGGCTGTTTGCTGCAGCAGGCATGCCAGGGAGCATGGGCGCAGCTGCAGCTGCAGCAGTCCCTGTGGTACCAGCACCTGCACCACAAGGACCCCTTTCCCCACATCACAACCCTGAATTACGATCGCTCCCATGACCCGCAGCCATCCCTATCCCCGTGGACCCTGTACAACCACCCAACACGCCACCACCGTTCATAGTCGGAGTGGCCAACACAAACCCATGGGGACAGGTGAAACCGCAATTGGCAGAACCCCCCAAGAAGTTCAAAGGGGAGTCCAGTGATGTGGATCGGTTCCTCAATCAGTGCGAGGACTACTTTAATGTATTCCCCCAACAATTCACGATGAATACACACAGACAGAGCCCCAACCGGGTGGTATTCTGCACGTTCCGGCTCGCAGACAAAGCATTGCATTGGTGGAACCATGCACGAGACGAATACTACGACGAAACATGCGGATACCTGCGCTACCCCGCCTGGCAGACGTTCCGACAGATCATAGAAGACCAGTTCCGGACCGACACAGAAGTAGAACTCAAGTTACAAGAGTTCAAATGCATTCGGCAGAACACGTACAAGTCGGCAAAAGAATTTTTCCAAGACTTCGAGCGACTAGCGAAGGAATCCAGAAAACGCCACAATGAAGAATACATGATCGAAATACTCAAACTGGCCATTCGCAAGAACGTAAAAACTGCCATCCATGCTACGGGAACTGCATTACCACGAACGTATGCGGAATGGAAGTTCCAGGTAGAACAGATGGATTACAACTACCGAGTCGGATTGGCAGAGGATGCGGGAAGAAGCCAAGGGTTGCAGGGTCAACAAAACAAAGGAACGGGAAAAGCCGGAAGCTTCGAGAATTCCCAGGGTGACAAGAAGATGGGAACAGGAACCACGTACGGGGGTCAAGGGCAACTGATGGAGATAGACCGATTGCGGAAAGAAGGACGATGCTTCCGCTGCGGTCACAAAGGACATCGGAAGCAGGACAACAAGTGCCCCAAAGACGAAAGTACATGGTTGGCCAAGCACCAGCCGAAGTTCTCCCGAGCCCAAATACGGGCAATGTATCAACAAGTAGCGAAGGATGAAGAAGCAGAAGCATCAACGTCGAAGATCGAGGAGGTAAAAGATGAGCTGGCGGCATAAGCGACAAATGCGCGTCGGCTAAGGACTTAATTTCATTTAGTGGTGCATTCTCGAACCCCGCGGGTCGGACTAATAAATCGCTTGTAGTATCTCCGAGCAATATCACAGTTTCCACGCAGTCACAAAATGAAATTAACAAGTCGCATAAAAGCAACGGTGTACAGGGGATTTCCACCGTGCTCGAAGAAGAACCCCATTCAAGATCCTTGGCCACTGGTGCGAAAGCACAAGCGGCGAACGCTGCGCAAGGCGGTGGGACACATGGGATCAAGGTCAACATCGCTCCGTGGCGGGTAGGTACCGGCGCAGAAAATGGAGGGAGAGCGGCTGAGCTAGTAGTGGGCAAGGATACCTCCAGGCGGGAGAGGAACGATGCAGGACCTCGCCCGAAGGCGGAACGTACGCACCTGCCCTATGCGGCCAACTACCCCGACATGACGGAGCCGCAAGAGGGAACACGAATCCCCATCAAGAAAACCGCCGCCCCGCAAACAACAGTCAAGACGCCCGGGGACCCCGAACCCTTATATCAAGTACATCTCCCCCCTTCATCGCTAACACATAATGGCACCGGGGACTCGTGTTCCCTGGTGGGCGGGTTGGTGGGCCCATTATGTGATACATTAGCAAAAAATAAAAACGTTGTTACCCTCAAAGAAGTGTCTGACGAAGAAGATGACTACAGCTATCAACAGAGCCTTAAGACCAAAGGGGAAGACCCAGTAATCCATACCGAGGAGTACCCGGAGGACTACGAAGTCGTTGAACTAGAGGAAGAGTACTACAACGACAAGTGGGACAAGGGGTGGCTTAAACTGCATAGTGCCGAGTGGGTGAGATGGAAAATGAGGCAGGAGAAAACAATGGAAGGAAGAATCGCCACCCTCCGGATGTGGGTACACCCAAGACGCCTCATAGAGGTAGATGAAGATCTCGTTCTAGACCTCATCGGTTCTTCAAGGGAAACCTATAGGCAGCGGGAACAGTGTTTACAAAACATGGAAGACCTACGCGTTCTGCCCCAGTACATCTGAGGAGGCAAAGGAAGGAGCGTGAACATCCGTGTCCAACTTGAAACCCTGGACACCAGCCAAGTGTGAGCAGTGGACGCCCTAGTAGACAGCGGCTGTACCGGGAGCTGCATAAACCGATCCTTCGTACAGGAACATCAGCTCAATACGGTGAAACTACCTAAGGCCCAGGCCATCTATAATGCCGATGGAAGCCGCAACAAAGGAGGAGATATAACGGAGATAGTGGAACTCCGAATGACCATCGGAGACCATCATGAAAAAATAGACCTCGCCGTCATGGACCTAGGAAACATACCAATGTTCCTAGGACACAACTGGCTCAAGCGACACAACCCCATTATAGATTGGAAAACAGGGGCCGTAACGTTAGCCCGATGTGCGTGTCGCAAAATACCATTTCTCCTCCCAGATGAAGACCCAGAACAACAATGGGGAACAGAAGTGGAGGAAGGAGACACCATTCTCGTCATCAATTTTGAAGAAGCATTTCACGTTCAAGCCATGGGAAGCAAAGTGAATGAACTAGCTGCCAAGGCAAACCAAGCCAAGGAAGTGAAGACATTTGAGGAAATAGTACCAGAACCATACCGGGAATTCCGAGATGTATTCGCTAAGGAAAACTTTGACGAGCTACCACCTCGGAAACCCTGGGACCACGCTATCGAGCTCATCCCTAACGCAAATGCAAGCTTAGACTGTAAGGTCTACCCCCTTAATCCAGCGGAGCAAGAAGAGCTGGATAAATTCCTTGACGAAAATCTGGAATCCGGAAGGATACGACCTTCCAAGTCCCCTATGGCGTCACCCTTCTTCTTTGTCAAGAAGAAGGACGGTAAACTTCGGCCTGTACAAGATTACCGAAAGTTAAACGAGATGACCATCAAAAACCGATACCCTCTTCCCCTAATCGGAGAACTTATGGATGTTACGGTTTATTCATTTTCTTCATTTTACTCAGCCTGATTACTCATATGCGATCCCTACAGATCATTTCTCACAGTACTATTATTAGCGTATCCACTTGTATTTAAGTAGAGCCTCCGCTGGTCTAAACCCCCAGCTTCGGCTAAGGTTTAATCTACCCAACTCGAACTCCGTCCTTCGTGTCTATTTGCCCGCAATCCGCTTTGATATCGCCTTTGACTTGCTAGAACATCCACCACTGAAGTGCGAGTGGGGATCCTAGTTCAATCTAAGTCGATTATTAGTTGGTTGTCAACAATGGACCAACTCAAGGATGCCAAGTACTTCACAAAGCTTGACGTTAGATGGGGTTACAACAACGTGCGCATAAAAAACGGAGACGAGTGGAAGGCGGCTTTCCGAACAAATCGGGGACTCTTTGAACCTATGGTGATGTTCTTTGGGCTCACCAACTCGCCCGCCACCTTTCAGTGGATGATGAACGACTTGTTCAAAGAACAAATCGCACGAGGAGACGTCACAGTGTATCTGGATGATATCCTGATCTGCACCAAAGACAAGGACAAGCATCATGCTGTAGTACGAGAAGTCTTGACTATTCTCCGATCCAACAACCTGTTCCTAAAAGCGGAGAAATGTGAATTCGAGGTATTAGAGACCGAATACCTCGGAGTAATCATTAGTCAAGGATCAATCCGCATGGACCCCATAAAAGTGAAAGGAATCATGGAGTGGCCCCAACCCACCAAGAAGCGGGAGCTACAGTCCTTCCTAGGATTCACCAACTTTTACCGAAGGTTCATCCGTGATTACAGCAAACATGTAAGACCCTTGACTCAACTCACGGGAAAAGCGGAATGGACATGGGAGCCCGCTCAGGAGAACGCGTTTCAGGAAATCAAAAGGAAATTAGCTGAAGAAGTAGTGCTGGCGATACCCACCCGCATGGGGAAGTATCGTGTGGAAGCAGACGCAAGTGAGGGAGCAATAGGAGCTGTTCTATCACAAGAACAAGAAGGAAAGTGGAGACCAGTGGCATTCCTGTCCAAAGCTTTAACAGTCATGGAACGGAACTACGAGATCTACAACAAAGAGCTCTTGGCAATTATGTTGGCCCTTGAAGACTGGAGACACTATCTAATGGGCGCTCATCAGGAGTTTGAGATCTGGACAGATCATCAAAACCTGCAGTACTTCCGCAAACCCCAAAAGCTAAACCGAAGACAAGCCCGATGGGTGACCGAGTTAGCAGAGTATCACTTCACACTACATCACAAGCCAGGAACGGCCAACAAAAAGGCAGACCTACTATCCAGAAGGGCAGACCATGACCAGGGAGGAGAAGACAACAAGGAAATGATAGTGCTCAAGCCCAAAATGTTCCGAGCCCTAATCATGCCGGGGGAGGAAGAAATCCATAAGTGCATTCGAACAGTGCTAAGGGATACTACTAGGTGGGACAAGGGGATCGAAGCATCCACCCATCACCCAAGAGGGATAGTTCAGAAGGATGGACTGATGTATTATGATGGGCGACTATATGTTCCTCGAGACACCAAACTACGAGGAGAATTGATCGCCATCCATCACGACCACATTACAGCCGGACATCCTGGCATCGAGAAAACCAAGGAGCTTGTACAGCGAGAATATTGGTGGCCGAAGCTCAAAAACGACGTAGAGTGGTACATAAAGGGCTGTGAAGCCTGTCAATGCACCAAGACAAGCACTCAATGATGAAGGGCACCACTACATCCTCATGCTGTACCCTCTCGACCATGGGAGCACATCACGGTCGACATGATAGGCGAATTGCCCGACTCCAATGGGTACAACGCCATCCTTATGATCATGGATCGATTCTCAAAAGAAGTTATTCCCGTACCATGCTCCACAGAGCTAACCTCCGCCGGATGGGCCAAAATCCTCAGAGATCATGTATGGGCCAAACACGGAATGCTCCAAAAAGTGATTTCTGATCGAGGACCCCAGTTTGTATCGAAATTCATGAAGGAACTGTACGAGATGCTGCACATACAAGGAAACCCGTCCACAGCCTATCACCCCCAAACTGATGGGCAGACGGAACGAGCAAACCAGGAGATTGAAAAATATCTCCGGATCTTTATCAATCATCAACAGAATGATTGGAGCGAATGGCTCCTGCTCGCAGCCTTTCAACACAACAACCGAAAGCACTCGGCGACTGGGTATTCTCCATTCAAAATCAATCATGGGCAAAGGCCTCATCTTGCCCCGCTGACGATAAAAGAAGGAACAAACCCCACGGCCAGGGAATTCGTAGCCGACATACAGAAGGTACACGAACAAACTGCCAAAGCATTAGAAAAGGCGGCAGAAACCATGAAAAGGCAATACGACAAGCATCAACGACTGGCAGTGGAATACCAGCCTGGAGACAAAGTATGGCTGGACTCCACTAACTTACATCTTCCTCGACCAATGAAGAAACTAGGAGATAAACGAGTCGGACCTTTTGAAGTATTAACCAAGCATGGTGCTTCCGCATACAAGCTACGCCTTCCCCCTTCATGGAAAATCCATGACCGTTTCAACGAAAGCCTTCTCACTCCTTATCATCCACCAGAGTTCCCAATCCAAATACAGCCCCTAGCACCTCCTCCGGATCTTGTGGATGGCCAAGAACAATATGAAGTAGAAGAAATCATGGACCGAAGGGAGAGAACCATTGGTAGAGGAAGGAAGCGATGCACAAGAATCGAATACCTCATCAAGTGGAAGGGTTACCCCAGGGAAGAAAACTCTTGGGTGGACGAACAAGAGTTGGATAATGCAAGGGAGGCAATCAAAGACTTTGAACAAATTTCGTTCATAACTCGACCACCCGCGGAGTGGTGGGAAAACAATGACGAGTCCGATTCATGGTCAGAAACAGAATCGGTAACCGAGTCCGAAGTCGATCACCCATTGGTACAGGCAATACAAGAATACCTGGTAAAGCCAAACACGCCTTCCCTTGTAGGAGCCTACCTTCCCAAACCAAATCCACTTGCAGTTGGGACGACTGCCTTAACAGGGGGGTAATATTACGATTTCACGCTTTATCTTATCTTATCGGCTCTCTCATAATCTCGTTATGCTAATTCTCCAGACTTGATCGCATTCTCCCATGAGGGTTCAGTACGTTTACCACACTGTTGCAGACACTTGTAGTATATTTAGCACGACCCAAACTGTATTTAAGTAGCTCGACTGCAGGTCTTAAACCTCAGTCTCGAACTAAAGTTTATTCACCCGATAACTTAGTCTGAACTCACTCTCGCTCAACTAAGCGATAGCTCCCTTAACGCAAACCTGCGGACAACACAAAGCGCCTGACCGAAGTGCGAGTCATGCTTAGTTGTTTGATCTTGTTTGTTTAATCGGTCGCTAACACTCTGATGGATCGACACCTCTAGCTCAATCTCCTCAAGAAGGGGTAGAAATGCCTCCACGTCCATAAGTTGAACAATGAGCTCCCGCATAAGTACGTCGTATTGGGCATTCCACGCAGTTTCAAAGCGGAGTTGGAATGAAACGAGTGCCGGCGATAATTCGAGGATGGAGAAAAGGTGCTGATGGAGGAGGTTAACGGATATATCTAGGCGACTAAGAGTGGTGCAACGTGATTCGACAAGAAGATCGTAGAAATCAGTAAGGAAATCCTGTGGTGGGGATCCAGGTTGCCCACTGTTTTCTCTGTCGAAGTCAGCAATCAATGTTGCTTCCTTCAGAGACGGTACTAATAGGCTGCGAAGGAAGGCAGTATTGTTGACCACCAAATTGGACAGCAAGGGTTTTACAATACATGGGGAAACAGTTTCATAAAGCGAATACTTGCAGACGATGTCGACCACTGCGAGTTTGGGCGAGCTGCATATAATATTGAAGAAATATTCCAGTGATATCCCATCACCCATCTCCCACTCCTCCTCCTCCTCATCGCATAGATCAACTCGATACTTGAAGCTTTCAAGCTTAGGAGCATCAAAGGGGACTGGCGTATTAGGAGCCATCCCTTGCAAATCCATGTGTGTCAACTCTGCCCACCTCATAAGGCCAGTTGTGTATACAATTTCCTGTAGGCTCAGGAATTAGATTGTACACAATTCTGTGAGGCCTGCAGGCCTGATAAGTATATATGATGTACTATGGAGTAACCGCTCGCAGTGGTTACACGTGGTTACCCTCTTTCTAGCTGGTGGCAACGTTACCAGTCCAATATGCGGATTTTTGATCCCTACGCCCCGATTAGGACTGAACCGCTCACTATTGTTTGTTTTGCACAGGGCACCGTTCCGAGGCCCTCTTCTCTTCCATCCACTCACCTCACTTTGTGACAATGGACCCCCGACATTCAATAGGGCCTTTCTGTGTGGAGAAGCTCCGGATTTCATGCGCTCCTTTCCCCCTTTCACCTATTTGCTTACTGTAACTCTCAGTCTACTTCGAAGCAATCTATTTTTCTTTGCTGCTTCAGCGCTGTAGTTCTGACCTCAAGCACTGGAAATATACATCTAACGGCGGTATTTTGAATTTATAGGTGGCATTACATTGAACAATAGGGCTTCGGTGCGTAATTCTTTCATGTCTGGTATAATGTGCTGACTGGAAATAGATCCTGGCGTGCATGCAATGAAGAAACGTGTCTTGACCACTCGAAACAACTCGCAAAAATGCCACAGACGACCTAAGTTCATTCCCCCCATCATACCACTCTCCCCATTGCAATCTAAGGCAATCAAATGCGAGCTAATGGCTCCAACACTGCCCCCTTCCAATCCGACACCACCAGCCTCGTCTAATCCCACGACAAGCCCTGCTGTTACTGCTCCACCATGTTCCTCTGTAGCATCGTCACCGCCACTACAGCTGTATGTGTTTAATGACTCCAGCCATAATACGGAGCTGGCGACAGTGCCACCGTCGAATGCACATGCAACTACTACCAGTTTAAGTGCTGAAGACCTTAAGGAGAGCTCTGATACACTTCGGACAGCTTATTCAAAGCTTGATGGGCGAACTCACGCCAATCGGTTGAAACGGCAGGACAAAATGATATCCAACAAAGGCACAAAAGTAGCCTATAACCGCCATCTGCAAAACTATGAAAGCTTTTGGACTGAAGCTCAAATTGAAGACCCTAGCTTGGGTCTCATTTCTGCGCATCCTATAATGGCAGCAAAAGTATCGTTGTTCCTGGAACATGAAGCCAGTCGACTCAAGGTACATTTACTCTCATGCATCTAGCTTGTCAATCTGACGTTCCTTGCATCAGCATAAGGCTCGGACTGGTGAAGAGATCCAGGAATCATCTGTGGGGCACAGTCATATTTCCCAGGTCGTCAATTCATTGGAGCGCCACCGCAAGGATCACCAGCACGAACTTGAATACCAAGTATGTGCTGAATCTCTTATCCCACTATGCCGTGATATTTGAATATCAACGTATGAGAAAGGATCAAGAGCAGATGAGCCCAAACGGGTTCGAGAGGTGCATGTCCTGAAGGCAACTGGAGTATCATCTGGTATGCAGGAATTTCGTACCCTCATTTCTCTACTGACAAATACTTAGATACCTATGACGATGAGCAGCTTGTACGCCTCTCGATGTGAGCTATCTTTTCAACCATCGAAGCTGGCAATGTTCATGCAACACCACTACAAATGTATGCAGGCCTTCGGGATCGGGCAATGATTCTCCTATCGTCTAGTATTGCATTTCATGGAGATTCAGCTCGTTCACTGCTCTGGTCTGATCTCGAGCTTTGCAACATCCCCATGGTAAATATAGGCCTTGATGCTAAAGTTCCGGCAAGCAATCTCTTTATTCTGTTTGCATCCTCACTAGTGCTCATGCTGTATCGTTCTCATCTAGGCTGTCATCTTCTTGGCTGACCAAGGTAAAACAAATAAAGATGGACACCTTGAAGAGCATGCTGCCTTTCGTCATCGTGTTCCGGAGTTGTGCTCTGTCGGCGCTGTTGCCTTTTTATTCTTTGGATATTTTCATGTGTTGTCAAAGCCCATCCCTGACTTTGTTCCCGACTTTTCTGTTGGAGAGTATGGAAGACGCAAATGGTACAATTTCCATGTCTTCAACAACTCAAGTCGCCTGGAGGATGAAATGTCATATGACAGTATGTTATACACCTCACGCTGCTTTATAGCTATCTTACCAATGAACAGACCACCGTAAATGCGTCAAAGAGCTATACGAATGTGAAGGTATATCAATAACAAAGGTAACACATGCTGGTCGCAAATTTGCCGGAACATGGTCTCGTTATCATGGATCCTCACATGAGGACACCAAAGCACTTGGAAATTGGGCAAGCAAGACGGATGGCTCCATGCCATTATACGTTGATGCTCTCCCAATTCCATCGATGCTCTCCATGTCCGGGTGGAATGGCTCCAAACAGGAGTCCTATGTCTTAGTCCGAGGTGGGCTGGGTGAGTGGCTTGTCTTTGTTCTGTGCTAGTCTCATTACATCTCACTAGATGTACCCAGAGAGCTTGCCAAAGACATTTTTCCATGGGTCGAGGTCGAACAAGCAGCCCTTGAATCGAGAAAACAGCAGCTTGGAAGAAAGGCAGAAGATCCAAGGCTCTGCCATCTGCTCAACCTGCTCGTTTTTTTTCGAACTGTAATCCTTCAAGACGCCGCTGTTCTTTATGCCAAGTATCCAAACTGTCCTCTCTTCGACTACTACCCCTTCGATACCCCACTGTTCCACACATTTGCTATGTCTTCGATCCCTCGTCTTGAGGCTGCTGAATTGGAAGGACGTCATCGTCTGGAGAACTTGCCTGAACAGTTCTCTTCAAGCCTCCGTGGCATCGTAACGACGTTTGCGCTCGAAAATCAAAAGCTGAATCACGTCCTGCAGGAGCATACCATCATGCTCAAGACAATGGAGAGCCACTTCATGGCCCAAGAGACGTCTAATGAACCAAGACCACGAAAGCGTCGCAAAGGTATGAATTAGTTTTGTCAATAAGTATACACTCATTAAACCTTTTATTAGTGGCGCACACCAAATCTTTGCATGCTAGAATGACGATACCCCAGCCTTCTCCTACACCATTTGCACCATCATTTGCAGCCACCATTGAAACCCTGCCAATTGACTCAGTCCCGATCCCGTCGCTCTCACTTCCTGTCTCCGAAACCATCATCAGTAACAGTGGGGAGTTGTACTCTGTCACAGTATTCAGACTGTCAGAGGATCTGCATGTCCGAGACTTACAGCTCAAAGGCATCGATATGCTAGAGGCCGAATTTGGAGCTATGCAGCTACGATGTCATAGCTTTCAATGGACTATGTCTGATGCTAGTGACATATCTGACGAATGGCGGCCCTCTTATGAATTCTACCAGCCTGGTGGCAACAAACAAGCTACTATAGAAGACATCTGGAAAGAGTGGAGTGTCGGTATCAATGGCTGCATATCCGTTGAACACCTAAGTCAATACTGGGACACCCGATGGCGCCGATCAGACAAGGCAAAGAAGACAATGGCCTCATGACGGAAGCATATTATTGACCTTGTGACAGAGCTTATAAGCAAAAGAGGGTGGGATGAAAAATGGGCACTTAGATTTCTCCATGAGAATTATGTTCCTGTTAAATTCTCAACAGTGCGTGGGTTTATCGACTATCTGCAGAAGCGAGAGAAAGGGGTGGATGGATTGACAAATTTCCAACGAATAGTTGAGAATGCAATGTAATTGACCTGTCATATATAGTAAAGAAATTAATGTAGTCTTTCGAGCTATTTACGATGGTCAGCATCCACGATACCAGATCTGCCTTACCCCACAACATGCAGCTGTAGACTTAGAGCACCAAAAGAAGTTACATTAGACTCAGACTGGCTTATTTTAGGACTAAAAAATTATCTATTTTGACCTTACATTTTCGAGGAAGAAGTAAGAGAGCAACAGTTGGGGGATCGAGAATTGTTTGTACATATTTTTCAAATCCTTCCTGAGTCCATCTGCTCGACAACTGTGCTCATTAGCAATACTCATACAACTCAAAATTACTACTATTTCAGATGTGCTCAAGGTCTCAGTTCCATCCTTAAATATTTGTCAAATCAATAATCTCTGATGATGGCTGTCCAGCCTTGAAGTTTGTCGATGCGAAAAAGGTGATCTCGACATCATGATCTGATCCTGTTTAAGTGTTGATTGATTGTATGAATGATAGATAAATCAAGTAAACTGTAACGCACTGCTGCTGGTACCACAATTTGAGTCTGAGCTTGATAATATTTCTATCACTGGTGAAGCTCTTGCTTTTCCTTTTCCCTTCAAGTTGGCATTCAGCCTCATCTGTTGCTGCTTGCGCTCACCAACATCTGTTAGACAACTCACATAGTAAGGAGATACCTGCAAAGCCATAAATTATCATATCTGATTCTGCATCTGATGATATAACAAGCACCGATGCTGCCCTCATTTTTGCTGGTCGTTTTCTTTTCTTGATAAGAGATAAATCTGGGAGAGAACGATGTAAGTCTCATAGCTGTCTGTATTCCGAGAGTATAATTCAGCTTACTGGCTCTTTCGTTTGCCGCTTCATGTGTTAGAGATTGCTGCGCTTGCATGGCCTTTCCACCGCCTTTCGATTCATTCCTAGTAAGAGCATATCAGCTCCAAAAATTGAGATGATGTGTTCCGGCCTTACCCTGCATTAACGGTCTAGTAAGATTGTCATAAGCATGGAAGGGAAATTTATAAATGGATACCTACCTTAAACCTTCCCCGTCTCTTCCTCTTCTTGTCGTTCTGTCGTTCTGTGCCCTCATATTCCTCAACAAGTTCCGGGCATACTTGTTCCATCAATACTGCTGGTACCCAGACGTGAAGTGAAGACTGCTGGAGATCCATACCATCATCTCCATTCTGTCTGTCACTGTCCTCAGAGGAGCCTTCCCATTCTATATCATCCTGCCTGCATATCCCTTGCACTCCTGTTTCAGCGATGCGAGAAAAAATGGAGGGCTTTATCTCTACACGATACTCAGGTGTGTAATCTGTAGAAAAGTGTTTCCGTGTTGAATGTATCTTAGTCATCCAATCACAGAAATCTTCTGTCACAGACTGCTCACCTGCAAATCGTGAAAGAAAAGCGTCCTCAGGTGAAAGGAGTTGTCGATGGAGTACCTGGAAAGTAATTGATGGCCACAAAATCTTGTGAAACTGCTCCAAAATGGCAGCTTCAAAACCCCACTCGAAGTAAAATTCACATATTCGAGCAATTTCTGGAATAGAGGGCTCTTTCTGTGTCCAGGTGAGGTCAGCGTAAAAATCTGGACGACCTTCCGAAAGCGAAGTGATTGGCTGAATATAAGAGGAAAGGACATGGATGTTAGGAAAATCCTGGGGAATGGTTGACGCTAGGCTAGTCATTTTCTGGCCAATGCAGCCGTGCAAGTCTCCTGCAAGCTCAGAAATAACTTTGTCGCGCCATTGGTCAAGAAAGGCAGGAAGAGAGGCAGGTGGAAGACTTGTTGCCGCATGATACAGACTGTCTGCAAAGCCGCATTGAACTAATGCAAGAGCGGTTTTAACACCACAGCCTTGTAATCCAGCATAATAGTCACCGCCTGAACATAAGGCGATCAAGAGGAGATCTGCACGACTTTGTTCGATCTCAGAGTAAACGTGAAAATGCTGCCTAAACTTGTCGTCATGGGGATGAGTCGAGGATGGATTCCGAATCACTGTACGCGCTCCAAATATAAAAGTGTCGACATCATCTGTAAGGATTCCATCAATGATGCCAGCCTCGTTCAGGTATGCCAACTTGGCTTCAGCCTCTCCAGGTGCCGTTTGCCATTCAAAGCCAAATGCCTCGACTACCGCTTTCACCGCTGTAATAAGCTTAACAGGTGAACGGTTAATCTTCTTTCCTCTTTTCCATTTGGGCCTCTTAGGACCATCAAATATGAAAATGGGAAGAATTGGATACTTCAGAAGGGAACAGCAGCGAAAGAAGATGAGGCGCAGCTCAGGATTCTCTCCTCCCTTTGAATATCCAGTGTGGAAGAGCCAGAGAGAAACATCGATTCCCAAACGGAAGCCCCGAGATGGAGAAGACAGTACTGGCAAGGCTAACGAAGTAAAAGACTTGATAGACATAGAGGGTTTCAGAAGATTCCATAGACCTGGTACGCCCATGTTGATGGTAAAATGCAAGAAGATAACAAATCGAGTGAAGTTCAAGAACAAAACTTGCCACGGTCATTTGTTCCGAGAGGTTACCTATTTGAAGCATCCAAAAAAAATACAATTCAAGTGAATTTACAATGAACTACTAGTACTCGAAGCTTGAATAGTCTCATGATGAATTTGAAGACGTCGCTGCAGTCCTTTACTTCCACCTAGCATCCGCTTATCAAACGTTAACCATTCTGCAACTTCGGGATCATTCTCGTATTTTTCCAACAGCGCAAGACTTTCCTTTATCTCATTGAACCAGGTCATTCCAAAGCATAGCCCATCACGAACCACACGCTCTTTTGAAAGTTTACGTCCCTGGAATAATAACGGTGAGGTAGACAAATAAAAGCTTGACAATAACCTTACCGAAGGGCAACGTGTATGTGCATATTGCTCGACAATGCGGACAGCAAAGTCCCAGTATCCTTTAATGTCGGGCCCAGAGATAACATGGTGGCGAAGTTTCTGCCACAAGTCGTATCCAGGCTGCAGGGAAATCTGCTCCTTGAGCCAGGTAGCGTCCAGATCTGAACGTTCCCTAGCTACAAGAAGTGGCTTCGTTGACGCATCATTAACTATTATTGAATTGGAATCTAGACAAAAGTCTCGTAAATACAGGAATCAATAGTCGAGGCAAAAAGGATTAGTAATTACCAGTCGCAGCTTGCGGCATGAAATTAAGCATACTGGAGTTTGCCATATAGGTATAATGATCATTTGACTGCAGAGCCCTTCAAAACAATATTGCGCGGTATCTAAAAGGCCATAACGTACCGTTTCCACCATGATACGTAGAGCATTTGATGAAATGGTCACCGCATCAATAGTGGTCTCTGCCGTGAGAAGATCGTTGAAGGGGGCATCGATAAAATAGTGATAGAAACCATCTTGCCGTGGGTCGGGAAGGGTGCACTGTACTGTTGTCCTGGTGACTTAAAAGGAGTATATCAATTCAGGATGCGAGGTGGAAGGATCGCAACTCACTCCAAACTCCATGGCGTTTACGCAGAATTCCCTTCAGTCGATCTAAAACATCACGAGGATTGACACGAAACTCATGCAGTTGACATGCGACAATATCAAGGACCGGAAGAGAAATGGTCTCGGTGAATTTACGCTTGCTGGATTTATCGCATTCATCTTCGACGAACAAATAGACGACCTGGGTTAACAATAAGCATGGTGTCATTGTCCGAAATTTGTTACTCATCTGTATGACACCAGGCTCGTAGACTGAGGCGTTGGAGACGACGAATTGGGTAGTTGTCATGTTCAGCTAGGAAAGTAGAAAGAAAGGGTCAGCAGCTGTCCAGTTACTGTAGATACATATGACAAACCTCAGTAGATGTAGACAAGGAACTAAGATCGGTCGGCGTTGAGTTTGTTTGATGTTCAGGAGACCTGGAGGAAAACATCATAAAGCCATAGCTGGGATTCAGGATTACACGTCGAAGACTGGCTTTGGTGACGTGCGACTTGCTCAGCTTGGCGAGGGCACCCGTCTTTTTGTGTCGGTGAGGCCACTTATGCAGCTGGCGGCGAATTATGCATAAGAGTTCAGTAACTCGTAGGCCACTTTTAACAAGATAAAGATTTGTGTCAGTTTACTGAATTCCCAATGGTTCAACTCACTTGAGATCGTCGCTCGTGTACAGCCACTCTTCAAGGGACATTTGCACTCCATCCATGGCAAGATGTTGACCAAGAGATCAGCATCTCCCGCAAGTGTTGGCATTGTGGCTACCACTTCCAATGTGATTGTGAAAGAGTATATTCGTTCGCCATGAATGACAGCGAGTGAGGGGAGTGAGCGACTCGTGAGTGAGGGGGTCCCAGATGTCCTTGCTTCCTGGGCTGATCATAAGGTCCACTGAATGAAGCCGCTCTATAAAAAGCAGCAGAGCATGATAAGACACACGGCAAACTGGCTCTGGCTGGCTCAGAGGTGAAAGAAAGTAACGAAGTCGTTGGCAAGTGCTGGGCGAGAGCTATGGGCATGGGCGGAGCACATTAAAAAATGCAGACTGCAGTATCGGATATGTTGCCATGAGCTCGAATTTTTCGGTTAGAGAGGGCCTGAACTAGACAAATGATAAGCAGAGTGAGGCCAGTGGGACTGGCTCAGAATGAAGTGTAGCGTCAGAGATCCCCACTCCCCTCACCCAACACGAGTGAGGGGAGGAACCTGAGTCGTTGCTGCTGCTTTGGGCCATGGGAACGGGGTACGTAACCGGGCCGTGACCATACCCGGGGTCCACCGCTAAAATGGCCGGTCATGTGCGGGTACCGAGCGTCACCCGGAGACTTCAATAGCATTTATACACACATGTATGAAAGCCTGGATCCAATCAAAATCCGCATTTTCTCAAATATTAGGCACATTTCCCATCGGGATGGGCTAGATTTTTCTGTGGGACCTTTCATAAAAATCTATAATTAGCCTGTGAAGTCAGCCCATCAATATCTGGCCGAAAACGGCTGGATGCGACCAAATGAAAATGGATGTAGTGGCAGTGCCGAATTTTTGATGGCATCATAGGGGCTATTTTCCGGTCAGAATAGGATTTAGGCTGGTTTCTGGGTGCTCGGCAGGTCAGGTCATGGTCCTGTAATATTCACAAACATAAATAACATAAAAGCGAACCTACTGATGAGGTATAGGGGCTCTGGAGAGTATGTAATATAGGTATTTTCGCAAAAATGGCTGCAATATTTGCTTTTTTGGGGGTTTTTAGGGTGATACATGCATTGGATCGACCGGGGGACTTCACCAATGAATTTCCTGACCTTGAAAACCCCCAAACGATCCCTCTATAGCACTTGTGGCACATTTTATTACCAGGATTAGACGAGCATATTGGATTTTTAGGGTGCAGCATGCTTTGGATTGCTTTGAAAACTATACCAGTCGGTTGGTACACTATAAAAACCTTAGAATACATTGTCTTCTATAATATTTGACCTGTATAATACTGTAAAAAAGTGGGGATTGGGGTGCACATATGGTTTATTTTGTTTTCTGTGCTTCGGATGAGTCTGGGACCATCACCAATAGATTCCTTGACATTTAAAACCCTAAAACGACTATAGGAACCTTTTATTGGGTTCCATAAACGATGGTAATAACAATATTACAGTTTAGGAGGAGCACATATGGAAAATCACTTTTCTGTACCTTGGAATACTTCGGAACTTCTACCAGTGTATTTCTTGACCTCGAAAACCCTCGGATAACACCAGGATTTAAAGAAAACCTACAAAAATACATGTTAAAAAAGAGTAATAGGGGATGGAGGAGATATACCTTGTATTACGCATTTCTAGTGGTTGGAGAAGGTATTCCTGTTATATGAGAGACGATATGTATTGTATAATCACTTGTACAAATTCCCACGTTTATCTGAAATGTATTGGAAGAGATATAAGTAAATCATTCTGCAAATGATGAGGAGCACATCCCCAATTTTGATATTCTGATCATTCTATAGCTTGGGGAATGTCAGAATCAGATTCCCTGACCCAAAAAATGGTAGGATCACCAATCATCCATGGGATGTGAAGTGTCAACACTCCGAAGTACAATATGGACTTTCCTTGACAATTGCTGCAGTCTGATTTGTTCTTACCACCAGATGTTTTCTTGATAAAATGACCATGGATGATTGGTGATCCTACCATTTTTTGGGTCAGGGAATCTGATTCTGACATTCCCCAAGCTATAGAATGATCAGAATATCAAAATTGGGGATGTGCTCCTCATCATTTGCAGAATGATTTACTTATATCTCTTCCAATACATTTCAGATAAACGTGGGAATTTGTACAAGTGATTATACAATACATATCGTCTCTCATATAACAGGAATACCTTCTCCAACCACTAGAAATGCGTAATACAAGGTATATCTCCTCCATCCCCTATTACTCTTTTTTAACATGTATTTTTGTAGGTTTTCTTTAAATCCTGGTGTTATCCGAGGGTTTTCGAGGTCAAGAAATACACTGGTAGAAGTTCCGAAGTATTCCAAGGTACAGAAAAGTGATTTTCCATATGTGCTCCTCCTAAACTGTAATATTGTTATTACCATCGTTTATGGAACCCAATAAAAGGTTCCTATAGTCGTTTTAGGGTTTTAAATGTCAAGGAATCTATTGGTGATGGTCCCAGACTCATCCGAAGCACAGAAAACAAAATAAACCATATGTGCACCCCAATCCCCACTTTTTTACAGTATTATACAGGTCAAATATTATAGAAGACAATGTATTCTAAGGTTTTTATAGTGTACCAACCGACTGGTATAGTTTTCAAAGCAATCCAAAGCATGCTGCACCCTAAAAATCCAATATGCTCGTCTAATCCTGGTAATAAAATGTGCCACAAGTGCTATAGAGGGATCGTTTGGGGGTTTTCAAGGTCAGGAAATTCATTGGTGAAGTCCCCCGGTCGATCCAATGCATGTATCACCCTAAAAACCCCCAAAAAAGCAAATATTGCAGCCATTTTTGCGAAAATACCTATATTACATACTCTCCAGAGCCCCTATACCTCATCAGTAGGTTCGCTTTTATGTTATTTATGTTTGTGAATATTACAGGACCATGACCTGACCTGCCGAGCACCCAGAAACCAGCCTAAATCCTATTCTGACCGGAAAATAGCCCCTATGATGCCATCAAAAATTCGGCACTGCCACTACATCCATTTTCATTTGGTCGCATCCAGCCGTTTTCGGCCAGATATTGATGGGCTGACTTCACAGGCTAATTATAGATTTTTATGAAAGGTCCCACAGAAAAATCTAGCCCATCCCGATGGGAAATGTGCCTAATAGTTGAGAAAATGGGGATTTAGGCCATTACATATCAGGAGTCATGTAAGTATACAACTCAGGCCTCACGGGATTGTATACAATTTAATTCCTGTGCCTACAGGGCAATTGTACACAATATTGGCTATATGGCCTCCTCTGCCAGGGTATAATCAAAGGCGATGACCATTAATTCAGGCCTTGGTCCCAACTCGTAGCAATAAAGAGTACACTCTTTAAGTGATGACAAGCATCCGTAAAGACGGTCCAGCATGCTGCGCGTATCAAATGGGCTGATGGAAACATGAAGCTTCTCCCAGCGCTCCGCATCCAAGGCCAAATGGAACCAGACGTTGTCTTGAAACAGTGACGTAGCACCGCCGCGAAAAAAATCGAAGTCCATAGCGATGTGTAGCATGTGAGTTTGCGAGCGAGACAATATTGTAGTAATTGTATCCAACACTGACGAGAGAGCGCCTTTTCTGACCATCGCTGAGTCATGACGCAACCGGGGAACTGATATCTTTGCCCATACTTCAGGACAGACCGTTGTGATGATGGACCGCCACAGTTGGCAGACCTTGCTAATGGCCCATGCTGGATGCTTGGTGTCTAAGATGTCGATAGGATCGCTGGCGGCATAACAGAAGATGTCGGTTAGAATTTCGATGGGAAGGGTCCTGATGGAGGATAAACTTGAGGCCGCTCGGTGCTTGCGTTGGGCATCATGTAAGAAGCAGCGTTTCTCCTTGAGTTGGTGAAGGGCGCTGTTAAACGGGAGATATCCGCATCGATGCAAGTAAGGCCACGGTCGAGGCACAGCTCCGCTTCTTCCAAGATCGCTGTGGTTCTTTCATCGAGAGGCCCACTATTCGCTTGACGCAGTAGGACAGCGTCCTGCTGTTCAGCGGACAAAATGTTGTCATATCTTGATATGACTGCTTGTAGCATGGATGGTATATCGATATCTTTATGCGTGATCTTGGCGGTAGATATAAGTGACTGAAAGTATCATTGTGCATTACTACTCACAGGTTTCCTACATCTCTCTCCCAAATGAGCAGCATATCTGCTGAGCCTGCCAAATCAGAGAAAACAGGGGGAAATTGATGTCCTTGGAAAAAGCTGCCGCATTATAAAGAGAATTAAACCTTGTTATACCCGTGACCGAATGGATACACCCTCGTTTCTTTGTTCAGTTCGGTTGAAAAAAAAAAGTAAATGTAAACTGTCGGCAAGTTCCGACGCGGATTCCTGCCGTATTTAGCAACCTCACCTTCGTCGTTATACGTTCGGCTGCAGCTAACGTCCATCGTCCTCTCTGATCTAAACAAATTTTCAGGTATTTACTCGCTGCAACCTGCTGGCATCCCTATAGCCAGTGATACCTGCAACGTGAGTAGCGACATTGACAATATTCCTTCGCCTCTAGCCTTTTGAGGCTGAATTTCCCAATCAGACGCGTCAATGCGAATACAGAGGTAGCACTGAGCACATTCCTTTATGCTCGTCATCAATCACTGCATCAGGACCTAATGACCCTTCCAAGCCATCGCACCAGCACCCATATGCCCTTCCTGAAAGTCTATTAGCCCTTATCCTGCACCTTCCCCCCGAAATTCTCATAGAAATTTTCTTGCGCTCTTCAAGCTCAGACCCTTCGTTTAGCATCTTCGATATAAAGCACTATTCCTGGGCTATCTCGCAGGTTTGCAGGTCCTGGAGATCCGTGTCGACCTCCATGTGTCCCGCAATGTGGTCAGAGATAGACATCGATTTTTCAAATGCCGGATTGAGGGGTAAGAGAGATCCTGTTACAATGCTTCAAACGGTGCTGTCTCGGTCGCGCCAAATCGTACTGGATATTGAATTCCGCATGTCCTGCCGCGTAGAGGAACCGTTTCAGTCGGTCATGTGGGGACAATTGGTTGCACACGCCGAGCGCCGGTCAAAGATCTATTTTACCCTTGGCTGTCAGGTCATGTCCATTCTCACCTGACTTCGCGGACATCTCGTACAATTGGAGGAGTGCTACGTTCAGCGCAACTATAGCCATTCAAGTTCTGACCTCGTTGATGTATTCGAGCATACACCGAAACTTCGGAGGATGACTCTGATTGATCTAGTATCTAGAACGGTCATTCCCGTCTCGTGTGCCAATCTCGAGTCCTTCAGAGACGAAAGAAGGAATTGGCATGCATCGGATGCGATGCACACATATTTCATCAGCCTACTACGCCGTTCCCCAAAGCTAACAGAATTTCGTGCACCATACCATTGCGTTCGAGCAGATGCTGTCTCGCCGCATATCGAAACCCACTGTCACGCACTTCTCAGGCTGCGATAAGGCCTTGCCTCGCAGTCTCTCCCTTCCACAGCTTAAGCTGACCTCCATCGAACTTTCCAAGATGCTGCAGATTGCTTAGGGTATTTCCATGACCTTCTTTTCCATTCACGATGCCATACCCTTACCGATTTATCCATCTTCCGATTATCACCTGCTCTAGTCTCGTTCAACGTCCGTGTCGTGGCGGGCTATTGGCTTGCCAGCGACGATGATAGCGTACGGAGTCTTTTCCGCCATCTATTACAGTCGCCTGTGCTCGTCCTACACCTAGAGAACATCACATTCAATCTGTATCTTTTCAGAGCGTGGGAAGCTCACTTTCTCAATCACGTAATGATAGAGATGATTGAAGCGTGGCGAGCCTCCTCACTGAGGAAATTCCATGTTGTCTCGAAGTATTCAGAGGACGATGATAAAGAATTCTGTGATTTGACTGACGATGACATCCTGCGGTTGAACAAGATTAAAGCCGAGGGCTTCGATGCTGAAGTCATTGCCTACTTGTATTACGACACTCGGGAACGTCGTATTTATGTGTAGCTCGTTGACAGAAATTGGTGTCTGCGTGCATGTCATGTGGAGTGGAGTAGTCAAACAGGAGAGAAATAGTGATCATTCACTAAAACGAGCACTGACACTTCGACCTGTAAAACCGGAGAACTTAATGGCTCATATACCCACAGTAGGCAGAGCTGATTCTTCGTTATTGTCTTCTGATATATTAGGTTTCATAGACATAAGAATAGCTGGATTATACATAAATGTGTTTTCGATTGTCGACGTCGAGGGAGCCGCAAGACGTGATTGCTACATCAAAACCCTCTGCCTTTATATTCCTTAGCCGTTCAATATCACCTTCACCTAAATCGCAAAACCCCTTATCCGGCACTGTTGCGGCAAGATGAAACTTTCGCAGAGAGGAACCCCGCCGCGCCACGATCATTTCTACCATCCTATGGTTAGCACAATGAATGTCAGTCTCACTGAAAAGCGCCAGTTCAAGGACAACATCCTTTAGTTGAGGGACAAACTCCTGTGAATTAAACAGTCCACCGATAACGCCCTGCAAGGCTTCATCATTTTGGGCTTCCCATTCATGAGTCTGATAATAGAAAGAGACAAGGGCGGGGCTCAATTTGAAAATGCGAACGAGATTTCCCGGGCGAAGACGGATGTTAAAGACTTGCAGCGTAGTCAGCGTGTTGCATTGAGACTGAACTAACATGTCCTGGAAATCTGATAGACAGTCTGCGAGATCCAAACAGTAATCGTTGAACAGGGCGGCGACCTCGAGCCGTGGGAGCGAGAGACTGCGAATAAGAGAGTTGTCGCAGACCGTCAATTCTGATAACGAGGGTTTGACGATGCGTGGGAAGACAGCCCTGCCTGCGGTGGAAGTCACCCTAGAACAGTAGGGGGCATAAAAGCACGTCAGGTTCGGCGAATCTTGGAGGACTTTTAGGAGATGGTAATGAACCAGTGACGCGGATGGCAGCCACTCATCCCTATCATCTACAAAAACCTCCAGGTTGGTGGAAGCGATGAGAAAGAGGGTATCGGGTTCGAGACCATAAACTTTTATCTTCTTCAGCGCCAGTGTGTGATCGAAGACATTGATAATTTCGAGCCCTTCACAAGCAAATTCCAGATAACAATCTTGCAGCCTCTCGAGGCGCCCACGGAGATGCGAAAGGTACCCCATTTCCGGTTGACCAATATCGGTAAGATGAATGTTTGTCCAACGCTCGGCGTGAGGAAGCAACTCTTCCCAGATTGTCGGTTCAATAGACGACGACAATCTAATTGCCAGCCCATACTGACGCGAGCGAGATAACACCGTCCCAAGCAATGATCTAGGGTCCTTCTTACGCATGAACCGGTCATTGGCAAAAATATCTATGCTTGACCATAGGCTAGGACACATAGAATTGCAGATGGATCTCCACGAGCTGCACACCTGCCCAATGACCCAAGGTGCGCTGTTCGTATTGAGCACATTGCCAGAGAAGCTAGCAGTGCATAAAAAGATCTCCATGAGAATTTCGGGTGGAATACGACGAATGGGGAGTAATGGCAAACGATGGTCGCGTTCAATCTCTTCCAGGAGAACGAGTCTATTGTGGAGTTGGCGAGAGACATCATGATCGAACATTTCTACATCGCCATCTGAGGACAAGCGGTTGAGGTCAGCAACAATCCGGCGGATGTCGTTTTGGACATGGAATAGTGAGCCTTTCAGAATGCCGACCTCCATTGAACTTGGAACGGCGTTGGTCCGGAGAAGATTGAGCAGAGTGCGCGGACGTTGATATGACGAAAGACCATCGTATTTCAAGATAATCATTTGCTCGAGGGTGGATGGAGTGTCGTAATTGTGCTGGTGCATCTAGAGGAGTGGTGAGAATGGTGAGATAGACAGGTTCGATGTTTCTACATACATTGGAGATACTGCTACTTCTCGTCGTCATGCTGACTTGTCAAGCAGGCGGCTGGCCTATTGGATTGAGTGGTTCGAGAACTGCCTGAAGAGCGCGAAAGCGAGGGATGGTAGGGTTCGTCATTGCGATTCAAGGCCCTTTTAAAGACAGACAAGACAATGCGTTCCCAAACAAGGCTGCTGAATGAAATGATCACAGAAACCTCGATCAATGAGGACAAAAAGCTTCGGAACTTCCGAGCGACTTTGTCTCTACAATCTTGAATCCCTTGCATAGCTTGCCCCAAATTTCCGGTTGCCGTTCTTCCGTTTGTCTTTACGCGTTTATAAATCGAGAATGTCGCTGTCATTCAGAATATAATAAGTAATAAATAGTATTCGCATATCCGAATTTTGAAGTCCTCCGATAGGAGAAAAAATCCAGCAAACCCGACGCATCATACGTCGACAGTGTTCTTCGTTGAGTTAATGGGTATGTAGCTTACCGTTGAAAAAACCCTTCGACATATTGAAGAGCAGGGGATATGAGATAGCTTGTCTGTCTCGTAAATGTGCTGACCAAGGTGGCACAGTTACAAGGACTTGTTAGAAGACTCCGTCCAGTCAATGGCGCCCAAGCCTCTCCAGACGCTTCGCCGCAGGGATGGAGGTATGGAATGCCACGGCGTCACTGAAAGAACCTGCAAGTTCGCACGTAGATTCGATGTCAGGAAGATGCTGGAGGACACTCGACCCCAGCCATGAAGGTCCAGTAAAGCGAGTTTGGCAGTATCAAAAGACATGTTAAGCCCCCAATCCCTATAACTGTTGATAACAAACCACCTCAATCGGAAGAGGGAGAGGCTTCGAAAACCTCCATAACTGAGGTCCTGGGGTCAGGAAGCAAACTTAAAACCATCGATTAGAATGCGGCATGACTTCATTGATAACGGTTTCCCCTGAAGAAAGTCACCATAACCTATATCGATGATGAGCGAAGCTGTAGCTTGACAATGGTCTGGGTCGGGAAGGCAGATACCCAGTTCAGAACAAGCTTGACTACTGACCAAAGTCCGGGGGGGAAGATGGAACAATACCAACAACAGACGCGAAGAGACGCCTATGGCGCGTTCTTGACGTCAAGACTGCTGCTAAGTTCGTCTGATGCATATGAGAGTGCGATAAGCAGTACGTCACGTTAAGAGGCAGGACCGGAAACAGTAGTGACTGTTTAGCCGCCATTTATTCTTGTTCTTGCCACAAGCTTTATGACCAGAAGCGTGTCAAGATGATTTAGATAAGGAACTCCAAGTCAGAGATGGTTTTGCATAGGAATGATGGCTTCGGTAGCTAAGCTTGAGTCGACACCAAGAGTGAGTTTTCCAGAACGAAGACATCGAGTCGAGGCCTGGGGGAAAATCAGCCATAGCAAATCACTTTCAACGCAGAATTCACCGAGCGATAGCAAGGGATGATTGCTCCCGATTTCAGTCCGGAATTCAGCCTGAGTCTCGCGACTGTCGCGGTCGCGGTCGAGTCAGGGTTACAACGTCCGGCAAATGCCGACCCACTTTTACCTCTAACACTCAACCAACACTCTTCATTCACTTTATCATCACCATTTGTTCCATGCTTCAATCTTCTAGAGACAAAATAATGATTACCCGGTGTACGAGTTCTTGATAGAATGATCAGTTCGTTCATCATTTTTTCGTTGCGGTTCCATTTTTCTGATTCTCGCAGCAAGCGTTTCCAGACATACTGTCCGAAAGGTGTTACCGCAATCAGAAACACAGAGATATGTTCGTCTACCTTGGTCCCGCTTGGGTGTCTTGTCCTGAGCCTGTGACATCAGATCTCCTGCGCATTACTTGAAGTTTATACTAAGTGTGCACAAAACGGCAAGGAAACTTCAGAGTTAACCAAATCGCTAGTCCTGGACGTAGCGGATATGGCCCAGACTATTTTGCTTCTGTGGCCGGCAATAGCACTCTTGGCCTAGGCAACCCTGCTCTGTTGTCGCTTCGTCCCTTATGCAGGCCAAACCGCCGGAAGTTCATGTGCGAAGTAGAAGCTTGACAGGCAAATTATGAATGGGCGCCGTGTCTTGTTCTTGTGTATGACTTCCTTCACGCCTTTCATCCTATACTCAATATGTCTTATTCAGACAGACAACCGTGTTTCTCTAGGATGATGCTGATTGTTTTTGGCCACCAGTACTCACCTTCGGTGATCTGGTGTCGGCAATGTATTAATGCCGTTGAAGCAGTCCCGACACTTACCGAGCGGACCAATGAAAACGCGTGGACTAGGGACCTAGTTCAAGATAGGTATTAAGGTCTTCGGGCATATTCACCCGCTCTCAGACTGCAATATTCTTGTTCACATAAAACCATCTCTCTGATCCTCTCCTGTCAGGGAAGTGATGAGTGTCAGGAGCAATAGTGAAAATTTCAAGCTCTGATGCGAAAGGACGGCTATGACAAGGGCAACTAGAACTCCTGAAACGCGCGCCCATTCTCGCTTGCGCAAAGGTCGCATACGAAGGACGCAGCAGGATGAAGCTTTGTTTGTCTAGTGCCAAGATCCGGCGCTTTCGTGGCCATGATCTTGTCTGAAAAGAGATCATCCATCATATGCATCTAGCTTCGAATACATAGATCCCTTGAGATTGCTCGGATACGCACCTAGTGCAAACGCAACTCAGCTCTTCCGAATTGCCCTGCGGTCATTATCAAGTAATTTTGACAGCGTTCCGGATTGTCGTCATGCTTCTGGCTGGAAAAGAAGCAAGGGGTTATGATATTTTTCTATATGAGTCTCTGATCCCTTTGACACGGAAAACTGGGTAGCACTCATATCATATGCGGCGCGCGTTTAACACGCGGGCACTTCCCACGAACGCCGCCCGATCTATGTCGATCATGGAAATCTTAGGGTATCGCCGTGTTCAGGAGCATCCAGAACTACGCGACACTTACAGATGTACGTGAAAATTTGTTTAGTGATTGCGATGGTACTTGGGGTGAGGCGTCCATTGGCTAATATGTGTCCGAATGCAGTATTCAAGATCTATACTTGCTGTTACATCATAGGACCGTGCTGTTCGCCGGCGGTTATCAGCATCATATGGCAGCCACACTTTCTTCCATCGTAACGGAACCTAGAGCTCATACGTCCGGTTAAACCCACTCATCGGCCGAAGGACCATCGGAGGAAGTCATTGGTGGATACAGAAGCACCAAGCTAAGGAGAAGAGAAGGGGAAAAGGGCCACAGACTCAAAGGAAGTCTATGAACAGCCGCTGGGTCGAATCAGTATCAACGGGGTTCATAGGCGACTTGACAGTCGTCTGACTTGGCATTATGAATTGAGGGAAGAATCGAGACCAAGCCTCGTCGGGGGGACTTTTAGCATGAGGCCGGGCCGTAGAAGCCGAACTCGTCTCGAGTCAATTTAGACTGTCTAGGCGCATTTCCGTGATATAAGAGTGGATACATCAGGGCAAGTACAATCTTTCCACCCACCCACTACCCTGACACTGTGGCAGTGAACCCGGGAATTGCTTACCTCGCGTTACCTTGGGCAAGCCGTTCACATTCATTTGCGCGGGTACTTCTACTGCTCCATGCAAGCGTTTCTGAAGTTCAACTCATAATTAATGGCCACCAATACGACATCAAGCGCACGCATACCTTTCCCCTCACTGCCGCCACCCGGCAAATTTGCCTTTGCACGTCTTTGCAGTGACCGTGAGGTCTACCTAGTACAATTAACAGGTGCGTAGTCCTCGGATGTTTAGAGTTGCTTCGCGTCTCACGGTCGTTTTTTTTTCGCAGAAGAATCCTGTCGCTTCCTTTGTGGCGACCTTTCATGTCCCCAAAATGCCCCAAATACCTGCTGCATGAATGATACCCAAAACATGTCAATAACGTTACGCCTATTCCGTCACGAATTCATTTCTATTTTCCGTCTTGCGGGGAGCAAGACTTTGCGGCTGTCCGACATCCGTATTTTGGAGGTCATAGACGACACGGCGAAAAGATACGAGGAGGAACAAGGGGTGGTGTTCCTGGCTAGAGGGTTGGTCAGCGGAATGCGGCGCTAATCATGACGAGTCGTTGTCTGACGGGGTTTACGTCGAGGAACGGCGTTGAGTGACAGGACCAGGTTGTGAAGGAATGCTGACACATTGGACTGCTGGATCGTCTGTGGAGCTGTCGGCGAACCTTGTAGGCGTTATCTCCAAGATTACTTATGATAATTCATTATAATTAAGTTTGTGTCGTTTTTGATACTGACGCGTATGCATATGCTGGATACTTTCGTCATTTCTCGTTCATCCGACAGGGTATAACTATATATTTTTTGAATCAACTTGAATCACTCGTATGTACTATGTATCTTAGTACATTACTTGGTTAGTATTTGGTTTCATAGTGCAACAAGAAGCAATTTGGGTGCTGACAGATATGAGTGTTTGCATCTGCAACTATTTCAGGTGGTTCAAGTTGGGTTTGTGTTGTGCTTCCCTTGATTCAATAGCCCATCCGTTGTGCTGTGGCCACTCGGCGCGTCGCGTCCTCTACGAAAGCCGCGATGCCAAACAAAACGCAACAAAACGCGTCTTTCCATCATGACATGACGCACGTGCCACTACCAGTTTGAAGAATTTCAATAGAACGCTTGGAAGTTACGTTATGTTTATATCGTGGAAGCATGCCCAGAGTTTTCATCGGTTGTCATCATTTCTTGTCCTTCGTGCTGTGACCCGTCAGGTGCGTATTCCAAACATACTTTATTCCCAAGCATTGACGTGATTTTCTCAGTGTCAATCTGGATTCTCGATTCTCCTCGACAACTAGTATGTGACTGATAAAGCGCTCTGGAACTCGTCTATTGACCATTCTCTTAGCTCTATGCCTATATATTTATTAAGGTAATTTCTTATCTTTGAGGCGATGCTCATGACCTAGTCAAAATTTGGTGAGTGATTTTCATAGATTTTGAATACGTTTGACGTCACAACGGCGCCATTGAAGCAAGGGATATATTCGTGGATTTGTCCCCTTGATGTTCGTACATTCTCGAGCTCGCCATGGCGTATCATTGCATCCTTCACACTTGTGACTTCTCATATGAGCTTGTGACCACTTCATGGCCCGGTCCTCTGGCATGCCTGATAACGGTACTGATATTTAACCGCAAGTTGTTCCTGCACTCCCTCTCCAATAATAACCCAGGATGGCATCTCTGGGAGTCGCTCTAGTTACAGGCTGCAGCCAAGGGATTGGCAGAGCAATCGCTATACGGCTCGCGAAAGACGGTTTCACACTCTCGCTTAATGATCTACCTTCAAAGGAGGCAGAGCTTCAAGCTCTAGCATCGGAGATAACATCTGAAGGTCGCAAACCTCATGTGGTCACTGGAGATGTCTCTGTGGAATCTGATGTGCAAAGAATGATTACATCGACCGTAGAGGTACTTCGTTCCCTCGATGTAGTGAGTAGCATTCTGGCGCTATCCTATTCTGCCGTGCTGAGACTTTTCAAGATGGTCGCAAATGCAGGGATTTGCATCACAAAGGGCATCCTAGCTAGTACGCCCCCGGGCTTCAGTTTCATCTGACCCAGCTGCGAGCTCACACCCAACAGCCTCCTCCGAGGAGTGGGACCGGATTGCGGCAGTCAATGGTCGCGGAACATTTCTCTGCTACAAGTACGCTGCGAAGCAAATGATTGACCAAGGCCGTGGCGGACGAATCATCGGAGCCGCGTCTTTAGCTTCGAAACAAGGTACCTATGACATTGGGCTCAATTCAGTGGACTTGATGACTGACTTCAGCTATTTCAGGATTTGCCAGCCTTTCGGCGTATAGTGCATCCAAATGGACTATACGCGGGCTTACACAAAGCGCTGGTGAGACCACCTCTGCTTATAACGTCCTTATGTGTGCTCAGTTGTGCTTACTAGCGCACGAGTTTGGAAGATATGGTATCACGGTCAACGCTTATGCCCCAGGTATGCGTTGATTGTCTGCTTATGTGGAGAATTCTCAATAAGCGGTGATGCAGGGATAATTGACACCGATATGGGTACGAGAAGTGGTCTTCTTTCCCTTGTGTTGGTTCTGAGGATTGGCCACAAGTCGCCGGCATCGGTAGTGCTCTCGACCCCAATAATCCGAATGGATTCGCTGACGAAGTACGTTTTCATAAGGATCAATGAATTAGAAGATAACTGGTGTTTGACAGTACGAACGGAAGAGCGCAGTGAAAAGGAACGGAACACCAGAAGACATCGCTAGCATAGTTTCGTATGTTGCCTCTAAAGAGACCGGCTATATCACAGGTATGAACAGTTCTTTACCCAGTCTAGACAAGTGGTTTCTGACTTTTATTCTTGGAAAGGTCAATCGGTACGTCACGGGGTAGATAACACTCTGGATGCCCATTTGACTGGTTCATTAGATGTCCGTGAATGGAGGTCTTTTCTGTGACTAGGAAAATGTGAATTCTTGACAGTCATAACGATTCGCTAGTTTTCCGTGACTACCGCTACATCACCGATATCACAATACAAAGGCTAGTTACCTTTGAGAGTGCTGTAAAGTTTACATTTGTCTCGCAATGATTTATATCCCGAAAACCTTTTTGGCTTGATATACCGTGTGAACTTTATAGCGGCATCCGGTCCGACTTCCCCCCTTGACATTTGTCAACGACGACGATGACGAGCATTCTGTCCTTGTTGACGCTGCCGACATCTACGTCTGGCTTCACCGACATCAATAACAATATTTTGGATGATGGGTCGGCTTCTCCTCTTCGCAAGATCCCTCGCTTGGACTCAGACTCTGACATATCCTCTGCCGCCAGGTCCAAATCCGCAGGAAGGAATGGCGGCATAGTGAACATCAGTATCATTGGTGACTACGGTAAAGTTCTCGTTCTCTGTTTTATTCAGTAATCTGAGAAGAATGCAGTAAAGAAAGCAAACTTGGAACAATATCACCAGTCCATCGCGAAACGAACGCCAAGGTTTCTGTTCACTCGCGACTCGCTTACTTCCGTGCCCTCAACCTACGAGCAGATATACAACAGCTGCCGTTATGTCGTCTCAGTTGCCAAGGACGGTGCTAACTTGTACACCACTCTCAAGATGGAGATACGGCAATGTGTGGATAAACTGGCACGGGAGTTAACCTCGGCCAAGGAAGAAGGGGTTGAGTGGTTACCGAAATTTGTGGAGATATGCGAGTGGTATGAGACTCAGGTGGTGCGTACGATAAGCCATCATATCTGCAACGTGAATGTTGATGATTCTACAGGCAACATTGCAGTCCTTGTTTTCATATCTCGACCAGGCATATGTCGCTAAACAGAAAGGACTGCAAGACATTGGGTATGTATCGCTCGCTATGTATGCATTTTCTGCGCCTCACTAGCTCTCAGTTCTCATGCATATTCCTCTTTCAACTCTCACATCTTCGGCAACATCGAAATCGCGGAGCGGCTTAGATCTGGAATCGCGTCATGGGCCCAACACGAGCGAAAGACTAAGTGCGTTTTCACCACGGTCAAAATCGTTGACTCACAGGTTACATAGCTCTCAACATACATTGCGAGCATGCATTCCGAAACTCATGAATCACATTACAACGTTCGGACAGTATTCGGTTATAGAACAGTTCTACATCGATATGACACGCGAACAATACAGCCAGGAAGTCCAGGATCTCATCGGGACATTTGGAGGACATTCGGACATCGAGAAATTCTACATCAACATAACTGGCGGACAATACAGCAAACAGGTCCAGGATCTCATTGACAGAGGCATCAAATCGACAGACTATTTTGAGCATGTTCGCAAGAGAATACAGGAGGAGATCGCCCCGCTCTATGGACGTCCTACCCTCCCCAAAGCTGGAACGCGGTTCGTATCGCCACTGAACAAGGCTCTGTTGGATGGCAATGTGGACTGGCTTGCACTAGGAAGTAAGAGGCAAAATGCGCCAATTTTCTCGCCCCAACTGATGTATTCTCCTAGCGCTGGGACCCTATATGGAAGCCAGAGACTTTAAGTCGTTGGAAGACCTCTACAAATTATATGTGAGAGTAGGCGGAGAGAAAGTCCCTTTGCGCCGTCTTTCGCGGATATATGCAAACTTCTATAACCGATATCGTGACGACAAGGCTCGGGATGATGAGATGGTCCAGCGTCTCCTAGAGCTTCGCGAGCTCGCCAACACAGCCATATCTACGTCCTTCTGTGACGATGATTATGCTGAAGCTGCGTCGACGAGTGCGCCGCCCCCGACCAAGGCTAACCAGGAGTTCGTGTATGCGCTCAGTGATGCATTCACGCATGGATTCAAAGCGCGAAGAAACAAGCCTGCAGAGATGATCGCCACGTATCTTGACAAGTTGATGAGGCGCGGACAAGGTGCAACCAGCGAAGAATCTCACACGGAGACATTGGATGCGGCTCTGGCGCTCTATAGGTTTACAGACGATAAAGACGTCTTCAGGACGTTCTACCATCGACAGCTGGCTAAAAGGTTGTTGTTGGGTCGCAGTGCATCGGACGATGTGGAGAAGCGGATGCTGAAGAAGCTGCAGGACCGTGAGTGATGTGTCTTCGTGATTTAATCTGCTTGACCCGTTGTACATAGATTACGACCCTGAATTTGGTCAAGCGGAGAAGATGTTCAAGGATCTTGCCCTTTCTAGGGACTTGGTTGAAGAGTTCCACAGGAAGCACGGCCAGAATGAACTCTACGTCAATGTTCTCGAACGAGGAGGGTGGCCGTTTTCGTTGCAACGCGCGAAGATCGACCTGCCAGCAGAAGTAAGCATTTCTTCGACATCAGGACGTACATTGAACTTCTTTTCAATAGATGCAGGAGCAGCTGAACATGTTTACCAAGTTCTATGACCAGAAGCACCAGGGTCGTAAATTGGTCTGGGACCATGCTCTCGGCACCGTGATATTGAAGACTCGCTTCGATTCCGGTTCGAAGGACCTCTCCCTGAGCTTGTATCAAACCATTATTATGTTACTCTTCGCGGACGTTGATGAGGTCTCGTTTACTGATATCAAGGCGCAGACGCGTATGGGTATGCATCACTGTCCTAACTTGTGTCTATTGACTAAATCGCGTAAATCAGATGACGCGGAGCTACGGCTTACCCTGCAGAGCTTGGCGTGCGGGAAGAAGAAAATGCTGTTGAAGATTCCCCCAGGCAAAGACGTCAAAGACGGAGACAAGTTTCGGTTCAATGTCGCCTTTGCGGACCCTCGGCAGAAAATCCATATCAACTCGATCCAGGCTAAGGTTTCGGTGCGTTTCAGTCCCGTTCAAGCGATCATACTTCTTATGCTGTGTGACATAGGAACAAGAGTCGCAGTACACCCAATCTGCTATTGAGAGCGATAGGAAGAGTACCTTGGACGCGGCGATTGTGCGCATCATGAAAGGGCGCAAGGAGATGGCGTATGAGAAGCTCAAGGTCGCTGTGATCGAGGCTGTGAAAGGCCACTTCATGCCTCCCGTTGATCTTATCAAGAAGAGGGTGGATTGGTGTGTGGAGAACGAGTACCTGGAGAGGGACGACAAGAATAAGAGCTCGTTCCGATATGTTGCCTGAGCGTAGTCCGGCTTGGCTAGTATGGTACGTCCTGTCCGATGTAGCATTACGCGAAATCCTCATCAGCGTTTCAGACCATTGGAAATCCCCCTATTTTCTTTCTCAACGTTGTTACTTTTTGTCTCTTGTTAGGATATAACGTCAGTTTGACTCATTGCCGTCAACTCGCTGCGCGTACCGAAGTACCGAATCTACTCAATTCAATCGTCAGCCTAGGTGTTGAACGTTGAACGTCGGGTGAATACAACCTTTACAGGTCAGATCCCTTCAAAGGAACATTCCTTTGGTTCCGCTTTGAACTTGATTGTCGTGATCGATCTCTACGGCGATCATACGACATCCGAACATGCTCGAGGTCAAAGTCTTTCGTAAGTTCGAAGACAACTCGTGCCTTTTGTGGCGTAATACTCCGGAGATCGTACAAACAAAACTGAAATCTTACTGGATATCGACATTACGATACATCAGGTCGAGGGTTGATGATGTTCCGAATTCAGCCCGATGCGTACATGACCTTCGAGCATTATACCAATCATTCTATTATTGTTAAGTGGTGCAAGCAAATGTTCTTCCTGACCTAGACGAGGACTGGTTCAAAATAGTCCGTAGAGACGCAATCTAATAAGCGACGTCCCCGACGTCTATTTTTCCATGGCCGGCGAAAAATCTTTGACAGAAAACGTGCCGATACTCGTGTTCTTTTTATTACTTGGACTGACTGCAATGTATCAACCTGATACACAGAAGCCTCGACATACACGCGGAACTCGGAGGAAGAGGGGAAGAGCGAAGGACGGAGCCCACAGACTCAATTTGTCAGTGAGTGGATCATCTCGAAAGCAATAACAATAAGTACTACGATGAGGTACAGAATCTGAATCCAGACCAAAGCAACGAAAGAAAAGGATATAATCTATGTGAAAAAACCCCCTTCAAAACCGCCTCCTTAGAAGATATGATAATAATACAAGCCCGAAATTGATACAAACTATGACGACAACTGCGAGATAATAACCAAGGAACGCCCGTCAACGTCACAACCGAGAGGGCACATTGTGCTCAGGAACATAGGCTCCCTAGAGTGGCGGCAATCGCTCGACTTAGAGCATGATGGCGCGGATCTGTTCGAGCGGCGGTTAACAGGTAGTCATCTAGACACACGACATCGACGTACATTACTTGACACGATAGAACTATTGATCGCGCAGCGAACATTCGAGTTATTGATATTTTAGATATAGAGCAGAGAGGGACAATTCCGGTATTGGATATTGCATAGTGATGTGAATAGATAAAGGGGAAGCAAAACAAATAAAGGTTAGATCAGTGCCGCCGTCTCAAGATTGGTTCGCAGGACAATGCTAGAGGGGAAAAGGGGGGAAAGGGAGCGCAAAGAAAAGATTGAGCGCACGTTCGGGAATCGGGGAGAAAGGGAAGCACGGGATACGGGACCGAAAGGGGATGGATGAAAACAAAAGGAAAGGGACTCACTCTAAATGAAATGGGTGAGCACTAATCGGTTGCAACTGATTGAGGGAAACGTACCTTCTACGGCAGCCATAACGACACGAAGCATTGCAGTATCCGTGGCAGTCGTCATACTGCGAACACGTTAATACCGATGAGAGACAGCCTGAACGACGTACTGTATGTATATCTCGCGCTCTTTTAGTCGGCCAGCTCTTGTGGCGAGTTTTGTAAACCGACGCTTGAAGTAGTCGCGGCCTGCACGGACATCGCCCGTTTCACCATCATAATCCTGCGATGGTGAAATCATAAGATACCGACATCATGAATCACAGATGTACATCGACATACCGGGAAGAAATTTTTTATATCAGAATGTGGTATCTTCCTCTCGAACAAGTCGTTCTTGTTCAAGAATAGAATCTACGCATTGTCAACACTACGCTCGGGCCGTAGGAGAGAGACGCCACTCACGATCGACGTCTGCTTGAACCACTGCGAGTGACATATTGAGTCCCATATGGTCATCGCGTCTTGCATTTGATTCTATCATCCCCAAAAGATCAACACAATAGAACAATGATAGGAAGCTGATGTACCGCATCCTTGTCTTCCACCAGACATTGGTCGTATCCGCTCAGGCTGACCAAAAACAGTATACTCGTCACGTCCTGGAAGCAATGAATCCATTTTCGTCGCTCCGATTTCTGGCCTCCAACATCGACCATAAGCATCTCGTGTTCTCGGAGCGTAAATGTCGTCTCCGTAATGCCAATGGTCCGGGCTCGGCATTGAATGATGTCCTGTTCCGTAGGTTGATATTGCGGGTCAAATAACCGATCCAATGATCCAAAGAAGTAAAGAAGACTTGAAATGGGGGCCTTGAGCGAACAGTAAGAGATAGTGGGCAATAAGACATACTTTTCTGGTAAAGCTGCCTCGTTGCCTCTCTGCCACGCCTTCTGTACTTCGGGATCATTCCATAGTGATTTCAGGGGTTCATAATATTCCATCGGGAAGGGTTCCCCATCCCTGAGATCACGGGCGTTCTCGATAACCTCGAGGTACTTCTGGTTGTCTTCTGACACCTTCAAGTCCATGTCTTCCATAGCGTCTAGAACGTACTTGAGCCCACGAGTGAGATTATCGAATGTGAGCTGTCGATACGACTCGATTTCCTGAGGCGAGAACAGTACTCGGTGGATAAACCGCATTTGCTGTTTGAAGCACCGTCATGACAATGCCCGCCGCAGACACATACAGCGGACCTCACCTTGAGCACTGTCGACTTGCCAGAATCACCAGATCCAAGGAGCAGCACCTACATAGTCATGAAGACGGATATTTAGGAGAATAAGAATAGGGTGCACCTTGACCTGCGATGCCATCTTGGCCTTCGCCTGCCCGTCTGTCAGCATTGTCCATTAGCCCCGAACAAAGCGTTACTTACCTCCTTCAGCTCCTTCTCTGCTTGCCTATGCAATGCCTTATCCGCCTCCGTCACCTCCACTCCTCCAGAAGATATACAAGCACCCATTGGTATTGCTGATGAGATATATGAGAAACGGCAAGAGGAGAGTAGCCTTGTGAATCCAGCCCTTCTGAGCCCTTCTTTCTCAACTCGGTACCAAATCCACAAAAATAGAGCGGCAAGCGATCCGAGCTCGGCTAATCAGAAGGTGATGCAGAGGAACGCTGGTCGTTGTCGTCGTTGTCGTCGTCCTCAACGCACACGGCACCAAAAGGCACCAATGGACGAGGTGGTGGTTAGGGGAAAGGAAGTCGCGTTTCGGAGTTCGAAAATAAGTAATCTCGAGGTGATGGCGGGGCGGCTTTATGTAATCGGCATTTTCACATATCCAGGGAGGTACTTTTCAGGCCAACAACGGTTCAACGTTCAACTCTCTCTTACGACCTCCGTAATTTATCGCCAGAATGTAGACTGACATATATGGTACAATTCAAAATTCAGGGTAGGTAATTATTAAGTGGGTCAATAGAAAATCTGGCAGTAGTATGCCGGCGGATACGTTTATTACAACTTTATTATCCCACGAACCACAAGCTTGCTAGGGTCATGGTAACGGATGAATGGTCCTAGCAGGAAAATTGACCAAAACACCTTTCTCCCGAAGACGAGTCCGAGACAGACAGACATAGTGCATTCTGTCAGTTAATACGGCCCTCAAGGGTAGGCAAAAACGTAGTTGTATCGAGCAATGCCCAGTCAGGAGAACTCCAAGGTCAAATGGCAGTTGAGATAGTAACGAAGAGATCTTGTCTGGACCTGTCTCTCTATCTCCTCATGTTGGTCCGTGGTTGAAATCCCCCCGCGCTGCAAAACGGGTCGGCTCGAACCACCGAGAACGCCAGTGCCAGCGCAACCTCATACAGTTGTATATATCACCGATGGTAAACCCGCGAAGTCTACTACATCAAGATGATAATCTCTGGATGGTTCCTAGCCACAGAAGCTTCATTCTCGTTATCAAAGGGGCAGCCCAATCGCAGAGGTGATCGCACCAGATCACCTAGGGAACCGCAAAACAGGAGCGCAGCACGGAAATGAAGATCGCCTCCTTATCTGACTAGCTTTCGCAGTCAATACAAACCAAGCAGACCCACGACGAGCGGCGAAAGTGGAGAATGATCCCGGCCACACCTGCGCCGCGTTTGCTATTGAACGTTGCACAAAAAATACCGAAACGCGACACGGTGGTCGGAACGATGATGATTATACTTTGTAGGTCCACACCAGGCCATTCGATCTCCTGGCACATGCTACAAGTAGTAACCCTCACATGCACCGTCTAGGAATAATAAAGGCCGTGCCTACTCACGAACATCGGTCTTCAGCAAATCGCGGGACCTAACGGTGATCAATCCGGGTACCAGCACTACACATGTCATCCATTAGTGACGGATTCATATCGGACAAAAGGACACGAACAAGCTGCCATTCGCGAAATACGAACCACCGCACGCAAGCAACTGGCCCTCGAGTCAAACACCAGCCACCCTGTGCACACTCCTTTATTAACTGTAGAACGTTAGCACCAGGGCAAGAGAACCCACATAAATATCTTCGCGCCCTGATCTGAGGGCCCATCAAGGGCGCGGCGGTGGCCACCACTGATTGCTTCCCAAAAGCCAAGGAAAACCTGCGCAGCCCAAGAAAGGAAGCAAAACACCCTCATCGGCTGAATAAAACGAAACATTGCAACCCACAAGGAATGGTTCACCCCAAAACACGCACCGAACTACCATATATCGGGTACGCTTCCTGCATTCCCCGAAGCCTGGAGAGAACCGAGCCTATATGGATACCATGGCAAGACGACGACAACATGGTGGGTGGGTACCACTTCGTCGTTGTCGCTGTTCCACCCATTGCGAGGCACAATGATTAGACGGAGAATTACTTCCTGTATACCATGCATGCATGCATAGTTTCGGGGCCGAAAGGTTTTAGTACTTGCAGTGCCCTGGGCGTGGCCTGAAAAGTTTTCCAAGTTGTCAAGTCGCGAAATGTACCACTGACTTGGGGACCTACCTTTTTATGAAAAGTTCTTGGCGCGTAACAAGATATAGTCTGCTCTTCCCGGGAAAAGCAACATGGCGAAGGCGGACAAGTTCAAAAGACCGTTTGCATATGGTAGTGGCGCCTCTAAAATGTTAACGTGGTCTCCGAGTCCTTGAAGTAGTGCTCGACTCTACGTGAGCATTCCAAGCGCGCTCAGGGAATTGAATGATCGTAGCTTTCCTTGCTGAAGCAGACTTACTTATCATGTACTAACCTAATGCTTCTCCCTTCCTTCGAGTACTAGTACGGCATCATAGTATCAGCGGCGGCCTGTGGCGTCGACGGACAATGTCCACAACCGAGGGAAACCAAGCACATAGGACGGAGCTAAAGCGGGCATGTTCAACACCACGAGAACAAAGAAGACGCACAGAACCTACCTCATTCATATACTTACCCTGTGCCATGCCGTGTTACTCGGATAGTAAGGAGACAAGCAATCACTTCGTCGAAAAAAGATCATCAATCAAGCATACATCAAAGTTGTGTAAATAAGAGTGAGTATATCATGCGTATAATGCCATCGTAAAAAAAAAAACTTGCAAATGGAAGGAGCCCACTATTACAGTCCATGAAGATCAGAAAAGGGCGAGTGGTGACTGGTGAGGAAGTATTAATCTAGTCGGTATAATAATTATGAAGAAAGCTTAGCGTCAGCAGAGCCGACTATATGATACTGCGAAGGTTCCTGGAGCTCCTCCTGAAGCGCCTTCCAACCTTCTGCCGTTAAAACAGGTACTCCAGAGTCGATATCCTTGTCAAAGTACCGAGGTACATACCTAAACGCAAGCTTTGAATAAATGCAAATAAAACAAAGACGAAAAACACGCACTCGATACCCTTCTTCTTCCTCTCAGCAGCCTCTTCTCTCTGCCTCTGCTCTATAGCCACCTTCTCCTTCGTCGCATCCGAATACTCCTTATTCTGTAGCTTACTCGTGACGTTGTTCCACAGTCGTCTACTCTCGTGCGGTAACTGCCTCTCTAGCGGCCTCACTTGTTTCGGAATAACCTCTAGTTCCCCGAGATCGATCAGCGTTGAATACTCTCCCTCCGACACCGTTGCCAAATCTGCCTTGGACGTCGCGTTCGACCGAGGGAGGGACATATGGACTGGGGAGGGAGAAGAACTCGCAGAAGAGGTCGTGGTCGGGTACGAACCGGACCCCACCCGCCGCCAGCGGATATGCCCTCTCCAAGACCCGTCGAACACAGCTACGACGAGCGACTGGGGGACGTCCTTGACCGTCTTCCAGCCGTCCACCTTGTCGCCCTCGTTGACGAGATGTATGATCCCCTCTAACCGGAACCGCGCTTTACCCAGCCATGACTCCTCCTTATATTCGATAATCGCCCGAAACTTGGGCCCGTGTTTGCCCCCCGTACAAGTGATAATCGTCGTATCTGCCACCGTGACATAAAAGCTCCCCCTCAGCAGTCCATTCACACTCGCAACAGGATGCGTGACCTGGTACCGCTCGCCCTCCCCGTGTCCCCCAGTAATCTTCACGAACATCCCCTTGTTATAGCTCCCAGGAACAACTCTGACCGTCATCGCCGCGGAGACCTTGGCGGATATCTGGTCGACGCCCAGGAGTTCAAGGGAGCGGTCGGGACAGGATGCATAATACGCGGACACAGGCGGGTGGTGTGAGACTTGTTCTGTAACGTAGGCTATTCGGAGTTTGTCTTGGCCGCCAAGGCTGAGACTAGACATGTGGGCGTTCAGTGATGTTGATGGGCTCTTGCTCGTGCTGCTCTTGGAGCTTCTGCCGCTCTTGATGCTAGAGGTCTCGAGTAAGCTTGTCGTTGGGGGTTCTGTCAGGACGATGGGCGGCCGGTCCGGGTGTCCTGAGCTCACTACCGGGAAGACGTCCCAGTGGGCCCGGAAGTGTTCTCCTAGTACAGAGTTGTACGGCTTGAATACCCTACCAGACTAATATGACAGACCGTCAGGAAATAGGTCAACGCCAGAAGAGCCTTTTGAAAACGCACGACGTATTTGAGATCCTTCGTAAATGTGAAACGCAAGACGGCCAGCATTCGTTCAAAGGGATCGTTAGAGTCGTTAATACTACTCTTCGTCAGCGTCTGTGGTGTCAAAGAATCCATGAAACTCACGCAGCGAAGAAATCTGGTCTGTCGAGGTACTGCGACCACTCGAGGTTGGGAATAGGCTCTAGGAGTGATGCGGGTAATGAAAGGCGCCTATCAGACCAGTATTAGTTTCCTACAGGTGTCCACAAAGGCTGTAGGAAACGCACATGGTAGCAATATCCTTCACTCCAAAGCACTTCTTGACGAGCTGAACAATCATCTTGAGCTTGCCCCCTTCACCAGCGTCGCCTGTATCCGGCACTGAGACAGCGGGTTCCTCTTCTTCATCGGGTAGGGGTGTAGCTGGATCCTTCTTGGATATCGAGGACATGATGGCGAACGAGGAGGAAAGAAGAAAGGAAGAAGGAAGGAAGGAGAGGGCACGAACGTGGTAAAGGGGAGAGATCAAATTAGGAAATCGACTTTCCTTTCTTCCCTTTGTACGGTGTCCACCCTATTTTTCTGTCTTGCGGCGTCTTGATATGATTCTCCAGCAAGTACAGCCTTCGTCGTATTGCTCTAAGAAAGCACTGCTGAGGCCTAGTATGAAGAGGCATGAAGTCATACTAACCCCTCCGGTGGCAGTGAGCTGCGGAAGCGCCTCGCAATTACTTGGCGGAGAATCCTTCGCTTTTCAGCATGGCAAACATTCCAATATACGTATATTCATGATGGGTACTACGCAACGTTAACATACCTTTACGAACAAGTTCGGAACAACGAAGCCTTGTGTCTTAGAAACGTACTATAAAGAGAGACACTCTTCCGATACACGCCTCGGGATTTTCGATGTTAGATTGAGTGCTCTATCTATTATAACAAAAATTTTGTATTACAAGGTTGAAGGAGATCCCAAGGTATTATTTACATAACTTTATCACTCAGGTTTGAGCAACGTTCGGGCGCCAGCCTATGACATCATCTTTCTCTTCTACTGGAAGTTCCAATCTCCATCCCATGACTGAGTACTAAGTACTAACTCTCATCACTGATTGGTATTGTGATTCCCCTTTACTCTTGTGCGACCGAGTGTACCCCTTCTTGTGTGGGTGTAATCATTCTGCTGCTGTCTTCATAGTAATGACACAGCAGGAGCAGAACTTCTGCCCTGCCTTTAAGGAAAGAACTTGTTATCACTTCTTTATACTTCTGCGACTTCTGATGCAAACAAAAGGCCCTCCTCCTTCCTAAGGCTATACCACGGATAAAAATATAGGCTCCCGCATAGCTTCAGGTCAGATCGCAGTACCTGGGACCTGCAGGGATTCATACACCGCTTCTCTAATGCCGACCGAACGCACGGTCCTCCACAGTCTCGTCAATAACTATGTGTATACAACGAAAGCATTACGAATAGATATTAAATACCATAAATTCACTCCAGAACAAAAGAAAGAAAAAGAGTCTACGACGTCTGGATTTTTTCGAGTATCACCAACGAAGCTACAATCCAGCTCTGGATCCTAATCCCGCGCTCGGCGATATAGATCGGGTAGGCTTCCTCCTGAACAACAGAGTGAACATGAGCGGCATGCCACAAGGACGAAGTATATGCATAAACTCACATTCATATTCCCATCCCTCCTCGAAAGCCTCGAAGTCGTAGCCACCGGATGCTTCGAGTCCTTCACATACAGCGTCTTATACGTCGTCTCCGGAAACGCAGGGTCGTTCCCAACAGATATAACCTTCCACTTGTACTCCAACCCGTCTGGACCTACAAATATCCGGCTGGTGGACCTACAACACCGAGCCATTCAGCACGGCACTTCTCCTGGGATAGCGGGCCTCCACGTACATGCGATTACTCTTCTTCAAAAGATCCTTCACGGCCCCACTTTTATTACCTATTGTCATCATACTGGCGGAATGAGTACGCCGGATAGAGGGATGGATAGACGAAACTCACCTGTTCTTATCAAGCGACCTCCCAGACCCAGACCACATAACTCTCGCAATCTCAGAACCTCCCTCACCGTACCCACCCGTAAGGACCGTCAACAAATTCCCCTCCTCCGTCGTCGAATACGCGACGGACCTATCACTCGAGCTCTCGTCCTTATTTATAAACTGGATCTGTTTTTTTTTACAACATCAGCCACGGCGCATTTTCCCCTTCGGTGACTCGTTGCTCACCGTGCGCCCGGTGCCTCCATTACCAATCAGTAGTGTCTGTTTCCTCCAAAGCCGCTTCACGTAGTGATCTGGGATGATCGTAGACGAAGTCGAGGAAAGGTCGTACTCGGACCCGTCTCCGTACTCTCGAGAGCGGATGAGCATCGTGTTGTCTGGCGTGAAAGGCATATGATGAGGGGAACAAGGAGAAGTAAATGGGATCGCGAGCGATAGGAGATCTGGGTGCAATTGCAAAATGGATTACAGTCCGGACCGGCAAGCCTAGGCCGAGAGGTCGCGTGAAGCTGCTGCTTAGTTTTTCCAGAGGGTGAGGAGTTCCTTGGAGATTTCCAAGGGGATTTCCCGGTGGAAGATTTACAATACCTCCACTTTTCTCCAACCTGGGAGGTGATACTGGCTCCGATCAGGAATATAGACTGGTCTATATTGGAGGATAATGTTCGCGTAACTTCAACAGCATGAAAGCTTGGTTGACGCAAAAAGTCTCGACCATTACAGTAAATGAAAAACCGCTGGAACTTTATGCCAAGGACGGGCGCGTAGGTCGCCTTGCCCGTCGTCGCCCGATGCCTGCCTCTTGGACGATGAAATAGCGGAAAGAAGCTTCGTCGCTCGCAGCCGGCCGGTTGCCATGCGAGTCGAGATTCTGGTCCAGGGTTGGTCAAGGTTTGTCCGTAAGAAATAATAAAGTCCATCGCATCAACGATCGTTGGCTTGCGAGAGTAACCTGCAGGTAAACAGATACGCGTGCCATTAAAAGATATTTACATACTGTCTACCTGGGAGTAACTCTCCACACCTTACAAACTCCGTCATCACCCGCAGTAGCTAGCATATCCTCGAAACCAGCTCTGGGGCACCAGACGACGGAATTCACATCGTAAACGTCGTGTGCACATTCCAGCTTTGCAATCATCCTATGTTGCAGGAGCCCATCGTCCGACTTTTCCTGTAAGACAAATTATTTGAGCCTCGAACTCGTCCAGCCTGGGAATTTGACTCACAATAAGCTCCCAAACGCGTATGATCCCGTCGCCACCGGCACTAGCAAGCCATCCCGCTCCCGCTCCCTTTCCTTTTCCCCACGACACGGAATATACCGGCCTTTCATGACCTTCCAGGACCAACACCTGTTTGAACTCAAACTGTCCCGTTCGCTTCCACACCCTCACCGTCTTGTCGTCCGACCCCGAGGCGAGGTATTGGCCATTCGGAGACCATGCCAATGCCCATACTGTGGACTTGTGGCCAGTCAGGGTTGCGCAGCAGAACCAGTCATCTTCTGGGTCGTCCACGTAGAGCTTGATCGTGTCATCGTACGATCCAGAGGCGAGAATCTGCACGAGTGAGTGGTCAACCGACATGGGTTGGGTTAGGGATTTGAACGACCTCTTCGGTGGGGTGCCATGCTACGCATTTGACGTCTTGGGAATGCTCCATGATGACACCTAGACATTCAAAGTCGGCATCGGGTTGGACTAGAAGGTAAATGTGAGCACAGGCGATGGCTGGATAAGCACCAAAGGAAGGCTAGAATGTGCCGCAATTCCTAAATGTATCACGGGGATCTTCAAGAATCTTGGTAGGGCCATAGTAGAAGCATTTATGGCGAATGGAAGGAAGAAAGAATTGCCCTGCGACGCACCTTCCCAGACCCAAACAGATTTATCCCGACTACAGCTCGCCAACAGCGTCCCTGTAGAGGAATACCCAACACTTTTACATTCTGTCTCGTGCCCCTCCAAAAGACTCACGCATTCCCACTCTTCTCCTTCTTCCCGTTCCCATATCCCGACATTCGAGTCAAACGAGGCTGTCGCGAGTGTCTTGCCAGATGGGGCCCAAGCAATGGCTCGTACGGTCTTAGTGTGCCCCGTAGGTATTGATGTGAGGAACGTGATATTGTCAGCAGATGGTGTGTACCCATACAACCGAACGGTTTTATCACTCGAACATGATGCTAGGATGGGTTTGGTAGGGTTCCAAGCAACATGCCAGGCGTGATCTTCGTGACCTGTAGCCATCAAATTAGCAATAAATCCAAGATTCGCATGACGGTGGAAGACCTGGAAGTTGGGCTATCAAGGAAATATTGTAGGGGAAATCTTCATCCATCGTGGAAGTTGCAGCGAAAGAATTTGTTTCGGCTTTTCGGACCGCACGAGATCACATGATGATACTTCGGTTGTCGGCCCGTACTGCCGTCTGCAGTTTAAACTTGCTCTATTGCGACGACCACCTCCCTCTAGAGTCTTGACGACCCTACGTAGCAGGAAAATATAAAGTAAACTATTTTACCTTATAAATATTTAGTCCTGTCGCTGAAGGATGGCCTACAGGACTTGGCGCGCTCACTGCTTACTTGACTCTGCAAATCCTTGTCAATGATCCATGCCCGGTCGTCTCTTCCCGGTCCTCGCCTGTACTCCGAGTTGAAGACCTCTCAAGCTCGCAAGAACAACTAACAGAGTCAACTTCTGAAGTACTCGATATCTTGGATTTGCTGCTTTCAACTGTTCGCATGCTCGGAGGACGTCGAAGGATGATACCCTATTGATCCCCACTGATTCTCTCGCTGGCGTCTGCCTGTTACGATAAGTCATATACATATACAATGTATGTGTGAACGAAGCGATGTAATTTATTTGCTAACGTAATTGCAGGTAGGCAAGAGCTTTCGTTCGTCCACCGTTATTGCACGTGCGAAGTTTTATGAAGAATGAACGTGCTTTATTGCTGATATCTCATGTAGTTGAAGACATACAACGGCAGAGGTCAATAAAGCTTCGGAGTAGCCATCTCTCATCACGGCAGAACGCTCGAACGAAGAGGTGGAGGAAGAATATGACTCGGAAACACCGTACGGCGACGAATTATCCTCGGATAGTGACACTAGCTATGACCGACGAGGAAGACATGTTCAGCCTAATGAGCAGTGTTCTTGATCAACGGTCCACTTGGGGAATCCCTGAGCCTTTTATTGGAATTATCCCGCCAAAAACGGGGTTCGTTGGCCGAGTAGTGCTGAGTTGGCTTGATGAAGAGCGCGCGGACCCTGACATTCTAGCGTGTCGGCTTCTTCTGACATATTTGACAGTCAATAACTGAATTTGAGTAGCAGGTGGTTCGATTTGCGTGTGGAGATGAGACGCGTACACTCCTCGTCAGGAGTGTACGATCTTACGGACCCAGTTAGTGTCTCAAATTTGGGCAATCATCATTAGCTTTCGCGCACATGTCCAGGGAATCATGGCCCAATGCAAAACCCCGACGTTCAAACAACCTTCTTAGAGATCGGACAACATCGACGTTGACACTTGTGAGTCTGAGGAAGAAACACGAGTGAATAACTGCTCAATCATTTGTTTAATTGACAAGTGTCTGTATCTATGACGCGTTTGGATCATCGCGCGCAAATCCTGCCCATGTCCGACGAGTATAAAAGGGTGTCTCCTTTATTCCATCCCTTCGCCCCATCTCTTCCTTTTCCCAACATCTCTATATCATCCGACGGATCTATCCACATTCGCCTCCAGCCACTTGGACTCATCAGCCTGCGGGAACGTCAATCACGTCGAGGAATACAAACTCTGCTGGGCGGATCGTAGCCTCCCCAGGTGGCTCTTGCTCCCCCTCGATCATCATCCCCCTCTCGATTATAGACTACCTCAAAAGCAGCTCTTCCGGTCATCGTTCTTGTACGAACAAGCGATGTGACTGATCTCCGTCATGTCTGGATGCAATGGGCAATGGTATCGGGGTCCTGCTCCAAAATTAAAAACACCTGGAGAAGGTCAAGATATCAAGATATCAACACGCACCGAGGACTCTCTGCGATCTCTAATATCTGATTGCCGATTATGAATTGCATCCCGTCATGGCCCGGCTCGTCTATGCGACGAACAGAGATGAAGACTGTGTCTTCGAGAGCTCGAGCATGGAATACATCTTCTTCGGGTCTTTTGAAGACGCTGGAATAGGAAGGACCACGCTCTCTCCGGAGAGATTCTGGGATTCTTTTGATGTACCGCGACATCCCACCTCTGGAATCTGACTCGACGAAGCGTGTCAAGTATGGAGATTGGGGTACCTCGTATCTTACTGTGGGAGCTGCGAGTGCGGGAGAAGCAAAGATCAAGGCCAAGGCCAGGGAGCAAACGTAGGGTGGGGCTTTCATGATGCAGGTTTGACTGAGAAGGACAAGAGGTAAGTAGATGATATATAAGCAATCGACGGACCAGCCGTCAATTACTACGCCGGTAAATGACGTTAAGCTGCATGTACAAAGACAAAGATGTAACACGGACCAAGGCCAGCACACTGATACGGAACAGCTGGGTGGCAGATGGATGACCGCAGCTGATTTAATAGCTCGGTTATTTGGCTGACGCGTCGCCAAGACACTGAAGGTGATGTTATGTAGAGATCGGCGAACGAGATGGAGTTCCTACGTAAAGGAATAGCGTCGGTGTGAAAGGAGGGGCACTACTGAAGAAAGTTAGTACTTTATATGTATCCAAAACATAGGTTGTTATGCAAGGAGATGAAGGCATCTTGCATCAGACCGCCAAGACTTATTACCAAGCCACGGGAGTGGTGCTATTAACATACCTTTGAATATATTTAAGATATCAATCAAATGGGCCTGCGGGAGAGGACGTCGACTCCAGGCAGGCAAGTCAGTCACAACCACGTGAGCGCGAGAAGAGCGATTTCAACTCTGACCGTCAACATCGCTCGTAATTTCAAGAGAGGATCCTTGACATAATGTCAACGAGGACATCTGTTCTGCTATGGAACCCGCAGCGGCCTCGTCGTTGCCATCGCACCCCGTATCTGCAGCGCCTTTCCCATTGTCCGCTTCGTCAACGGTACGTATCCCTCCATGGGGTTTCCCTTGTTATTCATCGTTCACCCCAGGCGACGATGGCCCCATTCTCGTTGACCTCCTTCAGATGCACAAAAAAACACAATCTCTAAGATCGTATCGAGCTCCTAGGCTCTCGCACGAATAGCGTTCAAGTGGGCCGGAAACCGTCGAATACATACATGTACGAATAAGGTTAGTCGTCACTGAGCCATATTGTAAAACTTGCAATTGGGAGATGTAGAGACCGCGGAAACATGTCGAAACTTTACTTAGCAAGTCGACAAACACCAAAGCCGCTGCACAGTTGATTTGTTCAAGGTTTTTATAAATTGTATTGATGATAAGAGCAGGTTCAAGTCCGTTATATCAAGTGTCCATATGAAAAATATAGAATATAAACGTCCAAAAGGCGATTATAGATATGGGAGGTATCATGGGAGACGCATGGTATATATAGCAGCATGAGAGCATGTATGGGTGTTCGGTAGATCAATTTGAAGACCTCGTGCGACACCACCGAGCCATTTGGTTTCGTCACTCCTGGGAGATATATATCTTCCGGAGCTGGTCTTCGGTGGCTCGTTCGTCGCAGACGGGACACGCCTCTGTATATTTCAGCGCGGCGCGAATGCACCGTACGCAATACACATGTCCACACGGAGTCGCGCAGAGGGTCGTGTGCTTCTTTTGGCACATCGGACACGAGAAGTGAGACGTCTCTTCGACGTCTTCTTCATCGCTCTCCTCTGCGTCGTCGGTTGCCGCGTTATTCTGAAAGGCCCAACATCAGGACGGTACTAGAGGCGGAGAAAAGGAAAACACTACTCACAAACAATGGCGGCAACCTTAGATACTCCGGGTCTTCAAAGTCGTACTCATTGCTGTCTTCCCATGATGTATCAAGGGGCTCGTCTCCTGATTCGGAGACTTCATCAGGATATTCCTCTTTGCCCCTTTCATCCTCCCAGCCGTCTTCGAGGTCATAATAGTCCTCTTCTTCTGAATCATCGTCGTCACTGTCGTCATCGTCGGAGCCATGGACCTGCTCCATGTGGACGCGAAACCCTGCCGCTGTACGACAGTGCTTATCGCAGGGCACACAATAGTGATGATTTGGCGCAGTGACACAGTGCTATGAAAGGAACACGTTAGTTTGGTCGACAAGCGCGGAGATGTAACAACTTACACGACGAAGAATTTGGCCATTCAAAAATCGACGGCCACATCTCCAACATTCCGGATGGTCGTTGGAGTTCATAATGTGCTCGGCTCGTTGCCGTTTATCGAAGAAGTACTCATCGCACAGGGCGCAGTACACTCCGTCCATGCATATCATATCGGTAGACATGATGATAGATGATAATAGTTGTTTGGTTCGATGGTAGTTGTTGTTGGTTGTTCAAAGTGTGTTAATGTGGGGATCCAGGCAGAGAGGCCTCCACTTTATACATTTTGTCGGTATGCGCGTGTTTTGGTACGTCTTAGACATGGAATCCGGAGAAACCAGTCCCGGTTCTTCGAATATGGCCCCTCGAGTTGAAAGGAGGCAATTTTGGTTCCATGGAAGTATCGTCTGCGATCGGTTAAAAGGGGCCATTGCTGGACACAGTTTCGCGGGGCAGTGAACCCTTGTCCGATAGCGGCTATGGGTAACCAGTGCGGTGTGATCATGCTCGAGGAACGATGACGAGGTGCCGAATGAGATTCTCCGTAGCGACTCGATTGCTTCCGTGCCTCTATACTAACGCAGGTCTCACTGATACGTCGAAGAGGAAATCGATCCGGCGAAACAATGTTCCAAGACCACCGATTTCTCCGCGGACGAGGAACTCTGTCAACAGATAGGTGAGCGTGCAGCGAGAAAATGAAGTGCACGGTACGAACTTGTTGAGGATCTGATGTCAGCCTGATCAGCCTAAAAGGAAAGCGAGCGGGCGCTTGAGGCAGTATCTGAAGCCACAAAGATAGCAGCAGCAGTTGTTCTATGTAATGCATAAGCAATCCATTTTTGGGAACAAAACGAGGCAGGAAGGGCTACCTAGCAGGGTGACTCAGTATTGCTCTTGCGTCCACTGAGCGTGACGACTCCGCGGGGATAGCATCCATACGTAGCTTCAGGGCCTCGTGCAAGGATATCGTGATATCCGGTCCAATGGCAGCAACTCTGACTAAATCCAGGTCAAACCGTTCCTTCAGAAATGGTAGAACAAATCCTGCAGCTGACGGTGCGAAAAACGTGACAATCTACATGGCTCACTGGCATTCAGTGTCTCGACGACGATGCCTTTCAAATACTGCCATGTCTGCTGTCCTGGAAGACTCTTCACGGATGTGGTTGTTGGGCATTCGAGGCAGTAGCCTTCTCGACAACATAGAAAGGAAATGCTGTCGTTGAGGGTTAGATCAAGATATTAGGTAGGCGTATACGACGTACCGTCGTTCCCTGCACCGTTTGCCTTCTCCCAAGCTTTGAATGAGCGTGCACTAGTCATCATAATTCCATCGAAATCGCCCAACGCGGTTCTTGGCAAGAGTTCAGTGATATTGAGCACCGTCTCGAGCACTGGAATCAAGATACATGTTCGTTGCAGCAAAGGCGACTTCATACTGGTCCTGGCCACTGTCAAACGACGATACCGGGTCGTGAGGAAGGAGAATGTTGGCCCTGGACATCATGATGGTCGGGAGCAAAGCGCGGGACAGGGTAATGTGACCTTGATCATCGACCGTGTCGACCGTCACGATGTCTACGATTCGCTCTCACTGTCGTCCAGGACGATTCCGACCTCGAAGACGAAGACTACATTCCACCGTCCGGCGATGCTGGTGCGTATTTGATATGTGGTGACGAGATTCTGCTCACCCTGCTGCAGTAGCGTCCAAGTTCTCGAACGCCTGCAGCAGCCATGAAGAACAGGGTGCTAGATGTCGACTAATATCTTCGGCAGTTTTAGACGAGATACCGTGAAGATTTCTGTTTGTCCTTTGACTGGAATCCGTGGCGTCAACTACGACAAAACATCAGGAACTAAGAAGGTGGAAGTTGAGATAGAGAAAGAATGTCTTATCATTGGCAAGAATGTCATTGCACGTCCACTACCGTGTTTCTGTAGCGCTTCGCTCTTACTGCATTCCATAGAGAAACTGCTGAACACGATCATCATTATAACTAGAGCTGTCATTACCTCCACGAGTCATTAGAATGTCCCTTTCATGCGGAATTCTTGATAGAACGGCAAATACACATTGTTATATCGGACAGTGAAAACAGGCTTTCCAGTCCTACAGTTTGCAGTTTAAAGGGCGCTAGAGTCGGCTTCTTGTTTCAGTAAACAACGAATACCATTTCTCTTTTATCCGACTACTTCCCTCTATCTGACATGAACACAAGAACTAATTTCGTCCAGAAGCTACACATAAATACGACGCTCCTCCGGTTTGTAATATCGGTAGGCAACAATTGCAACATCGAAGCCCCCAGCTTTCATCTCATGCAACCGTCTGAGATCATCATCAGCCCAATCACAGAACGTGTCCACATTATAATCTGAAAATGTCGAGGTGACATGGAACTTCCTCAATGAGGACTGTCGCCGCGCCTCAATCATGTCCACCATCGTGCGATTAAAAAAGAAAACCCGGGTCCAGTCATACCAAAGAACCAGATCGAACATGATGCTCTCTAGACGTGGGACGAGCTCAGGCGACTCTAATAGATGGCAGAAGAGACTCCGCACGCTGTCATCGTCGCTAATATGCCAATCACGCGCCCTGACTCGGACGCTGAAAGAGGCTAGAGCAGGTGATAATCGGAAGATAGGGAAAGTAAACTTTCATTCAGATGGACGTCGGAAATGGACAGATGGGTAAGAGTGTGGCACTGTGAGTGGGAGAGAAGATCATGGAAATCTCCTAAGCAACCTGCAATGTCCTCGAGAGTTCGAAAGAGGTTCGGCGTGCTTCAGTTGCGGAAGGGACAGACTATGGAATAAGGTTTCTTCGCAGCCTGAGAAGTACGTGACAGCTGGTTTCGATATACGCGGCCAGGCGGCACCCGCTCCAACGCAATGATATGATGTATGAAATTCTGTTAATTTTGGGGAATGACGCAGTAGGTTGATGAAATACGTGTGTATCTCATCTGATGCATGCCAATCCCTCCTTTCGTCTTTAAAGGACTCGAGATTGGCATATGAGACGGGAACAAGTGTAGTAGGACCTAGACCAACCAGAGTCATATTCTTCAGTTTCGGCGTATGTTCGAATGCATCAATGAGATCGAGGCTTGGCCCAGGATGGTCATGGTCACGCTGAATGTAGCACTCCTCCAATTGCACGAGTCGCCCACGAAGACAGGCGAGATGAGACGGTTCCTGATGACTGAGGGCATGATAGATCTTTGACCAGCGCCCGGCATGAGCAACCACTTGTTCCCACATGGCACACTGGAACGGTTCCTCCGCACGGTAGGACATGAGGAATTCGATATCCAATACGTGTTGGCCCGACCGAGACAGCACCGTTCGAAGCATTGAGATAGGATCTCTCTTTCCCCTCAATTCGTCATCATTAAAGTCGATGTCTATTTCTGACCACATCGCGGAACACATGGAAGTCGACACGGATCTCCATGACCTGCAGACCTGTGAAATGGCCCAGGAATGGTGCTGTATGTCGAAGATGCTACACGAAGAGTCCAGACTTGAAGCGCGCGAGAAAGTTTCTATGAGAATCTCGATGGGAACTTTGTGCTGCGCGGGCGCTGGCGCCGATGGACTTTCAGGAAGGGCAAGTTGGACGCATGGGTGCTGGGACGACGACTTGGAAGGGTTGTCAAGATTTGATGCAGTAATTGACAACACGCATAGAGGATCGTGCTCAGCACTGCCTTTGAATTCGCACTGACGCTTCTGAATGAGAAAATTAAGCTTAAGGCTGAAGCGAAGGGATATTATCAATATTACTACTCACGTTATTAGCCATAGGGATGCAGGTAAGCCACCCGGCGGGTAGTGATTGGAAATTCGTTTAGGCTAGAGATTGCGATCGGGTATGACCACGACAGAATTTTTAAGGACGGAGACACCGAGAAGGAGTCACCGTCGTATGTAGAACTAAGAAAGGAGAAAAATACTGTGGGAATCCTTGAACGCCAGAATAAACATCCCCGCCCTGGGAAACTTGCTCGGAATTTGCCGATATCAGCTTTTTAACCCTTGGTCTCCCTTGGTGCGCTATATCTTACCTTTTGACTATGGCGTCTGTGGCACATTCCTCAAAATCGCAGGTGCTGAATGAACCTTGTGAGTAAGGTCTGTCCTTTGAACGTGCTGATGTTTACTGTGATTCAGCTTAATTTATGGTCTATATATGAAGGAAGAAACCTAGCATAGTCAAGATTCCGTTCATCAGCCCAAAGGGGTCTGATTTTATGGGCGTAATAACGTGTAAAAATCGGGTAGGTACAAGTGCGATTTCCCCTGAAAGAAGTTATTTGCGAGTGCGCAAGTTCACTTTCATCCTTTTTCAATTTAGGTAATTTCTATGGACAATGAGATATATACCGCTGCAATACACGTCATCGCGCGTTTGCTACCTAGACGTCTGGATAATATCTGGGAAGCGGGCTGGGATCGGGCTGCGCTTGAACGGACCGCCGGTATTCAATACAAGTTCTTATTTCGTTGCTGTCATGACCAGAACTCCGGAAGGCTCCTTCAGTTTCCTGTTGATCTGCTCTAGTTGCTTTCCCCATTTTTTCTTCGTTTTCTCAGGCTATCGACTCATTTATTTCCCTTAGTTCCTCGGAAGTGGGGACTCTGTGTTTGCTCCCCAATAGCAGACTATCCTGAAGGCGGCTTCGAATCCAAGGTACGAATTGTACAATCATTTTTTCTGCACTGAAACAGATTTTGTCATGGTCCAGATAGTTAATCGAAAAATCAAACGCTCTGCTGCGAGGCGGTGGTGCATCGACTCTGAGCTCAGTGTAGAAACAGTTTCAGAGAATTCAAGATCTCTCAGTATCAGTATGGCCCACTGAACAGCATAGGCACTGTATGCATTCCCATGAGGTCGCTTTTGGTACGGTACATAAACACTGATCAGTTATACAGCAGGTGGGACGGAGTTTCACATAAATCACGGCCCATCGACCAAAATACCTGCAATCGCAGCTGATCGGTACCAGTATGTCGTGATGGCCCCTTTTTCCACTTAACCTCTGACGCCTGAGACCTCAATTTGTAACAGAGGGGCAGTCACATCTCTACCACGACCATGGCCCGTAGATTTTCCCGTACCAACAAGCCCACTCGCAAAGCTCCCAATCTCCATCCAACGGGAAGATGCCGACACCCTTTCCTCGAACGAGAGCCTGGCTGGGGAGATGAAGAGGGTGTCGATAATCCAGTCCCGGTATTCCTTCAATGACACTCAAACTCTTTCTAACACATGCGTAGTTCAATGAGCTGACGATGTGTGAGCTCTCTGCAACAATACGTGATAAACCTAACTGGTGGGAGAAATGCAAGGATCCAGCAATTCGTGCCAAGTGGAAGGAGGAGGCCGCAACTCAAAAGTGGAGCTATAAGTGTCGGCCGCTTCAGGAGGACGAGATAGACTATGTGCTCGATGAGCTTGAAGAATATGCTGCTGTTCGAGATTCAGATACTGGAATTGAAGTGAGTACACATCTTCCCCCTTTTGATTTACTGCTAATGAACTATGTGATAGCCATCTTGCTATCGTCGAATCTGGCAATCAGACAACCTAATCGAAAGCACCCTTCGTGAATCCCTTGTATCCTCTGTAGCATCCCTCGAGAACGTCCCCGATGCTGAAAAAGACTGGCATCCACGGGCCAACGAGCAAGTCTTGGACCTCGTCCATCCTTCCCTTTACTGTATCGTTTACGACCGTACTCTCATTCGGAACGCCGACGGATCAGCTGTTCCCCTTCGATGTGAACTATCGCAAGACGACGACTCAGTCGCTGATTATACCATCTCGCGTTTCTCATGGCTCCCTACAGACTTTCTCATCTCGCTAGATGGCAAAAGCGCCAAGAGTTTAGGATATATTAATAGCATCCATCCGAGAAATGACGCTGCACTACGCACCGTCATCGAGACACTCGTCGCGCGTTTCATCCCACTGTGGTCACGCGTACTCGCCGAGTCTAAAGAAGATTACAAACTCCCATTACGGACTCTCACAAACTATTACTGGGATCCTATAGACTGGGATCATTCTCGTCTACCAGAGAACCCGACTGGCGAGGATTACGAGGTGCAGTACCAAGCTTGGAAGGCAATACGTACAATGCAGTACCCCCGTTTGTTGGAGCCTTACCATCCCGATGATCTGGGCTTTCCAGAACCAATGGACCTGAATGGGAGAAAGCTCCAGGTCATCATCAAGCTTGCGAATATTCTCTTGGTGAGTGTATTCCCTTTCGAGTCTCGAATCTCCCTGTTTTGACGTGTTGCCCAGACACCAGAAAAACCTGTTTACGAAGGAGGATCCTGGCACGTCGAAGGCATGAAGAACGAATGTATCGTCTCCACAGGGATATACTATTACGACCAAGAGAACATCTCGCAGAGCAAGCTTTCTTTCCGCGTGAGCGTCGCAGAGCCAGAGAGCTATGACCAGGATGACGAGGACGGACACTATGGCCGTCTGGGGCTTATCTCGGTAAGCACAGGCCATTGCACTGCTAAGTGAAGCCTCGAATTTCTTCCTTAACTCACAGGGACGAGCCGTTGAACCAAGTCATCGGAAGTGTATCCACCAAAGCGGGCCGTTGCATCGCGTTTCCCAACATGTACCAGCATTGCGTGTCGCCGTTTTCCCTTCTGGATCCCTCAAAACCGGGGTATCGAAAGATCATCGCGCTCTTTCTGGTTGATCCCGAGCTGGAGGTCCCAAGGCCGTCTACGACAAACGTGCCGCCTCAGCGCCGCGATTGGTGGTCCCAAGAGCTGCTTGCGCTGGCGGAGGAAGGTGATAGTTTGTTGGGACGCCTGCCTACGGAGTTGTTGGACCTTATTTTGGACTTTATGGAACTTATGACGAGGGAGGAAGCAGAGGAGTTGAGGCTCCGGTTGATGGATGAGCGGACGGCGTTCATTAGTGAGAATAATGAGAATATGTTCGATACTCCATTCAATATGTGCGAGCATTAGTGTATTTTATTAGTATTTATGTTCCTGAATGGGTTCTTGTAGTCTGTTATCGAGCGTACAAACATACATATGGCAAATCGAAAGATATAGAAGGCACCTAGAGGGTAAAAAAGGCATAAAGGCAGGAAAGAAGACAGATCGGTACCATAGAGATGAAAGGAAGTCGATCCGAATGCCTAACCAGTAACCAGAAACGCAAAAAGTCAATGTTAATCTCAGCGGACAAAGTCTTCCCACCCCAAGGATCCCTCACGAAGTCCAGTTATTCAGATATCGAGCACAGTCACTGTCCAGCCTACGGATTGTCACTGTCAAAAATCTCAATGCGTCGGTGGAGAGACGTACTCCGTGCATGCAGGTGGACCATCGGTAAAGTTTGTGGAACTCGTCAATAAGAGCGAAGAGGTGGGCGTCGGGTCGTCGTTTAGTAGGACATAGTCGACGGGCTTGCTATTATTGCTTTGATCATAGGTGGGGAAGCTCCATCGAGGCGGTATCTCTGCTTGTGGGTTGATAGTAAATGGCCATCCATTCGGAGGAAACGACGATTCGGGGACTGCAGCTGCGGTGGACGACGCTGGAGGGTCCGACGGTCCATCACAACTTGCCGAAGTCAGTTCATAGAGGATATCCCTAGTATCGGACACAGGCATTAGCGGTTGGAGATAGGAAGTACTTGTACCTGCTTACGACAGTAATCCTGCATAATGGTACCTAGTGCATTCCCCTTCAGGATCGATGATAAATGTCGAGAGTGTAAATACTCGTACCCATTTTCCATATCTGCAAGAACTTCCATGCACTTTTGCACGTCGTCCATCTCCCTCCTGGACCCAACATCCGGCCTGTTCGTTCCCCACATGTTGAATAGCAGGATGATCGCAGCGTTGAATGTCAATAGCTACATGCCAGTGGAGATGAGGCCGTAATTTTGCGCGAGGTTACACGTCACTCACCCCAGCGACAGGGAATATCATTCCGCTCCGACAGCTCTGGATATGAGCGACCCGGGAGTAAGAACGGGCCGCATTAGTGCATATGGCTAGAGATGGAAAGCGGGCCTTTGACGGATCATGTTCTGGCGCCGTGATGAAAGGTCTATGAATCAGCATCTGTACGTGGTAGTACGAAAGATGTAGTGCAGCGGATTGGTTGAAATGCATGAGGTTCTCTCGGGCCGGGTCCCATCGCACTGGATTGGATTGAATGGTGGTAGTAAGTTGGGGCGCTGAGGGGAAATTAAATACGTACGGTGTTCCGGGAGGGAGTCCATCCATTTATTGAGTCCCGAATCGAGCTCCACAACGATTTGTTGTTCCCAGTTTTCGTCTAGCAGTTTGAGTATGACTTTGGAGTGGCGGATGGAGTACTGGACAATAGTCAGGTTGGAGGAGGAGACGGAAAGGAAAGGAAGGTACATACGATTGTTCGTAAACAGATCACTAGCAAGCGGGTTAATCGCAGATGGTAATTGAAGTATGATACTGCGGAGGGTTGTCCTGCTGGTTGCGTGAACATCTGCTGAGGGTCCGAATGTTCCCAGTATTCGTCATCGCACTCAGTCGGCAAGTCGACATCAATACTGAAAGGTGTGTCAGATGACGGGAAGAGGGAAAGGACGCAAGAGATAATACTCTTCATCATAGATCATACACGGGCGACCTAGTGCTGAACTGAGTAATCTGTCCATACTCACTAGGCACCTAAAAAGACCATCAGGTACAATCGATTAAGCACCAGCATGCCTCTTACCAAAAGCGCGTTTCCATAGCTCTCCTTCCGCAGTTTTTGTACGGTCGCCGGGCCGTTTCCTATGGGCACCTGCATCCTGTGCTATTCGGAGGCCTATGCCCACGGCTACCCAGGCTTGGTGTGGCACTGATGATCCTAACACGAAATAACCGAGGAGCTAGGATAGACTCAAACGGTGAGAATACCTAACCTAGCAGGAGAAGTCACTCACACAGCAAAGTTGCGTATCAAGCAGAGAAGGCGCATCCATTCCCGGGATAGGCCCTGTTCATACCAATAACTTGATTCGCCCACTTCCAACCACTCGACAGCTTTGAGGTTTCGTCGGACTAATACTCGAGGATCGTCTGAGTATCTGGACGCCACCGCACATACGGCCAGTAGGACAGCAGCAAACGAGGCGTCTTTGAAGTGACGTCCATCTATTACCGATCTCTCCAAAGTTGGTCGGTGTAGCA